GAGCGATGAAAAGCGCCCGCCCGTGAAGCGGAGTTTCTGAAAGGACTTCTCCTCGTTCTTCTCTCTTTCCTCCCCCCCCGCCTCCCTCCCTCCCTCCCCCTCTCTCCGCCCCTTTCTCTTTCTCGCTCTCTTGTTTCTTCTCTTTTTCTTCCTTTGGAATTATAAATCTCCGGAAACGAGCGGTCGTTCGCGGATATCCGCAGCTGCGAGCACGGATGACAGATCGCTCGTCATTTAATCCCGAAATGGAGTTCACTCGAGCGAATTCGTAATGTAGCGTTTAATTACCGCGATAGTTGACGTCGGGAATAGCACGGCGGCCGCCCTGTGGAAATAAATACAAGCAAAAAACCGGGGAAAAGGGGGGAGACCGGCGTTTGCGCTCGAGGGTCTCTGGCGTGCTACTTGAAACCGGCTGGCGAATTCGAAAATGGAGTTTGCGCGCGCGGTTCTCCGTGCGCCGCGCTCTGTGCATTAAATATCAGGCGGGCAGAATCATGTAAACGGGACGCGCGGGCCGTGTCCCAGATGTAATTATATTACGTAAACAACAATTACTGCGAGGCGACTTAATTAATTCGTCGCATCTGTTTTTACGCGCGCGCACATTCAATCATCTCCGGCGGCCACGCGTCTTGCCCGACATCGCACTTGATATTCTTATCGCGCTCATTATTCTCCTTTTATTTTCTGTTCTTCGTAAGAGCTCGTAATACACAGCATGTATTATTCACGATATGCCGATTAAATTATAAATCCTTCGTTCGCAAGCGTGAGACTCCAAGCGCGCATTTTTCTCGGCTCCAAACGCAAAGCGGCCGGGTCGCTTCGCGCGATCGTTCGCGATGTGAGCGCGTAACGCTTAATTCCGTGTGTTAACTAGCAATTAGCCTGCTGATTAACCAACGAGATTTACAATTAGTGGGCGCGTCGTGTCGTTTCGCTCTCAAATTTCAATCCGTCCGCTTAAGCGAGGAGACCGCCGCGTCGGAGGGGCAGACGCGAATCTTTTTTTCCCACTAGTCCGCTCTTTCCCCCGCGGGGGAGGAATGTGCATATGCGTATCTGCTCCGCGTGTGCTCTTTATGAGATTTGCATACGAAAGGAGAACAGCCGGAGGGAATTTGGCGCGTGCGTCTATCGCGCGAAACAACCCTCGCGCCCGCCGAGACAAAAAGAAACGGGGATGGATAAAAAAAGAATAAAGAACGAGGAAGTCCTTTTAACTCCTTATATGGATATTTTGGAATAAAAGTGCTCAAAGATCCCCGACCATCCGCAGGTGGGAAAAGCTCTTTTAGCTCTTTCGGAGACAGGAACGACAGCGCACTATATACTCATCTCGCATTCTCCGTTGTCCCAGAAAGCAGACGGACGTGTACATAGATACATCGTTCGCGCGATACATAAAACTTCGCCTCACCGCCGAATACATAGTATCTAGCGCCGCTACTACCGCCACTGTTGCTCGGCTACTACCCTCCACCAACACCACCACCAGCAGCAGCAGCAGCAGCAGCAGCAGCAGCAGAAGCAGCAGCGTCGCCATTCCGATGGCGGTATTACAATGCCTGATACCGGCGGCATACCGCTCGCAATGCAACGCCATTATAACCACGGAAAAAGCACGCGCAAGATGACGCTGATACGCCACAGACGCTCGAACGAGGAAAAGCAACGGAATCAACAAACACCCGGAGCGCTTTACCCGCGCACCGCCCTCCGCCGCGTCGAGGATGCGCCGCGCTGCGCCGCGTCGAGGGCGGAATATTTCGATGGAATTTTGACAAAAAGTACGCTCGCCGTTGCGACGCTTTTATTCGAAGTTGTAGTTAGACCGCGACGAATAATACAGGTCGTAGCGGGGCAACCGTGGCGGCAACTATCAACTCCAATGAAATTGTGTGTGTGTGTGTGTGTGTGCGCGCGCGCGCGTGTGTGTATAATACATATAGCGCATATAGCACTTCCACCGCGAAAGCGGTTGAAGCGTAACTCGAGATAGCGAAAGTCGCTCGCGGAATATTGTATTTTCGTGTTGTCCATTTGTTAGGTTCGGTTAGGTTTCCCCGAGAGGGAGCTAGAGGGAGCAATTACACCCCCAGCCCTGTAAATTTTTCACCGCGTCTCACGCGTGACACGCAACGGGCGATCTCGCCGGTCCGAAAACGCGCGCGCGCGAGGGGGCGGCCGGGGGGGCGGGGGTATCGGGAAACTCGACATCGGATAAAACTGGCCGTCGAAACGCCGGAAAATTCGATTGTAACAATTATCATTCATTTGCCGGCAGTTTAGCGAGCGTGCTGCAGCCAACCGCCTTCCGGTACGCGACAACGGCAGTCGCCGGTAATATCACAATTCAGAAGTCATTTGCAAGTTCGAAACTAGCTTAACGCCCCCACATACTTAAGCGCCCGCCCGCTACTTGAGTTGTAATTTTATATTAAATCGGATTTAATGTGGCGAGTATAAGCGTACTCCGCGTTTAATTCCGTATTTACTAGGGACGGGGCGTGCGCGCACCCCCGTCGCTAATTGAGTTTTAATTACTAACGGCGACGACGCCCGACGCTGTATAAGCGCTTTTTAATATCGCGACGAACGCGACGATAGTCGTGAACGTGGAGAAATTTCCGGAACGCTCTGCTTCTCCTCTCCCTCCCTCACATTGTGCGAAAGCAGCGTAAGAATGCTACAAATGCGACTGATTACGCGGCTCAACTTAATCTGCAAGCCCATTCGCCGCATCGGGACGGCGGCCGGCCACGTGTACCCTCCCATGACCCACTCGAAATGCAACTAGAATGCCTCTTACGGAGGCAGCTTTTCACTCTCTCCGTCCTCTCTTTCTCTCTTGCTGTCGTCACTGGCCAATGTGAGAAGCGCAAGTGCACTTCTCTTCACCCGTCGATACATCGTCGCGCGAGAATCGTTGATTCTGCATTATTGAATAATTTCGCGAGGGGAGGGGGAGACACAATCTGTACACAAATTTTCTAAAATTTATCCTTGACACAAGTGCAGGTGACGTCAGCGTCTTCATATAACTCCATCGCGAAACTTGGAAAATAGCTGCAGGCGGGACTTATGAAATATCTCGCGGCGTCGTATTACCGTGTAATGCAGTAAGCAGGAGTTTTGCATCCGAGGAGAATGCGGCAGTATGGTGTAGTGAAATAAGGAGCGGACGGCGGAGAGAGAGAGAGAGAGAGAGAGAGAGGAGAGAGAAAAAAAAAAAAGAAGAAGAGAAGAGAGAGAGAGAGAGAGAGAGAGAGAGAGAGAGAGAGAGAGAGAGAGAGAGAGCAAGGGTAAAAGCGCGAGCGAGAGAATGAAGCAAGGGGCGAAAGAAGCAAGTCGGGGGGGGGGGTTAAGCCAGAGGAACGCACCGCGGAAAAATTGCGCGATGTCGGCGCGAGACGACACCATTAGGATCGCGCAAATTGCGAATAAAGTCGCGAATAGCGCACGTACACTCGCGCGCCCTGCCCTCTCCTACCTTTAAAGCGGGCGCGAAGGCGCGCTTATTTTTCCGTCGTCTTAAAGTTAATCTCGCGAGTCGTCGGGGACAAAAGCTACGGCTCTCGACGCCCGCGCCCTCCGCCATTTTCCAGGTCACGACGGGAACTGCTGCCCGCGTGGCAAACATTTTTGCGCCGCGAAATGAGACCGGATGGGGATGCTTGTTTAAAGTTCGACCATTCGTATCTGGAAAAAGGGAGACGGCGTTTTTTTTTTTTTTTTTTACGACCGTGCTGTCTGTGATCGTGACTGTCGGGATTAACAATGGTCTACAATAGCCCTGTTTCGAGTTTGTCACGATTAAAAACTGTACAATTCCGTACCCGAGGGGGCAGAACGAGCGAGGAAAAAGTCTCATTATATTGTACAATATAATCCTTTGAGAGAGAGAGAGAGAGAGAGAGAGAGAGAGAGAGAGAGAGAGAGAGAGAGGGAAAGGGAGAAAGATAGAGTTACATGGATGGAAAATTTACGGTGTGTACGCACGATGTAATAATAAAGGGAGAAAATGATTCGAGTGGATCATCTAAGAAAAAAAGAAAATAAAATAAAAAAGAAAAGAAGAGTCTAAAGGGAGGGCAAACCGTTTGGTCCCGGATCTGATGCAAATTGGCATGACGATAAGTCTGATAAGCTTGCTTATCTCTATCAGCCCTCCAAGGATTTTGACTACGCCAGCGCAGGGCAATTTGACGATCGGCGACTAAATAAACACAGATGGTTCTCAGAGGGCAATTACCTTAAGTAAACTCTAGCTCCTGCTATTCGAAAATAGGATGGTTCGATAGTTGGAAGTGTATGCTGGTAGCTCGCCCAGTGCGGCGAGAGGTTGTCGCAATTCGACCGTATGGGTCCGCCGGGTCGTTGCTTATAAAATATTAGATTAAAAAGGAACGTCAGATCTCTCCGTGTGGAAAGCCTCTTACGAGCAGGCAATAGCTACATGCCGCGTTAATCCTTTCTCAAAATTATGCTTTGGTTCGTTCTCACGGAATGTTGCTGAAATTTACGATTAGAATAAATGCTGGAGTGCTAGAGAGAATGAAGAAAAAGAGAGAGAGAGAGAGAGAGAGAGAGAGAGAGAGAGAGAGAGAGGCAAAGAGAGAGGGAAGCGACGGAAATTCCGACGAAACGAGGCAATCTCTTAATCTTGAGAAAAGAAGAGAATCTTAGGTAATGTTTCTTTAAAACGTATACGACCACCTCGGTGCGGTTGTCGTCAGTTTGCCCGAGACAAGAGGAGGATAAAAGGTATGGGGCGGGACAATTTTTCGAAGCGTTCCCTCACTCGCGCACACAACTCTCCCCGATTCATTTTTCCGCACTGCAGCACAATGCAGCCCGGAGAGAAGTGCTGCGCGCGGAGAGGTCGGCGATTCGTTGGGGGAGAAAGATAAAAGGAAGTTGGCTCTCGTGTGAGATACAGCACAGTTTGCACCTGAATCGACACTAACGAGTCACGTTTCGTTTTCTCGTTGCAGTTGGCAGCCAAAGCGGTTGGGACGGGATATTACCAGCAGCAACTCCGGTAAGTAGAATCTTAATCGTTATTGACCTACTCCCTCGGGTAAAGATCGAGGCAATATCGTTCCCGAGCGAGTCTGAGCGGCAGTGATACTCGAGCGCTCCTGCGATATCCTGAAATATCGCGGAGGGTAATTCGGAAACTGGATCATCCTTGCGCGACGGTCGTTATTCGAAAAATTCTTTCCCCCCTTCTCTTTGTGGGCGAACAAAAGGCGCTCGCGCCAATTAATCGACACGGTCGACCCTTGTCAGGCTTCATTTAACCAACGAGCCTTCCGTACTTTGATTTGTATCGACGTACGTCTCGCGAAACTGTTATCCTTATTCGATGGTTTACGAGGGATCAACACTCACATCAGCGAAATGTGGTGAAGGTCGCCGAGCACGCTCGGTCGACGGTCGTTATTTAAATTTTTATTCTCATATCGTCCACTTTATCCAACGAAGGAGGGAGATACGCGCGATTTACGGCACCTGCGATTTCGCCGACATTGGCCGGGTCCCTTCGGACGTTAATTTTAAGGACGTTAGTCAACAAGTTCCCCGTACATACATTTATCTGCGTCGATGCGCGTTACATGAAGCGACGATTTTTACGGTTTCTCGACGGCTTACGAAGGATTAACATTCGGATCGACAAACTTGAACGGTCAAACGAAACGTTTGACGTTTGTTGCAGGACCTCACCACTTTAAGGACGACGGTGAACGCGACAAAGGATAATAACGACGATATCGCGCGACTAGGAATTCCCGACTTAGCCGAGAAAGACGAAAATGACAAAGTTGACCTGGGTGAGTTAAATAACGCCGAAGAAGAGAACGACGAGGAGGAGCAGGAGGAGGTAAAAAAAGAGGAAAAAGAAGACAACGTGGAAATTGAGGAGAAAAAGGAAGAAGGGGAGGATGCAGGCAAGGAAGAAGAAGAAGAAGAAGATAATGATGATGATGATGATGATGATGATGATGAAGAAGAAGAAGAAGAAGAAGAAGAAGAAACGAAAGGAGAAGAGGAGGAAGAAGAAGAAGAAGAGTACGACGGCGAGGACGACAACGAGGACGAGTATGAGGACGAGCTGAGGGCGATCGCGGAGTCTCACGAAGCGATGTCGAAGGACGAGGCTAGGAACTCGAACGTGTCCTCCGCCGGTGGCGAACGGACGACAGGGAAATCATCGAGTGTGAAGAACTTCGACTCCCACGAGAAGAGCAACGAGAACACGTCCGATGAAGATGTGACATCGAACGAGACGATTGGCGGTTACATCGCCGAGGACGAGACGCAGGACGAGGAGGTCAGTGGTCAGCTATTTTCGCCAAGCTGCTGGCACTTCTCCGAGATTTTGCCAGAAATTATCGCACCCGCGGAATACCGGCGGGTCGCATTGTATCGCCGGTCGCGACGATAGTTTAATCGTCGGGATTAACGAAGGCGGCGGGCGCGCGGATGCCGCCCGCGCGAACGACGGCAAAATGGCGCACAAAGGGAAAGGGGGAAAAGGGGGCGTCGCAATTGGGAGTTTCCCTTTAAGAGCCACGTTCGAGCATTAAGGCCGTGTTCCTTGAAGCGCGCGCTCGCGAGCACGTACGTACGTATGTATCGATGCAAACTGTTTCCCAATAGTCCGACGAAAAGCGCTTTCCGATGGTCTGCGTATGCGGATAAATATCGGGCGAAAGGGCCCGGCATGTAAACTGTTTTCAAGTCAAGACTCTTTGCAAACCGGAATCCTATTTCCCGCTCGCTCGTCGTCGCCGCCACGTCAGCTTAACTCGCTCTCTCGGCCTTTGATCGTTCTCACTCTGCCATCTCGTGCTGCACAAACGACGCCATGTAAACTGACTTGGCCGCGTGCGCGGCCGCCGGTTTTTCTTTCGCATCGCCCTTGGCGCGCGCTTGGGAATTGATTTCGGGGGAGAAGCCGCGGAAACGGGACGCCGTGAGGAGCGTTCCCCGTGAGTTTCCCGACCGGCCGGCCGGCTCTCTCTCTCTCTCTCTCTCTCTCTCTCTCTCTCTCTCTCTCTCTCTCTCTCTCTCTCTTTCCTCTCCTTTTCTCTCTTTCTCCCACTTCCTATCGGGAATTCGATTAATCGTCGTTCACCTTCCTCGTTTCCGACCGACTTCGGGCGCCGTGGAATACCGGAGTGTGTTATCTTAACATTCCTGCCGGCGATTAAAAGACCGCGTGAAATTCAACAATTGTTGAAGAGACAGCTCGCGCGGAATCTCAAGAGGCTCCCCATCTCGAGGGACTCTAGGGGCGGAGGGAGCGATTTCCTCGGCCGTTTATCTATTTCCCCGTCGTTTAGGAACGAGACTTCTTTCTTAAAACGCCGTCTTCTTCGCCGACTCATTTGCAGGTGGCCGAGCTGCTGAAGTACAGGCTGGAGAAGAACGCGCGGGCGAAAGTGAAGCGTATGCCGACGGTGAAGAAGGAGCTGAGCACCCAGCGAGAAATATTGCTGGCCAGCAACGAGACGCAAGTGCCGAAGAGCCTGCTGCCCTCCGAGGATCCGTTCAATCGTTTAAACGGCAAAACCGACTACGTGGAGAGGCGGTCTTTGAAGGGAAACGAGGTGAGAGAGAAGCACGGCGCACGGGCTCTCGACTCGTCTGCCGGGAATAACAGCGCGATCGATCATTCCGGCCGGCGCGACTCTGAATCCACTGTGCGCCCAGTTATTTATTTGTTTCCTCCCCCCTGTTTGTTTTGTTCTTCCTTTCACCTCAGCTACTCATCGCATTATCGCCCGGCCCTTCGCGCCGGTCGCTCTCGCCCCTCGCCCCTCACCCCTCGCCCCAGACGCAAATGCGCCCGGTGACTCGGAGCGAGATCTCGGGACGCGTTATTACGCAGGTTAATTCGAGTGTAATCCGTGCGCATCACTTCCACGTTTGATATATAACGGCAGTTAACCTCCGGGCTCGCCGGCAAAAGCCTTTATATACGATGTTCCAGATACACATGTCGCGGGCCAGCCCTTTCATCTAGAATCCTTCCGCGGCGCGAGCGCGCGGAAGAAACTTCCTTATCAGAGCGCCATGCGACGTGTCGAACATTAAGAAGCCATCAAAGAGCACGGGGCGCGTGACTGAACTTTGGGCCTGGGCCCAAAGTTTTCTTCAGCGAGGATCGCCGCCTTTGCTTTTCTCGACGATCCGCGACTTTGCATATTTTTCGGCAATTAAGCGTGTCTCGAATGGAGATCCCGCTGGAGATGACGTCTCGCCTGCAACGTCTCGACGTTCTCATCGAGAGGACTGCGCGCGGAGCAGAGTGAGACTTAAGGGGGAAATTGCACGCGCGGAGCAGGTCGTTTTCAAGGCTATTTTTTACGAGTTCTTTTAACAGAAACGGTAGAATCGGTAGGATGGACTTGAAATTTTCACAGTATATTCATTAATGTTCAAAGTTCAGAGTATAAAATAAGTTCAAAGTATAAAATAAATTTGTTACTATCTATATGTATAAAGTACACATAAAACTTTGAACGTGTTTATCTGGAAATATCATTTTCTTAAACTGTCGACACGATTACGCAAAAAATTACCGAACCGAGACCAACTTGAAATTTTTACACAGTATACAGTAGACATGTAGTTTTCGCCCCTACTTCGAATACAGTTATATTTTATTTTATTCATTTTTTTTTAACATGATTAGACAAGTTGAAAAAAGTTTCATTTTTTATACTTTTCTTTGTACAGTCATTACTTTTCCAAACTTGGCTTCACTATTTTCATTTTGGTACGGGCTATAATGGTAACCGTATATTTTAGAAATCTTTCTCAGTTTTTGGTTTTAGAGTACTGAGAGAGAGGCCTGGAATTATGTCGATAGCAAACATAGGGCTCGGCAAACGGATGACTGCATTTTTATCCATAATTACAAATCGGATCGGTTCTTATGATTGAATAAAATTTATTTTACACTTTGAACGTTAATGAACACACTGTAAAAATTTCAAGTCCATTGGTCTTACCGTTTCTGTTAAAAAAAAAAGGCCTTGAGGACGGGCCTTCCTCCGGGCGTGTAATTTCTCCCTTAACCGCTAAGAGAGCTAAGAAATCGAGCGATCGCGATTGATTATTCTCGGGACAGACCGCGCTCGGTCGTCGGTTTGTTCGCCGCTTGAGCTTCATCGCTCACATTTTTCCATACGTCGCCGGAGCCTTCCTCTACTTGAGACAGGATCGCTAACCGTATGAGGGTCTTCACCGTAGAGGGTATTACCGCTCTCCAGCGTTGTTTCCGGTAAACTGGAAGCAGCAGCCGCTGAAGAAGTGGGAAAAGCGTGCTCGCTTCTTGATACTTCGCTCCGCCGGCATCGCGGCCGCTCTTCGCAGCCCCCCAAACACGGTGATCGATGGATGGCTGAAAAAGAAGATAAGCCATTGTCCTCATGCGAGAGATAAAGGACGCCCCTCGACGGTTAACCATTCTCAGTTACGTCCATCACATTTATCAGGGAGTCGCGTTTTATTCACTCGATCGCCCCGCGACAATTCGCGCATTTGTATCTGTCATGTTTCCTTACCCCCGTCCCCCTCACCCTTCCCCGCCCGCGCTGTTGTACACATGCCGCTACATTAGCGTCGACGGGGAAACTTCCCCCGCTATTTTTCTCGCCGCATCTTCGGCGGCACGCGACCGCCGAGCGGCGCGGCACGGCGCGACGCGACGCGACGCGACGCGGACACGTCCGCCCTCTTCTCCACGCTTGGCCGGTCTTCGGCTTCCGCGGTAACGCGCCTCGTACCTCGAGAATCGCACGCCTATGGGACGAATCCTCAGATTCGCGTTTATACGTGCGCGAAACTTGAGAGGAAACGGGACGGGACGGGATTCACTGTTGCGCCGCTTTGCCGACAATCGCAGGCCTGCCGGCGCGCAGGCTCGATCTCCCGAGCGACGTTAATTCAACTAACGTGTCCGTTAAAGGGAGCGCACCCTCGAGGGGGCGCGCGCGTGTACTTTTCGCGATACTCGCATTGTCGTTTGAGACGGCGTCTTTCAGTGAAAATGCGCCCCCTCATTAGCGCCGCGCTGACGTCGCGGCGCGACTATGCGTCGTCCTCTGAGCGAGAGGGCGCGTTCCGCCGGTTAATTGAATATTCTTCGCACGCGACGATATGGCAGCCGCGGTGCCGGTAAATTGAATTTACCGCGCACAAAAGACGTTCCCGCGACACGCGGGTCTCACAACATTCTTCCGAAAGGGGAATTCATTCATGGCGGGATCGATCCGTCCCTCTCGGCGAGAGCGAGAGACGATCCTGCGCCCGGAGTTATCAGTGACGGTGGCATTAAATATCGCCAGGACGGAGGGCGGAGCGGGGGAGGGAAAAAAGAGAAGAGGGAAAGAGAAGATGCGTTATTTCCCTCGCCGCTGCACCCTCGCTTGCTTTACGCAATACGACGCGCCGCATCGACTCGGCAAATATTTACGGAATAAACGCGCCTCTCCGAGCATACCTCATGCGATCTGCCAATATCCCGATAAAATGCGTGGCTGCGTGTGCGTTGCAGAAACAATCTCCCGGTAAGAGATACATCGCTGTATCACGAAGGAAATAGACGTGGCCTCAGATATCACAGCCAGAGACACGGCAGACCGAGGAAGAGAGAGAGAGAGAGAGAGAGAGAGAGAGAGAGAGAGGCGGCGGCGGCGCTCCCCCCGCCGAGTGGCGAGTTATTTGCTTCCGTGATCCTCCACGGGAAATTGCATTGCAAGATTGCCGGAACCGCATATGGCGTTTGCGCCGGGTCGCACCTGCGAAAGCCACATTTCGACGCGCGCATTCGCTTCGCATTGATGATCCGCGATTGATAGGCGAATTTAGATACTCGCGCGCGCGCGCGCGACTGCAGCCTAGCTGTGAGCTCAGGCGGCTCAACTGGAAATTCCACTTGCCGGGACGAGAGATTGTATCGCTCATAAAAGCGTGTCGCCTTCCGTCGTTTAATCGCTTCCCGTATTTCTCTCCCGCTGTACAGTGCTCTCCTTTTTTTGTTTTCTCCTTTCTCCTTTCATTTGACTTACTTATCTTCCACCTATCTCGATTTTATTTCGCCTCATTTTATTTCACTCGTCTATTCGCGCATTTCTTTTGCACCTTATTCTACTCGTTTATTCCTCGATTTTATTGTTTTATTATTCGTGCAACGCGAGAGAGAGAGAGAGAGAGAGAGAGAGAGAGAGAGAGAGCGAGTCTTCTCCTCTTTGCGTAGAAAAAGCAACGCGTTGCACGGATATTACATGTTTAATCTGTAGTTAGAACGATGAAAACGAGAAGAGCTCGGAGATTCGCGTCGCAAAAAAGTCCTTCACGTCGATGGTGTTTTCTTCGGACGTCGACTCGCCCCCGATCGATTGTCGTCCCGACAGATAAAAATGTAGATGAGATGTTACATAATTTACCTGAAAGTTGTACATACACTCTGTTATCATGTTAATCTTCCTGCACAGGTTCAACAAGTCGCTCTGGCGGACAGTTTGCTGAAATTTTTAGTGAAACTGGCGGAGGATCCGAACAGATGGCAACGTGTACATAAATTCCTCAGTAAGTCAAGTTAACGACCGTCGGACGTCGCGTCCTTTCGTTTCACAAGTGTATGAATATCCTCGCAAATTAAAGAGACAAAAAAAGCACACCTACCCTACCTGGAAGGAATGATCACGCCGTGCGCGCGAAATTTACGCGTTCTCGTGAAAAATTCGGCAGTCGGGATCGAGCTAGCGCCGAGTCCCGGGCGAGAAGTAGAAAATTACGAACGATAAGGTCGATCCGAAAGGAGCGGGTCCCCCCACCCTAAAAAAAATAAAAAAAATAAAAACGAATCGATCGTCGCGCGGTGACGTCACGAGCACGCAAGCACTTTCGTTCGGATGAAGACGACGAAATGGAGTGGGCGCGCAAAGAGAGAGAGAGAGAGAGAGAGAGAGAGAGAGAGAGAGAGAGAGAGAGAGAGATACTCGCGGAATCCGGATTTTATTGAAAAATTACTGTACGTGTCGGGCGATTCGTACGAGCCCGGCACAAAGGAACGAGGAATTGTGCGCGCCGGTCGCCGATACTGCCGATAAATTCCAATTGAGCCTTTTCAGAAAGGGAGACACAAAGGTTAGCTACCTACCCCTCCGGCTCCGCCGTGAGAGAGGGGGAGGGGGGAGGGGAACGGCTCCTACAGGTGCGGAAAGGCAGCGCCCGGTCGATTGGTAATCCAATAAAGCCTCAGAATTGTTCAATTAGGGGGCCGTCGCTTGCATTATTGTCCCGTGTAATTGCTGTCTGACAATTAACTTGTCCTTACGACCCGGAAATCAGCCTAATTCGATTCCGCGCCGCTTCTGCGAGCCTCTGTATTCTTGCCCGCTGCGAACGCGTTTTCGCGCTCTTTCGCGCGTAGCTTCAGAACGGAAATTGACTTCGCAGCGTGTCAGAATGCGGCGATAAAAGAATCATGGCGCCGTATCGCTAACCAATGCCCGTCGCGGCGCGCCAAACTGCGTTCGCCGCGCGAGACGCGAGCATCAGCGAGTTTCGTCCTTAGCGGCCCGATCGAACGGCCCTGCAAAATTCGAGCGGCGCCGATTCTCAAAAGTAAACGACCATCACCTGTAACCCGATTTACTTCTGCCAACCGTCCGCGATATTATGTTCTTCCCCGATCGCGCAGCCAACATGGACGCAGACGACCTGCAAGCGGCCGAGAGCATCCAAGACCCGGTGAAGCGCGGCTACGACACCACGTCGACGACGCCGTCGTCGACCAACGCGCCCAGGAGGGGCCGCAAGAAGCCGAAGAAGAAGAAGAAGAAACGGCCAAAGCATCGGCAGACCACAACGACCGTCTCCACGACGACCGCCACGCTGGAAACGTCGACGCCGGCCACCACGACGGAGGCATGGTCGACGACGATGACGACGACGCCGCAGTGGCGACTCGTGGCCGAGAGGCTGTTCGGACCGCCTTGGCAGCAAGAAGACACCCCCCACGAGGAATCGAGGACAATGGCGAAGCTGCGCTACGGGATCGCCCCGAAGCCGCCGCGCACGTCGGTCTGGGAGCTCATCGACAAGCAGGACAAGCCGAAGAGCAGCATCCTGAGGACCGAGCGAATGCCCCTGCTGGATTTTCCCCGAGAATCCAACGCCCAGCCACGATCGTTGAGGTTCGGCAAGATCAACACTTACCAGCCGTTGCGTCTTCAGGATTCTCGGGAGTTCACGCCGTTGTACGAGCGACCGGCAGGTAAAAGTCGTCCCGCCTTTCAAAATACCGTGATTTTAACGGGATGAAATGAAATTGTCGAGGTACACGTAGCACCGAGTGATTGAAAATAATAACTGAATAATCAGCGAAATCAATAACGAATATATTAAGCAATTTAAAATAACCAGATAATTGTCGGAGTAATTAGCGAGTATATTACGGTCGAGAATTTCCCATTGGTAAACGAATATCGAATTAACTGGCTTTTCGCCCAGCTCATTTTCAAATATACAAATCGACCGCTAGACGCTTCATTCTTCATTTGATTTTTTTCTCACCCATTAACGCATTTAACGCGACTCGTTAATCGCGGCGGTTTCACTCGCCTCTTATTTGTTATCCGGAGCCACGGCTCGCGCGCTCTGTTTGTACACTTCACCGAAATATATTTCAGAGCCAGATCGTCCGGCCGATTACTACTTATCTGAAGCGGTTTACCCACCACTGCGCTACCCGCCTTCGCGCGAGTTTCTGCGGCGCAGGAACGAGAACGATTATCAGGACGACCTGACACTGCAGTCGGACAATTTCGCTTACAATGAGGAATACAGACCGTCGAGCAGAGAATTCGCCAGCAGCAAGGGCTGGCCGGAACTCGGCTATAAGCAGCACAGTTGGCCGTGGAGCTCGGACGAGCGTCCGCTCTTCACGATGTCGTCCGGCAAGTGGCCTTGGGGCCAGCAGAGCGACCTTAAGTATTGGCCGGAGCGCAGCAAATACCCGGAGCGGAATTATTGGACGACCTTAGGGAACGAGGAGGACGGCGAGCGAATGAACCAAGCGGAGATCGAAGAGTGGCAGCAACAGCGGTTGCCGCTCTGGCAGACCAGTAAGTTGAACATCTGGCCGGTGGGAGAGAACCTGAAGACGCCGTTGTGGCCGCAAACGGATAGGCCGGTGAAACCGTACGATCAGTCGATCACGTGGGAGAAGAGCAAGAATCACTCCGAGCTGAACAAGAAGGAGGACACGGGCGACAAGGTAGTGCTACCGAAGATCACCATGAAGACGTGGAACAGCCTGACCTCCGACCCTGCCACTTGGCCTTACAAGCTGCCGAGCGCAAAGCCATGGCCGAAGGACGAAAACGGCAAGTCGTACAATCCCAATGCCGACCTGGTGAGGAAACTCGGCCTCGACAAGGAGGACAACGCGGACTGGCCGACGAAGGACAAGGACGACCGAACGGGCAGATTGGTGTTTGAGAAGCCGCCGAGCAGTTCGATCTCCTCCAAGGACGCATCGAAGAAGAAAAAATTCATGCGGCTGAACGACTCCAAGTACTCCAAGCCGGTCAGCAATAGAAGCAACTACAGCGATTACAGGCGGCAGTCGCAGGAGTCCATGAAGGAGACGCCTAATTGGATGTATCAGGACGTGAAGCTGCCGAAGGAGTGGTTGAAGCCGCAAATCGCCTCCAACCCGGCCAAGAACGGCCAGGCGGATGTCTGGGAACGAAAGTTTGACGTATCTACCGGCAGTCAGGTCAAGAGCGACGAGAACTCCTTCTCGCGCTTCTGGCCGCTCAACACGGTAGCTTCGGTCGATCGAAAGTGGTCGGACAAGGGAAGAGCTGATGAGCTGACGGGACCCTGGAAAGACAATGCCAAGGAGAGCAGTCCGTTGAACACGAAGGTGAACAATGGGAACTTTTGGAAGGAGAAATCCAACGACTCCTGGCTGCCGAAAACAAAGGCGGACCTGTGGACGACAAGAACGAAATCCGCACCGGCCTCGTGGCCGCTGAAGACCGACAACGGCGCCTCGTGGATGCTGAAACAACCCAACGACGCGGCCTCGTGGACGACGAACGCCGACATCTGGGGAAAGTCCAGCAGCGCCGACTCCTGGTCGGCCGGTTCCAACGACCTACCTGCGTGGAGCGTGAAGGAGAAAGCCGCCGACAACGATTGGCCCCAGAAGACCAAGGACAATAACTCGTGGGCGAGCAAATTCGGCGGGATGACGTCGTGGAAGAGCAACGACGACAACTGGAACCGGAAGACGGAGCAGACTGCCCCGTGGCAGCAGAAGATCAACGACGACTGGAGCATCGGTTACGGCAAGAACTCGCCCAGCACGTGGCCGTCCAAGTGGAAGCAGTTTGTCTACCACAAGGTGACCGCGGTGCCAATCTCGAAGCCGGGCACGACAGCCGATGTGTCGTCGCCCAAGTCCAGGAACGCGTTCGTGGCGGTTTCCGCGGTCTCGTCGGCGAACTACAACGCCAACGACTGGAGGAAGAACGACGCGGAGGAGACGATGCGCGAGGACAACTTCAGGCTGGAGGAGGCGGATCGGCCGAGCGGGCAGATTCGGCCGGAGAGCGAGCGACCGATTTACGCGTGGAAGAAGGACGGCTCGGAGTTGAATAATGGCGGCCGCGGAAAGAATAATGGCACCGAGCCGCTGGAAGGCCAATTGGAGGCCCTGAGGCAGGACGACTTTTGGCCGTACAAGCGGAATAGAGCCAACGAGGCCAGCGAGGTAATGATCCATCGCAATTTTTCATACGCACGGTATATGAGCGCGATATATACACGGTGACATACGCAGAGTATATATGCACGGTGACACGTAAAGCTCAACAAATTAATATCCCCGAGAGCGGCGGCGCGCGATCGATGCTTTTTCATCGTTCCGCTCTCTCCTCTCTCTCTCTCTCCTCTCTCTCTCTCTCTCTCTCTCCTCTCTCTCTCTCTCTCTCTCTCTCATCGATTCCAGGTCCCTTTAAATAAATCTGCCTCGAGACTCGCCCCCTTCGAAGGGCGGGGACCATCTTTGAAATTTCTGCCGAACTTTAAGATTTCAAATGGGTAAACTTCAGTGGACGCGCGTGATGGCATCGCTATTGACCCAACTGTTTCCGCGTCACCTTTCGCGACGCGAAAAACGTACACATGCTCGCTCCACGATGACGGAAATTTGCCGGTGTAGAAAATATCGTTACATGCGCGTACGAAGCTCGAAATTGTCTCTAAGAATTCCCTGCTCGGTCTAATCGTTAATCCTTTGTATCTCGGATTTTTATATTTTTATATATTATTCTTGCGCTGCGTTTGATGCAACGTATTTTTTTTCACAACAATGGCCATTTGACGATGAAAAATGGCGCTTACACGACAGCGCGACGTGCGTGCGATCGTTGCTCTTGTGTGCAGATGTTGTATCTTGAAAAAAGTTTCTCTCTCTCTCTCTCTCTCTCTCTCTCTCTCTCTCTCTCTCTCTCTCTCTCTCTCTCTCTGTTTCCCGGCATGAAAAAATCCGGTTTGGTTATCATAAATAAAATTTTCATGACCCAATCTGTGTCCCGCATCTGACAAATGAGCGCAGTTTCCCGTTGCGCTTGGACGCCGAAGGCTCTACGCTCTCTAAAACTTCGGCACTAGGCGTCGTTAATTAACCCTTGTCGAACAGAAGCGACGCCTGAAGCTGGCGCTGAAAAATCTATCGGAAACTGTAGATATTTTATGTCTATCGGAAAATACTTCTCGCGCGAAACTAGTTGGCAAGTGTAACTTTTTAGTGCCGCTAAAAATTCGCTATTGCTCGCGCGTCACAGTTGTGAGGATACACAGAGTACCTGCGGCGTGCGCGCTGGTTTATGAAGATTATTGCCAATAGAACGTCGCTCATGGCTCTGATGCAGATGACGAGCTGTGATAAACTCGCGTGATCCCGAATTGTTACGAAGCAAAGTGACCGTTCGTGCACACACACACACACACACACACCATCCACACGCACACGAGCGTGCGCGGTAACCTTTCGCCCCTTTGAAGCCCCGTAAAATTTCCAGAAAAATTCGCTTCCTGCCGTCTCGATGTAGAGATCCGCGGACCTCGTATTATGTAAATATGTCGCAATGTATCACGAGTAACGAACAAGATTCTCGCCCCGAGAGTCGCGTAATGGGCGATCCAACTGGCACGAGGAGAGGATTCCGTATGCAGGGAAGGAGTCGAGCTGGCAGAGTAAAATTTTTAAATAGAGGAAGGAAAGGCGAGGAGGACGACTGTGTCGAGTGTTTTAAGGCGCGCGCTTCGTGCTCGCGCGCGAATGAACTTAACGAGCTTTCGCGTTGCCCCGGCATCCGCGGGGATAAGAAATTCGGGACACTGGAGTATACAGTGAACCATGCGGCGTAGGCGACCTGCCGCCTACGTGCTGCAATTTCCCGGATTCGTTGACATGAACGTGCATGGACTGTGTAGAACTATAGTAGCCTAGCTTCCAGTCTAGACGTGAGCGATGGCCTCTATTCAGTTCGGACCTTACGTGATCTCCCGGCTGATTGCCAAAGTTCGCGAAACTACGGGCGTGCCTTACATGAAAGCTCCAATCCCAGTCGGCGCTTTGTCGGACTTTGCAAACCCGAAAGATTGCAGCGCGAAATGCGCTGCAGCCCTGTGCTAATATAAAATCGCTCATACCGCGCACACAACGGCCAACAATGTGAGAGATCCGGCGTGGCGCCACCGCGCCGGCGGTGCAACGTACTCTCGGCTCGGCTCGAGGGAATGTCGGAGTCTTCAAGTTTGATTACGCGGATGAGACTTCCTTTTTGCAGCACTTCGCGCGCGCGGTACGACCACGTCGGATGACGGAAGATATATCCCGAACGCGAGGACGCGAGTGTATAAAAGAAAAAAGGTCGCTGAGATCTGACGCGACGGCGAAGGAACGCCATCGAAAGGCGGTTCAGCGGAGGAAAGGAGGATTTCTGGTTATTGCGAAAATCAAGCTCCTTCCGAGGACCAAAAACGCCGTTGCCCGCAACGCGATTGGCTCGTCGCGTTAATTCAATCAAGCTTTTTCCCTCCGTGCGTGGATTTGATATTTTTCGCCTCTCCGCTCGTGGAAACCACAGCGGCCAGGAATTGCCGGGGTTTCCCGAACCCACGCGTGAGATTGGCAATGCGGCTGAACTTGATCGTCGGAGCCTTCCCTTGTTCTATTTGTTATTTCCCTTCCCCCCCCCCTCTCGTGGCGGTCTTGCCGGAGTGTTTATTCAAATTATTGTAACAACATCGGGACGCGCTTTGAAAATTAGGCTGCACTTTAGTTCGATTCAGATTCCATCGCACACAGTTTCTACACGCACACGCCCACAATCTGCCGCCCATACTCGCGAGCTCGCATTCAATTCCGACCTCGGGATTGCAGCGGCCCCGTCCTACTTAATGACGTATACACAGAGCAAGTAAGCGCGCGTCTAATTAATACCAACGTACAATTAATTATTCATGCACTCTCTCGTGACTGTTTGTTAAAGGAATCGACGTACGCCGCGACATCAACGACTCAGCCAGCAATGGTAACGAACTTCACGACGATATCGCAACTTCCGCAGAAGCTGATCACGTCCAAGGCCGTCGAGAAGCGCGGCCAGATCTATCAGCGGGAGAGCCTAATGAAATAGGATTCGCAGTTGACCTAACCCTAACCCAGTCCGATAAATAGCGAGATACTGTTTGCTCCGGCCGAGGAACGGCGCGAAAGTCACGACGCTGGCGAGGGAAGATAGCGACGCGAGAGTGCTTTGCATCGTTATGTCGCGATGATAATAGCTGATTTCTTCTTCTAAAAAGGGGGCACTCAATCTCTCCCTCCTTGTACCGTCTCTGGTACGAGCGATCTCGGTCCCCCGGAAGAGCGAACGCGGAATAATACAACGAGTCGGTGGGAAGAAAATTCGTCTCTCACTCGGAAGGAAGAACGAAGTACAAATTTCATCGTCGCCCACGTCGCTCCCCGATGACCCCGCGCAATATTTCAGGCAGCTCGCGAGATAGAAACTCGTGAGTCGCGACGTGCCGCTACGCCCGAGATACCGATAGTGGCGAAATTAAAGGAGGACCGGAACGAACCAGAGACCGGCCAGTTGTGCGCTTCACTCACGCACCGCGCTAAAAACTTTCCCACCGACCTAATGGACGAAGAAAGTTTTTCTTATATCTTGGGTTCTTGAGCGCCCCGAATCTCTTTCTCTCCCTCCTCCCCCCCTTCTCTTAATCTGTTTATCTTTTAATGAGAGGATGTTGAGCGATTTATCAGCGACGTCCTCTCGGTACGCACATACGCGGGGGAATTATTTTAATTACATTCATATCAATCGGATACACATACATACACACACACACACATACACACACACACACACACACACACACACACATATATATATATATGTACACAGCACGTGTACACAGAGCTCCTCGCATCGTGTATTGCAGAAGATTCTTTTGCCAGGGTGTGCGACAACGTACGTGTAGCCGGTGAATTCTGTGCTACTTGAAATGCGCATAGCTATTGTTCTCGGTCGTGTGGCTTGATCCTAGGACACAATAGGAGGTTTAAGGGAATTTACTTAGCAAATTTGATTGCGCGCACACACACGCTCCATTATCCTCACGCGAGGCGACGTCGGACGAATTAGTTTTTCTTTCCGCCGGTAAGATCATAAGTCCTGTCCTTCCTACCTGCATTTCTATATACTTTTTGCACGTGATGTAAAACGAGTGCAACGTCCTGCTTCAAGAGGGAAGACGGGAAAGAGAAGAGACGAGGAAGGAAGAGGAGAAAAGGGAGAGAGAGAGAGGGAGAGAGAGAGAGAGAGAGAGAGAGAGAGAGAGAGAGAGAGAGGAGTGTAGCTACAAAAGGAGCAGATCTATACAGTAACATCGCCGCATTTTTCGATGATAGAAGCAATAGTGATATCAAATATGACGATTACTCATTTAATAGTTATTTTGTCTAATAACAATTATACAGGAGAATTACAATTAGTTCTCTCGTGAAGAACAAAAGGTACGATGTCACAGTATAATCACTCGATTAACTTGATGATCGATTAACTTGATGAATATGTTTGTGTGTTACTACGTACATTATTCAATGCACAATAATTAAGATTACTGTAATCATCAGCTAGTCTCTTATCAAAACTAGTCATTATAATCTCTAGTCAGACGAAACATTGAGATTCCCAGAGAGCTAGGAGACAAACGGAACGAAAATGTACGTTTAATAAATTCTCTAAGAAATTTAAACTTTGGGACACGAGGAACCTGCGAACGTCATCATATCCAGAATGCGTAAAAATATCGCGAGAGCAAAATTGATAGATGTGTTTAGTGAATTGCTTAATAAACGTAATATACTATGCGACCACTATGATACGATATATAAATGTGACGTTATTGTGTTAAATGACGAGAAGTAAAACATTTTTGTAACCTGGAAATATTCTACCGGAATTTAGCGGGAAGGAAGGCATTTTTGGATTCCTTGGAGCCTGCTTTAGAACTTGAAGAAACTGCACAATCGAGATCGATTACACGAGAGAGGAACGCGCATGTAATATTATACGATAATTATAACGTAGATTATGTAATCGCTACCACACATCCACCACGTCCTAGAACAATAGTGGCTAGGGCTTACAAAGCTTTCGAAACGGCCTTGAAGGTGACCCTCGTCTTTTCAAGTCTCCATTCGATAGCCTGGGTTGCCCACAATTCACTGTGTATATCCGTGCAGCTGCAGATGTGCAAAACTCGATAAATTACGACCTCACTTATTATTTAATGTGCAGCACACCGTTGTCGTATAAAGGTCTGTGAAATATAGCCACTAGAGAAAATGGTTCTGTTGTAAATTAATGTCATCCTTGTATATAGATATAACCGGGTGTTCCGAAATAGGGTATAACGGTGTTAGAGTATCGTTTTAAGACCGGATTACGCGTATCCGGTTTTTTTCGAAGAGAGTCCTTCGTCTAAGTTATCTGAGAAATATTTATCGCGATATCTCCATCAGGGAACAATTCTTACGATTACTGCGAGAGAAAACACGAAATTTTTCCTCCCGCTTTATATCATATTAAGTCCTAAATATCTATAAACGATAAGTCTGACTCTTTATTCAAGCTGATCGTAATAAATTCGGTGAATCGATAAAAAAGAAATTGAGTCGATCAATTACGCGATAATAAATTAATTATCGTACGAAAAAGATTCGTTATTATTTAAAGAGTTTTGTCATTGGTTTCGTATAAATTAAAAATTCCGATCTCTTAAATGTAAATGTAAATGTTTCAATTTACCTGAAAAGCCTCGCTAGAGAGAGAGAGAGAGAGAGAGAGAGAGAGAGAGAGAGAGAGAGAGAGAGAGAGAGAGAGAGAGAGAGAGAGACAGAGAGAGAGAGAGAGAGAGAGAGAGAGAGAGAGAGAGAGAGAGAGAGAGAGAGAGAGAGGGAGGGAGAGAGAGGGAGGGAGAGAGGGAGAGAGAGAGAGAGAGGGAGAGAGAGAGAGAGAGAGGGAGAGAGAGAGAGAGAGAGAGAGAGAGAGAGAGAGAGAGAAAGAAGGGAGGAAAGTATTTGATTGCTATTTGACTGAAAAGGGAAAAATTTGATATTTAATACTTATTGATCGAGAGAAATATATATAGAAATACTCATAACGTAGAGGCATTATTTGAGGATTGATAGTGATCTTAGTATTTATTCAGCCATTGCACTCTTAAAAGTAATGATACATAAATCCACGAAGGAGATTTAATACAGTTTAATACCATATAAAATGTCCGCGCATCTCCCGGAATAAACTAAATTTTAATGACAAGTTCCGCGACGCTTTTATTTGTAGAGAAATTTAATTAAATGCCATCTCTTTTCACAATTTTCCATTTTAAAGATAACCGTGTCTCAGAATGAAATTTTCTGAAAAATAAAACCCACATTTACATGTCTGACGTAACTTTAAAACGAGTTTGTATATTCATGCGCTCCGTCATAAAATATGAACAAGAAAGTATATTTTAAAGACTATATCGTGCCACGAGCTGGCAATCGGTCTGGTACTTATTATCCGGAGGATAATAATGTTCAACGTTGACAGCAAACGAGCACGGATGTCGTTACTTATCAAACGTAACATTTCTCGCGAGACATTCGTTTACGTGACTTCGTGTTAATACTTTTGTACACAAAGCAGTAGCGAGAAGAAGATCGACTCGTGTAAAAGAAGAAAATGTATATCGATCCATTTTACAAAAGGAAAAAAAGTAATAATAATAATAATAATAATAGATTCAGGTCCTCCATTTCCTCTATTTATATATAGGCGGAGTCGACAGCGACGATAGCCTATTTGTCTCATAATGGATCTCGACAAATCCTGAGAAAAGCGAAACAGAGACTTTCACCGCTGCAACCCGATAATAAATAACAGCGAGACAAATAACACGAGCTTAGAAACACACTCGACTCGACTCATTCTGTAGGTCGCGTTCGGATGTCTCCGCTGGAGTTATCGCTAGATACGCGTTCAGCAGAATAAAGTAGCGCACGATGACCGTGATTAGCGCGGATGATTAATGGTTCTGAGTGATTAACACCTCTAAGCATCCAAAAGCCTAAAAGTAAGCTAAGATATATACCTTGCGCTTTTCTTCGCAGGCTCAACGAGTGTTTGTTTGTTTTGCTGAACGCGCTTGACGATAGTGCCGATTGTTTATTCACCAACGACCTATCTTTCTATCGGAGAGGACTCTTTAGTATACGATTATATCATAAATAGAGACGGTCTAATTGTGTTATACCGCGAGTCGAACGCTTCTGCGATGTTGCGTCTTTTCGAGAGAGCGGACGTTTCTGCAAATTTGCAGTAACATTACGGCAGCAGTCGCGTATATCTATGTCACGCGATCTTGCCATGCCGAGCATTTCTGTAACATACCTACAATCAATATCATTACATCACGACGAGCGTACTTTCCGTAATGCTCCCTCGAAATCGTACAAGATCAAAAACATATCGATTCCGTTCCTTACGAGCGTTGCCAAACGCGATCGTTCACAAACTATCTCGAGAGGGAGATTCATTTGTCACTTTTCAAAGTGACAAGTGAATATTTTTAGGCGCGTAACAAGCAGGTGCGATGTGCACGAAGAGATAAAATTAGGCGTTACTTTAAAGCCTCTCTGCAATGTTAATTATAACTTGTGATTATAATTAATGTCGCGAAAGGAACCCCAGAGAATGTTGTTATTATTATTATTATTATTATTATTATTATTATTACATTTCGTATTATCACACGCATATATATATATATATATATAAATTCTATGAGAAATCTTTCGTGTCGCAGTGTTTTGCAGCAAAAATTGTGGCACAAGCGGCGACAGGGTGACTCCTCGTACAAAAGTTAGTTACTAATGAATTATCGCACGGCAAACCTTTCGGTTCGCACGAAAGACGTGATTGCTTTCAGGAGAGTCAATTTTCGAGCTTGGAATATCGCCGATGTATTTCCGCGCTTCTTTTCACGTTCGGGCGCTCCTACAGCGGGCGAAGCTGTAATCTCGGGCGGTAACAGCGGATCTCTGTATCGCACGACCGTAATACTCTCTTGCTATATCCGCGGCAAAAATCTCTCGCTCGTTGCTCGCTAATTCGAGTTCTCTACTTATTCTACTTAATCGCGTTATCTCGGAAAGGAGACAAAGCGATTCCATCATCATAACACATGACGGCAACCTCGTCGTCGAACTAAATCGGAAGCCATTATCTGTTTTATCGAACGCGCTCGTCATACTGCATCCAACATCGATGATATCTCGCGAAGGGATTTGCTTGCGGCAGAAGCATGTTGATAAAAAGCTTTTCTTACTATACAGCGATCCAATGTCGTCGTGAACCGTGGCGAGCCGCGGCGAGTCCAAAGTAGCCTCCACGACGTTGTCACGTTGTAATTGACCACACACGACGACGTCCGAGTATACAACTTACTTAATGTAACGTACAAATTCTCCACGGATTACAGCCGCAATTCTCTCTCGCAAACTCGCAAAATGTAAAAGTAAATTTGCGTATCGATTATTATTCTTGCGTATTGTTTGATCGGATCGGCCAATCAACGCTAGACACGATAAATAAACATAATTAATTGAATAGCTGCTACCTAGTATATTGATTACATATAATTAACCGCATTATATATTTTTATATGCAGAACGGGGCAGCTAAGCAGGGACATGTAGAGCTCGTATCGACACCGCATATTCGGGTACGCAACAGTAACGGTGACTCCTCGAGAAAGAGTAAAGGGTTTGAAGATATATACAGGGTAGGCCATTTTAATCTACGCACTGAAATCTCGCAAAATCCATAAGTTTAAGACAAAAATGTTTCAGACAAAAGTTGTTTGGCTTGAAGGGGGACATACGACGTAAAACAGCGACAGCAGTTTGTTTATAAATGGCGCCACTTTCGCGAGATATTCACTGATCATCAATTTTTTTAAATAGAAACCCCATTTTTTATTATATCATCTTTTTCTACCAATTAATTCCAGTAACTTTTGTCTGAAACATTTTTTTATTTGCTTAATATATTTTGAGATATTTAAGAAAAACTTGGTAACTTTTCTAACATTTAAAACATTTAACTTACGATATCTCGCTAACTATTCGTCGAAAGAAAAAATAGTATTAGACTTTTTGACTTTACTTACTGTCAAGAATATATTACTATAACAGTGCTCTAACTTTTGTTAATTTGATAATTTTGAAATTTCCAAAGGTCGGTAAGTTAACAAAAGTTAGAGCACTGTTATAGTAATATATTCTTGATAGTAAATAAAATAAAAAAGTCTAATATTATTTTTTCTTTCGACGAATAGTTAGCGAGATATCGTAAGTTAAATGTTAGAAAAGTTACCAAGTTTTTCTTAAATATCTCAAAATATATTAAGCAAATAAAAAAATGTTTCAGACAAAAGTTATTCGAATTAATTGGTAGAAAAAGATGATACAATAAAAAACTGGGATTTCTATTTAAGAAAATTGATAAATTGATTGACTGATCAGATTGAATATCTCGCGAAAGTGGCGCCATTTATAAACAAACTGCTATCGCTGTTTCACGTCGTATGTCCCCCTTCAAGCCAAACAACCTTTGTCTGAAACATTTTTGCCTTAAACTTATGGATTTTGAGAGATTTCAATGGCGTAGATTAATATGGCCTACCCTATATATATATATATATATATATAATATTTACCGCAATCGGGAACGCACGCGCGCGCGATGAAATATGTTCCCTGAAGAAAGCCACTCTCTTCGAGGTACTCGAAGGTCGGCGTCTGTTTCCTCTTTAAATGGCAACCGCACATTATTACTCGCCACACATCCTTGTAGCGCATAGAGAGACGAATCGAACGACACAACATAATGTATCATGTTCCGACTATCCGATCTCATGAAATAAAAAGCTGTTTAAGTAAAGACCGACGCTCTTTGTTGATTATACGCACCAATCTCTCGATCGGGTCGCTTCTCATTCGCCTCGTCGTCCTGCTCACCCGGCACGACGGTGACGCGCGCGCTCCACATCGCCAGATCCTCGTCATTGACGAGGATCGTAGGTTGGAGCTAACTGGAAGATCAGGCGGCGTGTTCTCCTCCAAGTCGCGAGTTGCAAGGCCAAAGGCTCCGGAAGCCGAAGGAACGTGTGCTCTTTTCACGTGCACCCCGCTACAGATGAAACTCATGTTTCCGTACGATCGTCTTCCAAATAACAAGTAAAAGCCCGCTGTCAACGTCGATCGAGCGCGGGAGCTTTATCGTCGCGACGCATCGATTGTCAGCGATCCTGCTGACGATTCGCCGAGGCGGACATGACAGGATCCAATCTGCGAGGAGTCTTTGGTAACTCGACGTCGCCGAGTCGCGGACTCGTCGCAAGGCAGAAGGGCTAACACCTGCGGAATTTTATTTTCCGGCAGACTGCATCCCACATCGAGCCTCGCCATCAGGAAAGGATCTAATCGAGCAGTCGCATCAAGGGTGAGAAAGGGAGAAGCCGCCACTACGTTGTAAGGCCAACGTAGTGGCAGAGCCTCATGTTGAGGGAGTTGTCGACGATCCCCCTTCTCTCCTCCGCGGAGTACCCCGGGAGAACCGGGGGAATTGACCTGGACCCGGGGACGAATCGTGTTGGCTACCCGGCTGGCTCATCTCCTGGAGGAATGCCGGGATTGCGAGGACGCCGTTCATATCGGCGCATGAGGAAAGCGCTCGACCGGCACCGCGCGCGGCGCGAGCTGCAGACGTCTAGGTAGCGACTAAAGCGGCCAATAGGGCTCATGTGAATGGGCCAATTAGGATAAAGGAACCCTTGCGTGTTCCCGGCTGCCGGTGCTGTTCATTGTCTGGCGATCGCGCGAACAGGGAGGACGGCGCACTACCACCAGACCGGGACCGAGCGACTTGGAGTACGGAGGCGCGCAGGACCTGAGAGATATCGTAAGTCCTTTGAATTTTCTGCCGAGCTGCCGGCTGGACTCCAGCCTGCGATGATCATCGATGATCCGATGATCAGCTTCTCGCATCGTGCTCCTCGGTCGCCGATCGCGCGTTTTCCATTCGACCGGCGAGTCGTCGTCCTTGTGGAGTCTGTGCTCTTTCAAGCTTTCCTGCGAGGCTCGCTGATTGCGATTGTCAAATTTGCCCTGCGCCGCTTCGCGCGCGAATCGCGCTGCAATCCGCGTTGCAATCGCAGAGCCGGTCTCGCGCGACCTTCGACGCCTCGCAATCAGACGCGAACCCAACGGCTATTTTCTTCTTCGGCGAGCGCTCTCGATATATCGGTCCGAATTATCGCTCCCGCACAATGAGGAATTTCGCTGCAGGGCCGTCTCGCCGTCTCTGTAGCTGAAGATCTCCCTCTCATTGTGGAAATATTGATTTTACGTAGGAAGTTCGAGCGAGATGTCGGAGCTGCAGGAGAGAGAGAGAGAGAGAGAGAGAGAGAGAGAGCAGTTGCGGCAGGTTAAAGTTTCTTCTAGTCGTCGGAGCCCAGTCAAGTCGCGATATTGCAAACACAAACGTCCTTCCGGCCGAGATTGCGCTCGTCGAGCGCGATATCCTAACGAGATACTCTCGGACTTTAACGAACGACTCGTTAATTTTGTGTCAGCGCCGTGTCCATCGACGTGTCTCGACCGATATCGAACGGCGACCGCGACGAGTTGTGTGCACTGTCTTCCTCTCTCTCTCTCTCTCTCTCTCCCTCTTTCATTTTTCGATATACTTTTCGCCATTCCCCGTCGTGATTTCCAGCTCTATACTCATTTCACGATAAGCAACGCTTTCTTTCTATGCTCAGCCTCAGGTTCGCGCGGCGAACCACCCCCCTGCTACTATTTTGTGTAGATGCTGCGTCGGACAGCTGCCGGACATCTGCCGGACAGCTGCTGCCTCGCATCCTGCGCGATCCCTTAGTTTTTCGTTAGAAAAATTGCTGCGGCCGGCTTTTCTTTCCCTCGGCGCCTTCCTGCCATTCGGCGTCAATATGACGGCAATATGGTGCGTTGAATTTTCAAACAGATAGCCGGCTATCTCCAGCCGCTAGTCGCGACTCCGAGGAGGTCGAACAGAATGGCTGAGAAATTCATCTGAACGCATCGAACAAATTCCAAAGTTTCTTGCTCGGTTTCACAATCGTTTAATCATCAATGAATTCACTCGATAAATCGACATGAAAATTTTGTTCTCTATTACACTTGGCGTGCGCTTCTCTCTCTCTCTCTCTCTCTCTCCCCCTCTCCCTCTCTCTCTCTCTCTCTCTCTCTCTCTCTCTCTCTCTCTCTCTCTCTCTCTCTCTCGCGTACTCCATCGATACGGTCTTAATCGCGCGCGCCTTCCAACCTTTTTAACGCGAACTGACGCGTGATAGCGAACCTAAACTGAAGTTTAAAGAGGAAACGACCGGCATCAGAGCGGATTATTCGCCATTAAAGCCCGTGGCAATAATGCGATAAATGAAGTATACTTCATTCCAGACGATAGCATCCTGCGATCCGTTGCGTCTGATAATCCGTAATTAATCATTAACCCGCTGTTAGAGTACGCCAAAGGTAGAGACCGGCTTGTCGCGTTTAATTGCATTAATGCCAAGTAAATCGGCGTGGAAGTTACTAGCGTTCTGTTCTGCACGACAACCTTGCGTCAAAGATCCAGCTGATCGTACTCCTGTCACCGAACTTGAAGAAGAGGAGGAATCGAAATGATGCTGACGAAGCCGCTGATGATTTTCCTGCTGCTCGTCAACGTGCAGCTCCGCGAGACTCGCGGTTACGTGAGGCTGGTCGAGCCCTCGAGCAGAAGTAGGATCTGGATGAAGAACTTTCCGGAAGAGACGAAGTCAGACGAGGCCGACTTAAACTGCGGTGGGCCAAACGTACGTACACACACACACACACGAGTCAAGCGACTCCTCTTTCTCTCCGGCTCAAGCGCGTCGAGCTATCGATAATCTCGGAGTTGCGAGAGCGCTCGGAGACGAACTCTCGCGAGAGCTGAGGGTTCTCTCCGTTTAATTTCGCGAGTCGATCTCTCTCCGCCTTCCGGCCGGAGGAAGGGCCGCTTAATTAATTTCATACTTGAGGCGAAAAATAGCGGTACGTTGGGAAGCACGTTCTCGTTCTCTTTTTCAGGCACAATACGACAAGAACTACGGCAAGTGCGGCGAGTGCGGCGACGATTACTCCTTGGCCCGGCCGCGGCCAAACGAGAACGGAGGCACCTACGGCAAAGGAATGATCAGTCGTGCGTGAGTATATATCGGATTCGTAATCTCATCGCGAGCAAAGAGGAGAGGTGAGGCTGGAACGGCGTCACACGGTGGTCTAAAGTCGTAAAAACTTGGCAAAAAATCAATTTTTCTAATTCGTTCAAACATCATTGAAAATTATCGCAATTCCAAGAAGAATAGAAGCAAGGAACAATTTCTTGAATTTTTATTTATTTGAATGTTTGAACGAACGTTACCTTGAACGCACAATACAAGTGGATAAAAATGAAGAATTTTTAGTACGCTTGACATGCAGCCTTTTCTGCACTTTATCTACATCAGTCTTTAAATTAGTTGGTGGTTTACTAAAATGTTTTAATACAACATATTATTATTTCACATGCATACTTTAAGTATTATTCGCAAAATTGACAAATGAGCTTAGCATATCATATATATTCGATGTAATTTTTAACTTCATACAACGCTTATAGAAAATCGATACCGCAACTTTATTTATGTACGATTTACAAGCTTTAGTCATCCTTAGCCACAAGAAAGTTTTATGGTCAAGTTGATCAGAATATATCGATACTCTTGAAGCATGTGAGGAAAGAAGTTGCTGCTTTCATTTGCCGATTTCGTTTCTATAATAAAAAATCAGGCAAAAATTAAGTTACAGTCGTTAGCTACATAATTGTAATTTTTGTATATAATTACAAGAAAACAATAACTTTCTTCATATTTTCCTTGTTTTTATTAGATTTTCCAAGTTGTAGTAAAAAAACTGTTAGCGTTATAGTAAACATAGATAACGCGCGCGCGCGTGTGTGTGTGTGTGCGATATTTAAGATAATATTTAAAAAATAAATTTATTTATATTTTACCGAGCAGATAGTCTATCTCATTTTATCGTTGTATGTTATTATTATTATTTTTATAAAGATATTGGTGATCTTTAAATTTCGAAAAATATGAGCTTAACGATAGAAATATCGGCAACGATATTTGTCTTCGTGTGACATTTAATTGTAAAAAAATAATCTAACTCTTCGACGCTTCGATCTTCAACAATTACAGACCAACAATTATCTCGTACCCCAAAAATTAAGAGCCCCACACTGTATATAACTTTTTTACATCGTTTATATCATACGCGAGTTATTGTCACTAAGGATATTAATTTTTGCCAGCCGTATCTAGATCGGCCGTATTTAGACCACTGTGCGCGTCAGCGGTGTCGCATGAGCTCGCTTGACCGCTACACGACACCGTCATCCCTCGCAGGTACATTGCAGCTTCCGTCATCGGCGTGGTCATTGACATCTTAGGCTACCACCAAGGTCACTTCGATTTCGACGTCTGTCCGTTGAGCACGGACGAACAACTGGAAACCAACGTGTGCTTCTACAAGCATCATCTGACGTTGGCTGACAGTAGCAACCACGTCTTGAACTTCACCAGCACGCAGTGGAGGACGTCGATCTATGTCAGGCTGCAATTGCCGCAAAATCTCACGTGCAAACATTGCGTCTTCAGGTTGGGTCTGCAAGTCCTGAATATCTTGATTTTTACATTCCGCTCGACCTTAATTCCGCCGGTCTCGAGTTTCGTTCGAGTAACATGACTTCGATGTCGCGGTTTATCGGCAAGACGTAACTTAACGACGAATATCGCTAAGGGGGGGGAAGGCGTTGAATCGAATTCTCGTTGAGAAACTTTCTCTCTTAAGTTCCATGAATGAAATCCACGAGGATAAATTTATTAATGGGATATCCAGGGACACGGAGCGACCTCGCGCGGTCCTGCGTGGTTACACGTCGTGTGTAGCACAACACTGTTCAAACCGGAGTTAGGTACACAACCGGAAGCGGAAAGTGGATCATCGTTATAGGATACCGTACGATAACTCGCAATATTGTTTTAACCCTGATGCAGGATGCACTTTCGAAGCAAGGACAGCGACCTCGACGACAACGAGCTCGTGATGAACAACCTGTTCGGTCTGTCACCGACTTGGAGAAATTGCGCTGACATCGCTATCTTAAAAGCCATTTCAACCGACAGAGGGAATCTGCTCCGACGACTTCAACTGGACCAGTATGAGAGCGAGCAGTCGAATTCGTCGAATTAAGAATTTTGGTAGAATCGATAATCGAGCAATGGGAGCAAGTGTCGATCGGTCTTCAGTGGGAATATGAAGGAAGTTAAATGGCAGTGGGAACCTTCCGACGCGACGACGACGAGGACGGGGGATTAGATTCGAGCAACTGTTAAAATTCGGGCAGGTGAAACCGATGAAATCGTCACCGCGCAGATTCAGAGCTCCGTTTAGAATATTTCATCGTGGAAAGGGTATTGTATTCTCTCGAAGGAACAAAATGCTGAATTTTCTCACATTATTCGCATCATTTTAACCTCACGTTTATCCTCACGTTGTGTCGTTGCTACGATGCGAACACGTCCGATTTGAATAAAACCACTTTTCGACAACGACACTAATGAGATGCGTTTCAAGGACTACTCTTCCGTTTATCCGCCTCGAGTAATATTAACCGGGAAATAATTGGAAAACAAGAGGGTAAAAATGTCGGTTGCACGAGACGATAGGGAGATAAAACGTTTCCGCTGAAACGAATCTCCGGATAATCGGCACGAATCCTCCGCATTGTGTGTCATTATTCTCGAAAGAATTTCTACCGTAAGATCCAACGTGGTTTCCCGAAAAGGACAATAATCCAGCGTTCGATAACATAGCGGTGATACGAAACTACCTGCCTGTAACTTGATATCGCGACAACGCCGCATTGTTTAATGATTTCCAAACAATTGGCATCGTGGCAGTAATTAACTGAAACATCGTAATTTCAAACATCGTAACATTGTATTTAATGCAATTCGAGGCATCTGCTATTGCGACATCGTGAATTTCAGATGTCAATTGAATTCTCTCGGATGTTTATATGCACCGTTAAACAAGAGATGATTTATTGCATATTAAACACAGCTGCCGCGTTACGTGTACGTGCGTACGTGGCCGGGTGCGTGCATGCGTGTTTCTCGTCGTTTTGACGTCGTCGAAGTTCAAACCTGCGCATCATGTCAACAGTGGATTAACGAATTGTCATACGCCCCGTATATTGACGAGAAGCCCGCATGCACGACGTTGTTTCACGTGAAAATTTCAAAAATCTGTCCTTTCGTTTGTTGTTTTTTTTTTTTTTCCCCCGAGATCTACGTGAAAACTCAATTATAGGAGATAATTGCGGCACTTCCAATTATAGAGTCGGCGATTACAAGAATACCGACTCTCTCCACCCACACCCACCCACACACACACACACACACACACACGTCTCTCTCCTGAAAAAAGAAAAAAACGGCATATTTGAATGGATATAGCGCATTGTTCGGCGAGCCGCGAGTTAACGTGCACGTTATTTTGAACACCTTGGCGTGAGGAAAAATAACTCGATTGCATTACGTCTGGCGTGCAAGCCAACAAAATAAAGCAAATATCGTTGCGGCACAAATTAATTCACGCGTAGAATTCACGCAGAAACGGCATCTGAATCCACAAAAATTCGCAAGTCTCGTGTTTATACGCGCTCGTCAATATCGCCGCCGTCTCCCTCCTTCCTTTCCCGATAAATACTAATAGTTTCTTCATTATGCTCATTTTCATCGCATTATTACGCGTTTGTACACGTTGATACACAGCCGACTCGTCCTTATCGTATGTGCCTCTCATTTTTCGCCGCTTGACGTAATTCGCAACATCTGATAAGACAATTGATAAGCAGCGATCGTCAACTCGATGCGGAGCGTGCAGGGGGCAGGCTTATCGGAAAATGCGCGGCTATATAAAGAAAATGAAGGCGACACTCTCATGTTACATCACGGAGCTCTACCTCGTTTCCGTCGACCGAAGAAAAACGCGGAGAAACGGAATGGCGTTCGCGAAAGTATTGGTCCTCGCGCTGGTGGCCATCATTCATTTGCAGGAGATTCACGGCCATGGGATGATGTTGGAGCCCATAAACAGAAGCAGCGCCTGGAGGAAGGGTTACCCAGTAGAGCCCAACTACACCGACAACGAGCACTTCTGCGGCGGACGCACTGTACGTATACACAGAGTAACTTCCAAATAAGTCGCGCCGGACTTGCCAGGAGTAGCCTTTGATTGATCCAGAGCCGGGTTTATCAGCTAAACGTTGCTCCGGCGGGATTTTACATAGACTTTGCCCGGCGGAATCTGCCCGGCGCGAAATTTCTCTCGCTGAACCTTCCGTGTGGAAAGCATAAAAGCGCAACGACGAGACGCGCGTTTGCCGAGTTTCTCGACTTAACGCGGGATAACTCGGTAAAGATTAATTAATTTGTATTGATAACAATCCAACAAATGTGGAAATTACAGATTTGTCCGTTGCATAGAATATTAATAGCAATATACGTGTGCGGAATCAAAACGAAATCCGCAATCAAACGAGACTTATTTCACAATTTTATAACAATCGGTCGCTTTGTCCGCGATATTGCTTGTTCCGTGAAAATTATACAGATTGGATGTGTTTTTAGGAGATAGGCGAATATTGAAACACGAAACAGCCCGTGTCTCTCGGAAACGGAATATATTGATCGTTTATGTGGATGTTTATATGAATATTTTCATTATTTCCGCATCATGTATAATCCGATATGATCTTGTTCTCGAATTACCATTTGTTTCGAGTTTCATCGAATAATTACGTGTTCGCCTGTTTTTAGAGGAGGGAAAAAACATTCGGAAATATATGCTTATATATAATACGTATAATTGTAATAAGCTTCTTTCCCGGCTCTTTCGTCGAGTTTGCACAAAGATGGAATATATATTGAATTCAGGGAGAGAAAATTTTAAAAGAGGTGCTGCCGCTCAAGGAAAGTTATAGCGTTCTATATTTCTTCTTTCTGTAAATCACCGCGATTTATCTTCACTCCTGAAGGAGGCCACCAGACAAACAGCGGTGTATAAGGGAATAGGATGCGCCGATGCGGTAGAGATGAAAGTGGGACGGTATTTACGATTGAAAACTGACACGATTATTCGTTTAATGAAAATAGCAACGTACGCATAGACGAAGAGCGAAAGATCCCGGCGAGTTAAACTTTAAAGCTGCGAGTCGACGTCAACACTAATTCCTTGCTTTACGATACGAGCGGACTTTGCTTTGAAATATTTTCGCCTCGTGAGCTCGCTGCACGCCGAGACGTTTCGTACGAACGCTTCCGGAGACCGTAAGCAATGACGAATCTTGCAATCGGATGGGTATTTCTTTTTCGTCAGGTTCAACACGTAAACAACAATGGCAATTGTGGAGAATGCGGTGACAATTGGGTCCTACCTCGACCACGGCCGAATGAAAATGGGGGCTTGTACGGAACCGGTCTCATTACGCAAAAGTAAGTAAAACGTATCATAATACGTATCAGGTGTGTCTACAACGAAAAATATCAGACACTTTAGACAGAACGACGAACAGAAAGACGACGAAAATATTTCTCTCTTTTAGTATAATTTACTCTCTAAAAGTGAATATCACTGTCAGTGAAACTCACTGTCAATCAGCGATTATCACTGACTGATTGTCGGTGCTAAGTGTACCACTGAAAGATTCAGCTGAATTTTTCATCGGTATACCGAAGATAGAACATTTACTTGCAAATGAATAAATTTTGCTCAAACGTGTTTGCACTGACAATCAACATCACCAATCAACCAGATGTGTCGATCGCCTGACTCGATAGTAAAGTAGTTTCATGAGAAAAAAGGCGTGAGACCGCCACTTGAATCCGTTCTACTACGTAAATTTTTTTATTCAGAGGGTAAAAGTTGACATTTGCGGGAGCAGTTTATTTCGTCACTTTTGCTGCTTTGCTTCCGTCGCGCGCATCCGTCGCAATTGATCACCAGACAAACAAGTTTCAAATTTTTTCCAAAAATAATTTTCTCTCAAACTGACTCGCTCGCAGATATAAGGAGGGTGACGTCATCACTATAACTATCAACCTCTCAGCCAGCCACTATGGTACCTTCGAATTCAGTATCTGCCCGTTGAAAAACACGAAAGAACTGGAAACCGACGAGTGCTTCGAGCGGTATCCTCTGCCGTTGGCCGACGGTAGCGGCTACAAATTTCCTGTCCCGAAAGAAAACAAGAAATACTATATCAAAGTGGTCCTGCCGAAGGGTGTCACGTGCGAGCACTGCGTGCTCAGGTGAGAGTGCGAGAAGACGCGTTTGGCCGACAACGGCCGATAAAGAAGTTGGCCGAAACCAGTTCGAAATATCGTAACATCGTCGTAATAATATTCCATCAATTCCGATTTAGGTGGCACTACCGCGCCGGAAATACCTGGGGAATATGTCCGAACGGAAGAGGAGCAATGGGCTGCGGTCCTCAGGAGACTTTCAGAAGTTGCGCTGACATCTCCATCGTCTCGAAGGACCGTTGGTCGTCGGATATGACCATTCCAATAGTGCCCATCGAGGTGGTCGACAATCGCGTGTATTACGATTAATGAGGAAAACGAGTAATCTCGCGAGCGAGTAAAAACGCGAGCCTCATCACAATGTTTCATTTGACGAGGAAGTTTTCCACTGCTTACACCCAAGACTCGACCGCGGACAAACGAGGAAATGTGACAACGGCAAATATTTCTGGAGCATGACGAATTAAACACCGGAAAGCCGATGGGACGTGAATCAGATTTGCGAGTCTGATTCGGTGCCTGCGGGCATTTCGAAAGAAATTGGACGCTGCATTCGAATCCGCTGCCATCCAAAGGCTGCGCCTCATGAGGCTGGTTATTGGAAAAAATATACATTGTTCGACCTCTGTTTGGAACTGTAATTTATTTTGTCATATTTCCTCACGGCGTATATTGTTCCCGACAACGATGGCGCGCAGCGAGAAAAAACGCGCATTGGCCTCTCAATAAAATAAAATAATACACGGATAGCCGGCATTAGAAAGCGTGCAGCGCGCGTTTTGTAAAATATCGGTATGTGTTCCCAGTGGAGCGTACGAGTCGACGTTAACCCTTCGTTGGCACACTTAATTTTTTCTTGCTCAGTTTGCTGAGGCTCAACAACGCTTTTTTGGCGTGTCCTCGTTTCAGTATCTCGAAATATGTATTTATCACGAATGTACGGATGTGTATTGTAGTTTTAGGAGATGGATTCGAAAAATTGGTCGATCCTATCCTCAAAGTGAGTAGATTTAAGATATAATAGAGAAAAGAGAGAGAGAGAGAGAGAGAGAGAGAGAGAGAGAGAGAGCATTGATTTCACGGCAAAGGAAGAGAAACAAGTAAAAATTTTTGCATATTTTAAGAAGCGAGTTCCTTGCTTTCATGCGCAATAATCCAAGATTCGACAATTGTTCGCTCGTTCGCAATTCGCGATCCCGCGACAACGAACAAGACAGAGTATGCGTTCCCGCGTTGACATCAGGATTGCAAAAACGGATCTGGCGTGGGTATTTCCAGCGGCGACGCCACGATAAATAGGACACTCCGGCCACAAGTCGCTCTATTCGGAGAAGGATCCTCTGGAAGCATCAATGCGTCATCGCGCGTAGAATGTTTCGGGGGAGACGGTGAAAGGACGGCCGTTCATTTTTTAGCAGTCTCGTCATCGGGATTTCGTCGGCAACCGAAAATCCGGTTGTCGTCCGCCAGCGACGTCCGCTCGCTTCTCAGCTCGAAGCCCAGCGCGGTTCTCTGCTTCGCGCGGTGAATACCGTAAAAGAAACCAGGAATTACGGTATATCGCCTCGCTAACACGCGCGTGACGTCGAGCGAGCGAGGAGCTATTAGCTGTTCTATGACGTCGATTGGAACACGCTTCCTCCGGCTTTTACGAGCAACAACATTCGCGCGATCCGCGAGCGCGTTTCTCCCGGAGGAGGTTTCTCCAGCGCGCGCGCGCGCGTCCAGATATTTATGGTACCTAGCGTACCTACGGCCACCGACCCGCGAGCAAGGTGAGTTCGAGCGTGCTCCAGCTCCAGCGGTAGAGGACGCACGTTGGAAGCCTCGCATTGGCTTGCCAGGCCCGTCGCCGTCGGAGGCAGCGACGACAGCGGCGGCAGCGGCGGCGACGGCGACGGTACCACCACCTCCTCGGCGGAGGGGAATCCCGCTCACCGCTGTTGCAGTGCACTTCACCTCCGGCCTCGGCACGGATCGCGAACACGGAGGCGAGAGCGAACGGGCCAGTCGCTCGCGATCGGTGTGTTGTACGCGTCGCCTCCAGCGGTGTCCCCGGTTAGTGTTTCGAGGACTGCGCGCGATTCCTCCGAGAGACCCGTCCTCCGCACAACTCCTCCCGCTCCGTTCCCCTCACGTGCGCATACACGAGCGCGGATATATTTACACACACACACACACACACACACACACACATATATATACATACACGCGCGCGCGCGCGCGCGCACTCACGAACGCTCAGGTACATACACGGAGAGTAGACCACTCTCTCTCTTTCTCTCCTCGTCTACCCCGTACTTTGAAACCCGTTTTGCAGTCGGCCACGGGCTTGTCCGTTGTTCCCGCGTTGTTGGTTTGTTGCGAGCGCCAGCTCAAGTCCAAGAGGTGAATTTGCGGATTCGAATTTGCCGTAACCCGGAGCTATTTTCGCGTCTCTCCAGCAAAGTGCCGAGAGGGCAGTCAGTGGCCGCGAGCGCGCGTGTGAGAGAACCTGTGAGAGAGAGAGAGAGAGAGAGAGAGAGAGAGAGAGAGAGAGAGAGAGATCGTAGTGTGCCCGTCTCTGTGTGCAGGTCTGTGCAGAAGAATGCGGTAGGATGCGTGTCCAGGAGAGATGCTTCCTGCTGGCGGTGGCGGGACTCTGCCTCCTAGGCGGGGTCGCCTATTCCTTCACGACCGCCGACGTCGAGGCGCGGATCACGACCACGACGCCTGGTGAGTGCCTCCTGCTGGACAGGTAAAGCAGCCGTGGCTCTTACGGAGAGCAGCGCTCTCGGGAGACACGCTCCGACCGCTCGGAGCGAGCGGTCAGCGTGAGGTGAAGAAACCTCCCCCCGTCCCCCTCCCCTTCCCCACAGACGTGACAGACGGCGCGAATTTTTCACGCTCGGCGAACGGGCATTTCGCACCCGCGCCGCTGAAAAATCCTGCCTCGGGACATATTCACCGTCCTCCTCTATCCCCCGCCCATTCCCCCCGTCTTCTTCACGCTCAAGCGGAGGAACGGTCGCGGGAAAATGGAGGAACGATTATGTAAATTGTCAGAGCGTAAGATAGTATCGCCGCGGCGAAACCTCGGCATTCTTTCGACGAAGAAGTCGTGACACGATTAGCACCTCGCGCGCGCGCGCGTTCAGCTACCAACAGGTCGGCGCCAACAGGAAGGGAATGACGAATGCTCGAGGAATTGTCACGTCGTGGCGAAGGACGTCAATCCGAATTAGGGGACAGGTGGAAATTGAGTGGCGGCGAGCGCGCGCGCCTTCGAGACGAGAGACGAGGAATGAAAAAAGGAAAACGGCTCGATAGTTAACGAGCGATGCGACGAACAAGATGCGTTCAAGCTCTCGCGCCAGCGTATATTCGCAAGTCAGCTCCGCCGCGTCGTGTAATCGTTTGTAAATGTTGCTCCGACAACCGCAATTTCCTCCGGAGGATGGCGCCGTGGAGGCGCTTATTACAATCACCTGCGACGAGAGATTTTTTCCGGCGGAGCGCATTCTCGCGCTCAATGGAACGACCGCGCGCGCCGGAAATGGAACGTTACTCGCGTCCTCTCGCCCCCCCCCCCCTCCTATCCACTGTCGGGAGCCCAAATTAAACATCGTTAATTGAAGATGATACGCCGCGATGATTATCGCGATGAACATTTCAACTCACTCGAGTCGCGCGCAGCGGTGATCAGTGATTTTCAGAGGCGAACGGGGTCGTGATTATTCGTATGTTTTCGCGGAGAACTGTCGGGACTTTGTCTGAAGTGAGGCAACGCAAATCCACCGATGAATCCGGTAAATAAATAATTGATGGTCTCGGTGCGCAACATTGTCGGGTCCCTTCGCGGAGCCCGGTAAATTTGTTCGAGTCTTCTTTAGCGCCTCTCGTCGTCGCCGGCGAACTGCCGTTACTCGTCCACTCGACGCTTCTTGACTCCGTTATACTTTGTGACATAATTAAAAAGCGACATTATTAGCGCGACACACCCATGCCGCTCGTTTCCTGGCTGCAAAGTCCGAGGAACAGAAAAAGCTTAGTGTTATCAAGGTAGTTGGTGACGCGGACGATCCCTCCAGATAATAAAATGTTCAATCCGTTGGCGAGATTTTTCTTACGGTCCGAACGTTTTCCCACATTTCCCTTGGAAATGCAGCACGCACGTGAAAACTTCGTCGACCGATTTTCACCAATTACATCTTCAACGTGCAACCTTTGATCGAAAATGCGGACGAATGCGCAGGTTGCTTTAAAGCGAAATATTAAATTCATCGTGTGTGCTACGTCCGACCGCAGCTCTAAATCTCAAACGCCGGCGTAAAATCTAGAAACATGAACGGTACAACCGGTCTCGGGACCAGATCGACGTATTAATTACCTCAGGTTGAGCAATCGAACAGCTGGAGCGGGAAAAGCGCCGAATAAAGTGCGCGCGCGAGAGGGAAGCGACAACGAGTTTCGACAACGCGATCCAGACGCGATCTAGCCGCGCATTCAGACCGCCTTCCGTCGAGTTACGTCCAAATGCAACCATTCTCTTTCTCTCTCGCCATGAGAGAGTCCAATCCCACGCATGGATCGCACGCAATCTCCGTGTCGACACACTTCTCATTCACACGGCGAGAAAAGATTTGACGAAGTTGATCAATTTCTTCACTTCCCATGGCCGCGCGCAGTCTCGTTAGGCTAAAATAAATTTTTTTTAATTGTGCGCCAGCTCTCTCTCTCTCTCTCTCTCTCTCTCTCTCTCTCTCTCTCTCTCAATCTCTCTCCGCCTATCTATTATTCGTTTCATCGGTCCCACCGTTTGCGCATGGCGAAACGCCTGTATGCGCGTGTGTGTGTGTGTGTGTGTGTCGCATGCGGCTGAAGAACCCGTCGTCCGTCGTTCGAAGAACAGAAGATGCATCCGGATCTATGAATATATAAACAAAGAAAAAGAAGGAGAAGAAGGAGATGGAGGAGCGGAAGAAGAAGAAGAAGGAGGGAGAGAGGGAGAGAAGAGACTACGACTTCGTTTCTTGCATGCGCATGGCTGTACACGCGATCCTAAGCGACCGAGTATGACCGGAGTTCATGGGCGATCCGGGATTTCCGGCGACTGAGAAGCTGAGCGAAGCTCTCCTTTCCTCTTAGCGCTCCACGAGCTGTTCCCTACCTTTTGCGCCTAATACCCGGCGGGTTAACCGCGCTGCCGCGGATCGATTATGCGTATGTCGCCAAAGTCAATGAATTTCAGCAACACGCGGAAACAGCGGCAACGCTCTTATCACATAGCGGCGGCCGATCGCGTTGCGCCAGCGACGCCTTCTTCGATACGTCGATTTACTGATATTGCATTATGCAAGAGATCTAATGCAATTTCCTCGCGCGGACAGTTTTCCTCCGCGAGCTGCTTCGCAAGTAATTGCAGGCTGCACGAGCCTGCAAAAAACTGCACAGCCTGCGCGTCGAAACGACAGAAAGAGACTGGAATATGGAATAAATGCAACACGGACGTCACCTCTTGGCCGGATATACGTGCGCAGCGAGAGAAAAAATTAGTTGAATTAACTTCACGTCAAAACGATGAACAGAGCGAACGAGTTTCGAAGGAAACGGAATCTCTGAGATTTCTGGACCCAAATTTACTGTAATGCTTTCTCCTTTTTCCTTTTTTTTCTATGACTCGTGATATATTCTCCAATAATTTTCCCCGCTTAGCGGAATACATTCAGCGCATTGGCAAATAAATGTTCTCGAGGTTGCAAGCAAGCTTCTCGAACGGCAAGTTGAAAATCCCGATGTCACCGAGGCGATTTTCGAAAGGTCATGCCGCTGCCGTCTCTCATAGGTCTCTCTCTCGTCGTCTATCAGGAACGGCGAAGCATACCGAAATACCGTTTACCGGAATGGTCGGCAATTACCAAACATTAGCGAGATATACCGTAACTCGCTCGCCGCGATTTCGCTCGTCGGAATGCAATATGCATCGGGCAAATAAAACGCGCATACGGTCGACGGTACCGGATGACCTTCGACGCCGCGGCGGATAGTTTCGTTCTCGGGCTAAATGAGTGCGCCGAAGAGAAACGCTTCCTCGCCCGAGAGCGGGTGGATAATACGGAAGAGTTCCAGCGTGTTTTGTTTATTCAACGTGATTTTATATTCCTTGTGCGCGCGCGGGCGCGCGTTTCTCAGCGTGGACGTTCTCGCGTCGGCGCTCTCGTCAAGGCTCCGGCTCTCGAAGCTGTCGGACGCAAAAGTACGCGACGTCAAAGAGCAGAGGAGGGACGCGCGAGAAAATGACAATTCCTCGCTCTCTCTCTCTCTCTCTCTCTCGCGTGATGGAAGAATCGCCGTGCAATCGGCCGAAGACCCCGCGAGCCCGGCGAGAAATTTCTTCTGGGACACCCCGTACACCGAGTATCCGTGAAAAGGAGACCGCCGCCTACTTACGACGTCCTTATAAAGTAGATTCTGTTAGTCGAACGCGCGTCAGGTGTATCCTCGTGACGAATATCGCGTTCGTACGAACCGGTCGAACCGTTATGGTTCGCCATTCATAGCGTGATAAAAGTTGCCGAGGGTTCCATTCGAAAACGCTCGATGGACCCGCTTACGATTGAGTCGTCGGCTTTACGATAATCGTAAATTAAAGAATTAAATGTAATTGCGGCTATCCGTCGTGCGCTCTCGTGAAGCAAATGCGAGCGCAAGCGAGATGAACGGGGAGAAAAGCGTCTCGGGATCTTTCGGTAACACTCATCGCATATATTATTACATAACCTGTGAGGGATATTTATACGATGTGAAACATGTGTCTCATTCATTACAACGCTACTTGACGCGCATTATGCATAGGCAATGTCGTAAATACGAATTTGCAACTTGCGAATCTTGGGAAGAATAAACAACGTAACACGTTCCAATTTTGTTTCTTTAACGTTTAAACAAATTATATAATATGTGTTAATTGAGAGCTTTTATTTTATATATGGAGAAATTATGATATATTCAATCTAAATTTTCCTTGAGGAGGAGAAGAGAGAGAGAGAGAGAGAGAGAAGGAGAGAGAAGTAAATTTGCAAAAACACGAGTATGAATTTTTTCAAAATATTTTACTTTAAAATTGTATTAAATTTTTAAGTAATTAAATTACGAGGTCTGAAAGCAAAATAACCAACTCGTATAAAATACATATGAATTAATACGCGGACAAAAATCAATAACGCCGCGCAACGTGCAGTTTTATAAAATAATACCAACAAAATGTAATTGATTTTGGTTTGAGAGAGTTTTACGATTGAATTTAATTCTTGAACTTGATGTAATCCAATACCCGGCGCGTTGTTCAAACTCAGCCGATACTAAAATATTTTATTACATCTCTCATCTTCTTTTTTGTATTTTTCTTTTTCTCCTCCGAACTTTTCCGCCGAAGTCGCGCGTGCACTTTCTCCCGGTGCGTCCGCTTTCCCCTAGGCGCGAAAAGTCTCCTGCGATGGAAAGAAGTGCAGCGGGTGGGGAAAAAAAGTCACTCGCTCGCCTTGTGATCACGTTCGTTCTCGTGTATAATATGCCTCGTATAATATGCACATTATATTATGCGGCAATGTAACGGATCGGATCAAGTCACGTGCTCGGGTGCGACTTTGAGTGCATTCTCGCTGCACATGCATCGTCCTCTCTCTTTCTCTCTCTTTCCTCCCCTCCCTCCCTCCCTCTTTCTCTCTCTCTCTCTCTCTCTCTCTCTCTCTTCTCACCCCGTTATTAATATTCTCGTTCCTTTCATGCACAACACGAGACAAATCGCATGCTCGTGCCTTATCAGCGAGTCTATACTTTGAACGGCGCGGCAAAGGGAATTATATAATGAATGCAACGGTGATCGAGGGGGAGGGGGGATGCGCGAGGAAAGTATAATGGATGCAGTTGAAGAAGTAAATTGCATAAAATTCGAGAATTAGCTGGTCGATCCGACGATCGAGCGAAATGAAATTTTCAAGCTGAAGCGTATCAAGAATTCCATTAAGCAAATTGCTTTATTAAAATGTATAGAGAGAGCCTTCCTCTTTGTCAGTTAAAATTATTTCGTCACCAAATTTCTAATCGCACGGGGACACGCACGTACGTACGCGAGAAATCGGATTGTATTAATTGTATCCCGCACATTTCGCGGCGAACGTAATTGTATCCTAATAAACTCTCTCGCGAAATATATAATTACCGAGGAACTCTCGGCCGACAAAAGAAACCCGGCGCGCGCGTTTCGAAGCCCCGTCGCCCCCCTCTAGGAAGTGAAACGCTACTCATGTAAATTCATGCCGCGCGCACGAAAGAAGAAAAAGAGCGATATTATCGATCGGATTTATCGTTTCCGTCTCGCACTCGCACTCGCGACAATGGTGACAACGACCTCTCGGTTTACCTCGAGTCGGTCGTAAGTCTTAACCCATTATACACCGACGGGATTTAAGAGTCACGAGGAAATGCCTCTCTGTTGGCTCTCGGATTTCCCGCGAAAGTCAGTTTGCCCGCGACGACGACGGGATATTACCGTCCTCCGAAAACACCGTCGACATTCAATTTCGCGAGCGCTCCTAACGAGAAATACCGAGGATGTTATTTTTCTTCGTCACTCGTCCCCCCAGCCCGAGTGAGTGTGTATCGAAAGGACCGAAGGTAGGAACGGTATTGATCAAGCCGAATGGAATGACGTAACTCGCAGCATTCATGAGTGGGATACATCCAACGACATTTCCATTTGTTCCGAGTTGGAAACTTTCTGTCGCGTCGCCGTTCCGCGCGTCGCGACGCGCTGTCCGCACGATTGAGCCTGATTTTTCAGAAATGTTTGAAAGACAATCTGAAAACAGACAAATTGTAATAAAACTCGGACCCACACTGGCAAGTTTCCTCCGAGTCGAAAGACAAGCGGAAGCCCTTCTCTCTCCTTCTCTATTGTAAAATAAAATATCAATTTAACCCGAATGCGAAAATTGCCCCTCGAATAAATTTGTAGCGAAGGGGGATCGTCGCTTCGGAAAAGTGACATTCGCGAAAGTGTCAGAGAGACGAGCCAAGGACAATAAGATCTCAAGTAGATCCGGCTAAAGTTCCTTCAGAGTGTGAGGAACAAAGAGATCCTCTCTTCTCTCTTTGCGATAAAGAAAATGTTAATTCATCTAATTGCACAGGCATTGCCTTTCGAATAAATTTCTGGCGTGCGTAACAATGAAGATACACTTATCGAGGGATCGCCAATCACGATGAGCTGCGAAGGTAGCGATTCGATCCTGGTTACCTTGAATTTCACCGAGGCCGGTTGGATATGATGTGTGTGATCGATAGGTACCCTTAATTATCCCCCCGGCTGTCGACTGAATTTCTAATTTAATCGACTTCGATATCGGGTTCACCGTAGAAGCGGTAGTTTCACGTTTTCCTTTCCGAATCGCGATTAACCGGAATCCGTGTCAAGGATGTTCATTCGTCGGGGCTGGTTTATCTTCTCTCATCCGCCCGGAACCTACTTACGAATTAACTCCGCTCCGCTCCGCTCGGCTCCGCTCGGCTCGTCCAGCGAACGGCTTCCCAAGCGGTACCACTCGGTCGGCAATTCGCCTGCGCTTTGCGCGACTATTCGCCAGGCCGATAGTCGAGAAGCGGGTCACCGAATCGCACCGAATCACTCGCGGTGAATCGTGCAACCTGAGCGAGGCTAATGAGCGCTGATTATCATTCAGGAGAACATTCATCGCGCTCGCAGCGCGTCGTCTCACACACACAACCGTCCGACGCGCTCGAATTTATTACATCTTCGGCCCGTCAATTCCATTTATAAACCGCGTTGTATCACTCCCCCCTCCCTCCCCGCCTCCCCATTATCTCTCGTCGATATCCGGTACGAAAAGTACAACGAGCGATCGTCGAACCCGCAATAGCCCGGCCCGGCCGTTATAAGGAGGCGCAGTTGCATTCGAGCCGACCAGCGTGTAATTGTTATCACCGATGCAACGGCGAAACAATGTTGCCGGACCGGCACTCGCGTGTACGTAACGGGAATGTGGACCGTATGCGAATGCAGGTGTGATTAAATCGTTCTCGTTAACGGCCAACTATCGTTTATCGACCAGCGTCTCTCTTCGTGTCTCGCTTTATCGGAAGCATCGTGCGACCGCATCTTCACGGTCACGTTCGTGGCCTTTGACTTTGGGCGCATGTTGCAAAAACCGCAGCGACTAGCCAGGAACCACGTTCGATTTATGTTCGCCGACTACACGGGGACGGAAAACTGACGAGACGAGACGAGACGAGAGATGGATGTCGACCTGCGGATATCGATTCGCAGATGCGCCACCGGGCTTCATCTGAGATACCCCTCCTCCCCGGCAGAGCAGCCTGTCTTCTTTCACGCGCTTGTACACTCTCTGTCCCAAAAATAAAACCGGAATGGCTTGAAAAAGAAGCAAAAATAGTTAAGAAATCTCAAGACAAGAATCATTTTATTTATTCATTCGAAATATTCTCCCTTGGCAGAAATACAACGATTTGCACGGTCAAGAAGTGCATCAAACGACCTTTTTATGTCGCTGATTGGAATGGTGTTGAGATTGCTCGTCGTTGACCGTTCCGAATACCTTCAATTGAGGCAAAACGGTTTCCTTTCATCGCCAAATGCAGCTTAGGGAATAGAGAATAGTCGCAGTGTGCCAAATCGGGTGAATACGGGGGGGGGGATGTTGAAGCAATGAAATTTGATTTTTGATCACAAAAAGTCAGTGACAATTGACGAACAATGAGAATGTTGATTTTCTGTTCTTTATTCATTTTTAGACCAAGGTATCAAACTATTGTCACTTAAATGCGTCGTATCTTGGCTTCTAGTGAACGAAATGAATTTTATAGGTTACTAAGGAAGATTGACACTTCTTAACTCAATTTCCTACCGACGAAAGGCGCCACTAATTTCGTTAAAATAGAGCCTTTTTGGTTATTTTTGGGACAGAGGATGTAGATCAGACAGACTCGCCAGGCCGGTGCTCGTGGCCAGATTTTACGTCTCAAAACGTTTTGGGTTCTCTCACCTTCATCGGTGTTCTGTGGATCATTTTGTTGGTTAAAAAGTTTTGTTGCTTTTGGTTGGTAAAGTTTTTAAAGGAGAACTTTTGAGGATGTAAAACATGATGAATTTGACTGCAAATAATGGTCTTTGGTTGTTTATGTAGACATGGAGAGAGAAATGAAAACTCTTGCGCCAACACTCAGCCTTACGGATGTGTCTCGCTGTCGATAGTTATTAAAAGACTTTGGTCAAAGACCAAAGTCGTCATTTCGTCGATTAATCGAGAAAGCGGCGAGGTGTTTCCAAGGAAAAAGCAACATTTCGTCAGCTTAAAGAGGATCGATAGGATTTCGAGAGAATTTCCGTATCATGTACATAATGAAAAGTATCTATTGCAAACAAGGCGAGAGAATTTTCGGGGCCCTTATTCTCGAAAATTTATGAAAAATATCGTGTACGATATTTCATCAATGGGGCAATTTGATTGGCCGAAGATCGTGATATCCAGTGATATTCATGAATATCATATCCAGTGATATTCATATCATATGCGACATTTTTCAAGAATATGGGCCGGGTATAATTATCAATTCACGATCGATGGCAAGGCATCCGTCCGACTCGTGAGAGATCGACGTGTCACAGACGTGCGTATCGATGCCGATAGCGAACGTGTTAACGCGAATTTGGCTCGTCCATAAACGGAGGCTATCACGCGGCGATACCGCGAGAAGCACGAGAAATTAGAGATTACCATTTTGTTCGTAGATTCGAATGACGAAGCTGCCGCGAGAATGCAGTCACCGCAGACGGAAGCGCGAGATGAGACGGCGGAATCGAAGAGCGCATATCCGACGAAGGAGATCGACATCAAGGCCACGACGGAGGCGAAGAAGAAGCCGGTAGTGGATTTCAAGGTCAAAAGCGATCAGAAGTATCAGAAACCTATTAGCAAGGATGATGACGCCAAGAGACCGGCGGACGCCGACGTGTCGACAACGCTCTCAATGTCGCCCACGACGTCCTCGATGAAGCCCGATCACTCTTCAGCGACCACCAAGCCCATGGATGCGGCGGGTGTGACGATCCCGTTTCTTTTCCGCGGGGAACCGATCGTCGGGGTCACTGCGAGCGTACCGACGAGCGACAGTCCCACCGTCCAGGACACGATGAGCAGCATCGCGGAAACGGCGCGAGTGACGGAGGAAACGACGTCATCGAGAGGCAGAGCCTTGAACATCTCCGCTCCGGAGCCAACGAACTCCTTGCACGCTAATATTACGGATCTCAGTGACGTCAGCATGGACGAGGACGACAAGGAAGTGGAAGGTAAGAAAGAAAGTTGTAGGACAGACATTACGAGCGCGTGCGAGCGCGTGCGCGCGCGCGCGCGCTTCGTATCTTCTCTTTTCTTTTCTTCTTCCCCTTAGCAGTCACTGATGTTCTTTCAAATACAATTTCCAAGTGATTTTCCGTAGAAGTGAAAAATGGCCGACAAAATGTCACATCCTGTGTTTTTGTCATCATTTACATAGGCAGTTACGAGGCACTTTGTCGAGTCGAACGTGGCGGCTGAAAAATTACGCTTTTAACACGTTCATTGCCAAACTGAAAATTTGAATTTCGTGTGGAGGGCCAAAGTTATTTTTTCTTTTGTTTATTTTTAGTCGTTTTTTTTTTTGCACGATTGAACTGGCATTGAACTGAGTCTTTTCGAGGGTCCTGGTTTGTCACTCATAATAAAAAACAATCGCGTGAACGGCCGATTGGTGGAGGGGCCGCAACACGCGATATCGCGTGAACGGCAATGAACGTGTTAAAGTAATATTTTTAGCGATATGATCTCGAGATAATCTTCAATAGCGTTCGTTCCCCACGAAGATATTGAAGAAGATTCGATCGTCTGTTTTCACAGGCGGAGAGTACGTCGCGTCCCATAACGAAACGTCCGTCAACATCTCGTCGACATTGCTGCCGAAGGTGGCAGTGTGCGTTGACGGGAATCGCACCTACTCCTTAGGCGAGAAGGTCGTGCGAGGTTGCGAGGAGAAGTGCGTGTGCACCGAGAATGGCATCGTCAATTGCCAGCCGCTGTGCGTGCATCCTTACGTCAGAGCGGGCAAGGGTATTGAAGATCCTTTGTGCCAGGAGAAGACACTCACCGAGGAGCCATGTTGCGCCGTGATCCTCTGTGCCGCGGATTCCGGTACGTTTCGATTCGACTTTTTCCTCGACCTTAAGCTTCCCGGAGATTTCCAAGAGACCTTCAACGAACGTTTAGAAAAAAAGAAAAGAAAAAAGAATCTCTGGTAAAGTAACGATTCTTTGAAACGTCTAAAAAGAAGCGCCTTTCAGGACGCCTGAGGAAAGAAGGATCTGATAAAGTAAGATTCTTTCAGATATGCCTTAGAAGCGTCTGAAAAAAGAAACGATCCATTGAGGGTAGGCTTTTCAAAGTGTGTCTGTGGGGAGTTTGAGCCGCTCGCTCGTTGCTGCCTCGTCGAGCTGCTCGTCGATTCGCAATAATTTGAAAACCCATTTGCAAACCGCAGCTCCCGAGCCGGAGGAGACGTGCGTGTTCGGCAATCAAACGGTAGCCAGAGGGCAGCGTGTCGAAGACGGCTGCTCCAGGGTGTGCATCTGCGAAGCCGGCGGCCACTTAAAATGCCAAGCCAGGTGTCCGCCGAACGAGTCCAGCTCCATAGTCAACCAACACGACCGCTGCGTCGCGTTGGCTGATCCCAGGTAAGGGTGAGAGGCGCCTCTCACATCGGGCGAGGTCGCGGACGATCGAACCGCGTAGTGAAGTGAAGCGGCCCGGAAACAAGACCTAACAGCCAATCGCTCGCTCTTCAGGGATCCCTGTTGCACCATCACGCTGTGCGATGTCACCTTGGGCGATCACGAGATCAAAGCCGAGAATTCGACGGACCTGAGCGTGCACTTGATGGACGTGAAGGTGTTGAATTCGACGGCGATCAAACTGCGCTTGTCCGCCAAGAATCCCCAGGACGTCGTCATAGAGATCTCGCAGAACAATCACGTGTGGAGGCAACAGAAACCCGACAAAGGTAGGCAAATTTTTCAGCCCTGGACGGGACGGTCATTCGATGAGGTTCAACGGCTCGCTGGCGTGCATCGTTCACGCGTAACGCGTACCGATTCTCGGGGGAAATCGACGTCACGTGTGTATGCGTGACAACGATCATTTTTTATTCCTCAATTGTCGGGGACAAATTCTCTCGCTCGGCAGATTTCGAGAGGATTCGCGCGGATTCTGTCTAAAAAGACGTTCTCTTTATACACAATCCATAAAAAATACTTTATATACTTAAAAAATACCTTGTACTCTCTACAATGTTGCGAGTATATCGAATGTTATTATCGAACGAACTTTCAATTTAAATTCATCATCAACGAGAAACTTTCACAGGGTGACGAGGAGCACAAAGTCACACGTACAAAGTACTTATTAATATTCATACTTATTAACAGAATAATTAATGTTTGTCACACACAGCAGCCGCTTCACTTTGTTACAATGAGATATAGACTGTCTGCGACGGGCGACTTGCCTGCGCAAACAGTGGTCGAGCGAATGTGGTCAATTGCGAAAAACTCAGATTCCCAAGGATAAAGGAGCCACCGTGTATGTTGCAGACGGTATAGTCTCGACTTTGGAACCTGCGCACACGTATTACGTTCGCGTGGCGGAAGGAGCACGCACGAGCCCGGCGATTCAGGTGTTCCTGCCGGCCGAGGTGGTGAAGGTGACGAACGTCACCCACACGGAGAAGATGTCCGACAAGAACTCCTGCTACTACCGCGGCAAGTCCTACAAGCTCGACGCGGAGTGGTACGACGAGTGCATATACTTCTGCGTCTGCATGGAAAACGGCAAGAACGAGTGCGCCTCGATACAATGCCCGACGGACTTCGGCCTGGACGTGCTGGACCCCCATTGCGTGGACTGGGAAACTGTGCCCGCGGACTTTGTCCCGAAGGCACCGAACTGTTGCCCTCAGGTACTCCCTTCGTAGTCCTCCTTCGAGACTCTCACCCGCCGACGAAAGTTCTTGCGTTGCGACAGCTCCGTGTTGGAAAATACTTCTACTTACGTACTTTGATACGTGGTTTATTATTTCGCTGCTTCTCGCGAAAATAAGCAAATATCTTGCTAGTCTTGTCACACTGCCGGAGACGCTGGAGACGCGAATCGGCGTCTTTGGCTACTTCTGAAGCGTCAACTCGCTTCTTCAGGGGCCGGAGGAATGTGAAGGAACCCACTGAGGTTCAGATTCTGTTTCTGCGCTCCTTCATGAGAAGCAACGTCCTATTGAGGGGGAAAATCATGTTGGAAAATATTGCTAGCGCATTCATCAATTTTTATATCGTAATATTTTAATATTTCATACTTTATACCTCTCATATTTTAAGTAAAATGTTGCAACTGTATATTCGCGGTGTGTTAATGTTATGCAATATTCATATTATATTTCACGTTATATCGTATTACATATGAACATTACATTAAAATCTACATCGTATTATAGTTCTCGATGTGATATTGATCGAGAGATATCCGTGCGTCCTCGAAAAGGGAAACGTTTCTCGCGCACGGAATCGTTTCCCCTCGTTGACGAAAATTCTCCGCCGGGATTTCCTGCCGAGTTTGCACTTTCGCATATCAACGAGTCGACACTCTGCAGGAGGTGCGCTGTAGAAATAACGGCTCCTGCCTCTATAACGACGTCGTGTACGATAACTGGAGCAGATTGCCGATGAACGTCACCGGCTGCGAGAACGACTGTTTCTGCGAGATGGGCAACGTGTCCTGCCGCGCCGCTTGCAATCCTGTGCCAGCCTTGCCGCCTGCCAACCTGCAGTGTCCTTATCCGCCGATAGTGACGACTCATCCTGACAATCCGTGCTGCCTGCAATGGAGCTGTCCTCCTTCGCCAGCACACTCCACACTTCCAGGTAAATAACGGTTCAGGTGAAGGCGAAAACCGCACCTTCCAACGCCTTCCCGGCCAGATTGTTCTTAACCGTTGGGGCTGCACGCACTATTTGGGGTGCGAGACGTCTTAGATCCGCGCAATTCCCTGACTGTTGTTGACACGGTTGACTCGGGCGCGTGTCCTTCGGAAAACTCACCTCTACCGCTGCGACTTGCTGGAAGGAAGACGAGATCGTACACATGTAATCATCTCTCTCTTTAAGGTCTTCTAAGTCTCCGCGTATACGAATGCACACGGTGAAAAATTGCGTTGATGCTCTCTCCGACTTGCAAGCACACCGTCTTGAATTTTTGCAGCGATGTACACCTTAGAATCGGCTCCGGGTTTACTCGTCGGACTCTCGAGCGCCGCGGCCGATATTACGTTAATCTTAGACGTGCATTCAGTGAGACACCCCCCTTGTCTTCCCTCGATCATTCCCTCTGTACATACTCCAGAATAACCGTGGGCAAAGCTGTAAATGCATGCTTCATGTCAGCCGCGGCTGCGCTTGAAAAATGCGTAAGTTGGTTCCCGCTGTAAATATGCATGGACTATGGACAACCCGTGACCGATCACTGTGACAATCTCTGTGACAATGGACTTTACTCATTGCAGGAATGAACGTGACGACCGCGTACCCCGGCCCCTTAGCCACAGACACGTTCGATCGGCAAACGATTGACAGTAGCAAAAGACCGAATAACAAGTCGGAAACGCTCAGGCCCAGCCAGGAACCGGAGCGTGGCGCTTCCTCCCTGTGGCAAGACCCGAAAACCTATAAGACCCAACCAGACGTCACTACTCACGGACTTCCTCATTATCCCATGGACCCAGGACATCCCACAGTGCCTTACAATGGACCTTACAGTCCGGATTACGTGCCCACACACCCCACCGTGGAAAACGTCTTCCACTTGCCCGAAAAGCCGATGTCGCCCCCGAAAGAAAAGTCCAAGTCGAAATCCGACAGTAAAAAGCCCGTGGAGCCGGTAAAGCCTCACAAGGAGACGATCGATCAGTACTTCCCCGGTCCGTTAGCGCCCAATAGGTTCCCCGACAAAGGTTCCACTTCGACGTCCCCGTACTCGGTCAACGAGAATCAACACGTTCCAGGTTCGGTGAACCCGAACAAACTGCCCCCTCAGCAGAAGACCCATCTGATCGACCAGCCCCAATTCATTCCGTTGAATCCTCATCCGGATACGTCAGCAGTCTCAGACTTCCCTTACGTTTCTAACAACAAAGGGGGCATTCCCCCAATTGGCCTCAACGGCCAGTTCGATAGTCCAGCGGCTGGACTATCTCCCTATCGGGGCCCAGTCCCCGTCAAGCCCGACACCGTCGACCCCAACATAATCGTCCCGACGCTTCCGAAAAAGAAGGCCACGCCGAGCGATTTGTTTATCGACATGGACAAGTCGAAAGCACCCCCGGCCGTACTGCCTGGTCTGCCGAAACAGGGTCAGAGAAACCCCGAGCAAGAGATCTTGCCGGAGCAACTGTACCACCTGATAAACCTGCACCCCGGTTTGCACCAGCTCGATCAGGTGCCCCCTTCGGGCCACCCGGGTCTGTACGACCTGCACCAGCAGATCTCCGGTCAGAAACAGCCGTCCAATGACCGCGGGCAGTCCGATTTCTTCGGGACGCCGGCCTCCGCGTCGAAGAAAGCCGCCACCAAACCGCCGCGCATCTTCGCGCAAAAGAACGAGAACGGGCAGACCACTTATCACATTCACACGCCCGACATCCCGAGCTCCCCGCAGCAGATCGAGGAGCTGTTAGCGCACATCAGCCAACACGATCCCAATCCCGGACCCTTCCAACACTATCCCGGCCAACCAGCCATACCTCATAATGTACCGAACGGCCCGCCGCCGCCCACTCTACCGCTTCACATAGACGCTCACATACCACATTCAGGACTCACGCATTTGAACCATCCGTTCGCAGCACAAACGCCAAACCAGTCAGGTTCGTTCCTGATTACCTGAAGAGATAAGGCGCAGGACTTTCGCGGTGGCAGCCGCGTTCTAGTGAACGCGGCCGATGTTCCTCGCCGGGAGACCGAAACGATTCTTACGCTGTCGACCGCTGTTGAGCCCGCTCGCGAGTCGCGTCGAGGAGATGAATTTTTGCGCCGCAGAAATTGAGATTTCCTGCAAATCCGTCCAGCGACAATCGAAAAGTGCAATTCCGTCGGTCTGATCGCAGCGCCCCGAAAGCGAAATTCGCTGGGATTCTTCTTCTTCGGTCTGTCGCGATTCGTAAGCGCGTTTCCGTGTGACGGAAGAATCTCTTCAGTTTGCCGTAAGGAACATCGGCGCTTACACCAGATACGTTTGTTACCAAAAGTCTTGTGTAACTTTGTGTACAAGGAACATCGCGTTAATCTCGAAGCAGATCTTTTGCGAGTGATCGGAAATTTACAGAAACGCGTAGAGACGAACGAGTCGTGAGAGAGAATAGACTTCGCTTCAGACTTTGTGAGAACATACGATGAATCTCAGACCAAGGAGTGGTGAGAGGGGTCGATAGCTTCGGGGGGGAGGGGAGGGGGGGTAACAGCTCGCGAGTAACGCGAAAGAAGGAAACACAGTTGCTCATCGAAGACGACGCGATTATCAGAATTCATGAAGGAGAAAAGAAGAAAATAAAGCAGTCTCGAATGATTCGAATAATTCGAATCCTAAGAGAAAAGAGAATTCGATGCTATAACTTTGATTTGATGCTAATCGGGTTAATAATATCAATCGGGTGTTTCTCTGACGAAAAAAATTAGCTCATGCTCGTCATGCGTGTTATTATTACGTCTCACCACTCGCTGTGTGTCCTCACACATCCCTGCGTGGCGAGATCGACTCTTGCTACCACCGTGACGCAACGGGTAGCAACGAGAATAACAGGCGTCGTCCCGGCATATTTTAGGTCTGGACCACAACATTGTACCTCCAGGCTTCCCACTGGCCGGGGGTATACCTGGATTCCAAGCTGGGCCACCCTCCAACGAGGTCACCGTGCAAATACTGGAGGCACTGGATGAACATACAGTTCGGCTGGTGTTTACCGTCCCTCAGGTGCTCGTGGGACTGCACGGCAGGGTCGAGCTGCGATACACCAGCGACAAGACGTGAGTACACAAGACGTATGTGTATACGTGAGACAGATTAGCTATCATTCTGTAAGAAATCTCGCTGTTCCGCAGGAATTTCGATCCATCCATGTGGAAGCTACAGGTGTTCGCTCCCCCTCATGACCTGATCGCGACGCAGCAGCTGGAGTTCGAGCTGGGCGACTTGAAGCCGATGACCGAGTACAAAGTGAAGATCACGGTGAGGCTGAACGACCTCAACAACAGCCCGAGCAGTAAGATCTACAGCGTGCGCACATTGGAGAAACGCGCAGAGGAGACGACCTTACCGCCGCAGATCCCGATCGACGCTGAGCTACGGGCGATGGAGACTAACTCAAGCTGGGTCAACGTCATGTGGAAGAAGTTCACGGATTACGAGTTACAGTTTATCGACGGGGTGCAGCTGAGGTACAAGGAGCACGACGGTAAGGTTTACGCGGCGACCCCGCTGATTCATCGCTCCGTCACGAATTACGTGATTGAAAACCTGAGGCCGGCGACCAAGTACGAAGTCGGTATCTACTTCATACCGTTCGCCGGACAAACAACGGAGCTAATTAGCGAGAAAACGGTAAGACATTTGATCGCGATTATCGCGCCTTGTGTTTGGTCTCTCTCGATGGTTCTCGTCGATTGATCGTCCATGAAAACGGCTTAATCAAGAAACTAAACGACAAGTCTGGACTCTGATGCGACTCGCGTGCGAGAACCATCGAGGAATCTTATCGAGGAAGCTGATCGAAGCTAGAAAAATCCTTAATATCGTGGAGGTGTGTCGACACGATATTCTCCTCCTTCACAGATCAACGTAACTACGTCGATGGAGCCCGACCCCTACTCTTTCGACGTCAAGGTCGAGATTAAGACCGTCAAGTCGACGGACGTGGAAGTGTCATGGAGCGGTGTACCTTATCCGGAGGACAAGTACGTGAACATCTACCGAGCGATCTACCAGAGCGACACCGGCAAGGAGGACACCAGCACCTTCAAAATCGCCAAGAGAGACTCTCACGCCAAGACCGTGATTAGCGACCTGAAGCCTGGCACCAGATATCGCTTGTGGCTCGAAATATACCTGACGAACGGCAGGATCAAGAAGAGCAACGTCCAAGACTTTGTCACGAAACCAGGTGTCCTCTTACCAGCCACTGTGTCCCAACAAGGTGACGATCTTCTCTCGAGCAGATTCGACGTATTTTCCTTATTTCTTTTTCCTTATCTCAGTCAACTCACATCGTTAGACTAACCGTCTTTTATCGCTCAGCTGGAAAACTCGCGTCGTTCCCTCTTCACGAAGGGGACTACTACGGTCCTCTGGTGATAGTGGCCATCGTGGCCTCCCTGGCGATACTATCGACCCTGATCCTGCTGATGATGCTAATGAAGAGACGGACCAGCAGTAAGGCCGACATATCACCCCGTAAAACGACGTCGGCATACGACAATCCATCCTACAAGGTAGAATTACAACAAGAGACTATGGGTAATTCGCTGTTTTTGTTTTCTACGTAGTGCGAGATGAAAACGCATCAATACGACCGAACGCTCGCGTGTTAGTACAAGAAATTATGAAGATTTGTGTATGCGTCTCCTTTTCTATGAGGATTTCTCGTGCGATGAAAAACATATGGCCTTTGGTGCGTTTAACTATCGACAAACCTGTCTTTAGTCTTAACGAAAGATGAGCACTCGAGTGAAGAGTACTGTTTCGCAATGATGCCAACACAACATTGAACGTTGCCCATTTTCAGACCTGTGAGGACGCTGTCACGATATCCAACGGGAGGAACAAGATTACAAGCGACCACGAGATGACCACCATCAATTCGAATGCCAAGGAAGCCGCTTAAAGTTCTATAATTTATTGAATCTATATTTATTTATATATCGCCGCGCACACACGCCTCGCGAGAATCCGTCTAATGAGTCCGTCGTATGACGATGTATTATACGTACGTATATGTTAAGAGATACCGCCGAACGATCAATTAACAGTCGCGCCACTTACGTCGAGAATAATCGCAGGAAGTGACACATCCGAGCAACACATACACGCATACACGCCGCTGTGGAAGATGCAATACTTTTATCGATAGTTTCGAGATACTTAAACGGCAACGCATTTATGCATGACTCGCAATTTCATGCTGGTAACCGATGATTGAGATTGATCACACAAAGTTACGTTGTATTAAAACTTGTATATAGCGTAGATGTCGCACGACATTGACGATTTTAAATCTTCGATCTCGGGAGAGGATCGATCTCGGGAAAGGAAAGAAGAGGGAAAATAGACGAAGAGAAGGAAACACGAACAAATCTGTCCGACTTACCTGTACTTATAAACATTTTAATATCCACTTTTATATATATATATATATATATATATATTTATGTATATATATGTGTGTGTGTAAAAGTGGTATCTGTACTTAAACATTGTAATATCCATTTATATATATATATATATATGTATTCACGTATACGTTACTTGGTTAATACGTTTATTTTTGATGTATTTAATAAAATTAATTACTTAACTAAGACACCGTATAGGTAAATAGCTTCACGCGTCGTGTCTTATTGGACCGAGCGCGAGAGGATTTTGTACAGTTTATATTTGTATTTTTAGAGAGAGGAAATTTATAAAATAAATAACATTATTATATAAATTTGCGTCCGAGTCACACACCCGAGTAATTCTCCGAGTAATAATTCGGACGACGGTGATATACTCGTAAAATAACTTTATTTGCATTCTCCTCGAGTACAATGAAACATCGTTTAACGATATAAAGTGGCGGGAAAACATTTCCACGAATCTCCTTAGAGAGAGGTTTACATAATTGTGTGCGTTTGTACCAAGTGCCTTCTTAGTAAATGAGGAAAGACGGAGTTACTGGCGATGGAGGTACGCTTGTGTACCTTTGAAAATATTAGGTGTGAAAAGAAGAAGCGCACAAGAGAGGAGAACCATACCAAACTTTAAAGGTACTTCTTCAGAGTGTCTTCCATATCCAACGGTTCTGTATGCGGCTCAAATCTGCTCACCACTTGGCCCTTTCTGTCCACAATAAACTTGGTAAAGTTCCATTTGATTTTGCCATCTTTTTGCTCCTCCAGCCATTTCCACAATGGATGGGCATTCTCTCCGTTCACGTCGATCTTCTCGAACATGTCGAAGGTGACGTTATATCGCTGCACGAAATTTAAGATCTCCTCGTTCGTGCCCGGTTCTTGGTTAGCGAATTGGTTGCTTGGAAACGCGAGGATTCGCAAACCTTTCGTCATGTACTTGTCGTAGAGCTGCTGCAGCTGATTGTAATTTATGTCCGTGTAGCCGCAGTGGCTGGCGACGTTGACGATGATGAGCACATTGCCGCGATATTTCTCCAGGGGTACATCCTGACCCTTGATGTCATTTGCGTGGAAGTCGTATATCGAAGTAGCTGATTGATAATCGCTGTTCTGGTCAAACGTCTCTGACTTGACGATCTTTGAGAAGACGGCGAAAAGCAGGAATAACGACGTAATTCCTGTATTTGTGCAATACAGTCATCGGTTAACGTTATCACACCCGTGAAGAGTGAAAAACTAAAGATCATATCACGATCTTCACACTTCTTAAAGCAATATCTTTGCTATACCCGAGGCAGATTTTAAATACTTCTTTCTATATACAAAATAAATTTTGTACTCTTTGTGTTTGTTCTTTCCAAATCTTTAAATGTTTGCCTCAGAAATGAACATCGCAAACGAGAAATTTAAATACGAGAAAAAATCTCAATAAAAGCAACAGCAAGAAAATTTGCTTCATAACCAGAATACAATAAACAACTTAAAGGGGACATCAAAAATGAAAATGTGCTTTTGAAGTGCGGTTTGTTGCAATAGATAGTCCTTTGTGTCTATATTAAGAATATTAAGAATTCATACATTAGCTTCAGACACCTCTTACTTTTTTACAAGTTAAAAAACATGGAAATGTTGATGTCATCCGATTCAGTCGCGCTTGATAGCGCGATAGATTTCAAGGAAAGGAAAAAAAAGTGTTAAGTAGCAAAATGTTCCAAGTTTTTATAAAAATCGATCTTTCTGTCGTGCCACATTGATATTTCGGCTAAGACGACGTATGTTGCACGTTATTTCTAAAAAAAAATTAATATTACAAATAAAATACTCGTAATTTTAATATGGATCAATACAAATTACGACAGGTAACTCCGCAGGAAAATTCCAAATTGAATATAACTCGTGCGAATATGTTCTACCATTCGATTTAATCGCGTTTGTTTATTCGTTTAGAAATGATAAGTGTAATAAAATCAAATATTTTTAGCTACTTGTTGAGATAGACAGTTGCGATAGACGCAACTGTCACGAAGTAGCAAAAAAGCTAACTTGCAACGAGTGACTGTGAAACGAATGAGAATAAAATAATATTTTCATAAGTATACAATTTGTATATATTTAATAATATATTTTTTGTATAAATTCCCTTTCCCTCTCTCTCTCTCTCTCTCTCTCTCTCTCTCTCTCTCTCTCTCTCTCTCTTTCACACATATACATATAGACATACGAGCGCGCGCACGCATACATTTACAAATCTTAAATACTGAAATAAATAGAAATTTATATACACCACAAATATATAACATTTATAAAAATACAAAAATATTTATTTCTATTATTGCAACAAACCGCATTCCAAAAGCGCATTTCCACTTCTAGTCTTCCCCTTGTTAGTCAAAATTTCAGAATTTTTGTTTTTATAACCTTTGTGTTCACGTAAAACAAGGAAAATATACAGAACACATTTATAAAATATTATACATGACAATTACACATATCAATATATAAAGTACTAATGATGAAAATACATACAAACACGTCACAAGACATCCTGAAATAATCCTGTATGTGTTTAGAATATCCTAAACACATAAACACACAATCTCAAGATGTTTCGCGTTGTTTGTTTGGCCCATTATAAGTCCCATTATAAGTGAGATAAGAAAAGAGAATTACGCAAATTAAATTTCTCATTATTAAATTATTAAATCGTCATTAGCAATAAAATTGCACATGAGGAAATAACAGTTGAAATGAGCAACTAAAAATTCGAATCTTTCGGTCTACTCACGCAACATTCTGCAGGAAGCAGCAACTCCGAAGGTAGCCAAGCGCGTACTGAGGCTGCTCAGGTGCGGCTACGTGATATATTGTTACCGTAAAGCACGTTTATCGCTAAATAGAACGGCGTCACGATCGTACAAATAAGACGAAATTACGCGCGGTAGACACGTAATTTGAGTTATTACCTCCCAATAACATCCGAGCCGGAGATTCGGCAATATACACAAGCTCACCGATGCGCGCTCTTTGTTGCCTCATATTTGCTCGTTTTGTGGGACCTTGAAGACACATTGACCCACACCTACCTTTGTTCCCGAGGCGTATGCCGCGCCACGCGTTTGTAACGTCCACGCGATCGATACCTCGATACTCACAAGGCTATTTGCAGCTACGTGCAAAGTTAAAGACCCATCCAGGCAGAATCGCACGGTCGCGTAAAGCGTACGCGCACAGCCGGCAAAATCGATAAATTAAAGAAAAATCAAGTAAAACGCACCGTATCGTTACGCGCGTTACGAGCTGTATGAACGCCGATTGACATTTCGATCATAACGGTGGCTTTCGTCACAGATTCGATTTCAACTAACCGACAATTACAACTCAGCCGGCAAAGTTATCAACATGGAGGATAAAACGCTGTTTATTATTAAAGAAAGGTGTAAGAAGATTCTCTTGTTCTCTCGTTACGTTCTTTCATTGTTTGTAATGTTTTTGTCAGTCGAATATATCGTACCGCTTTATTTTGTTAACATACGCAAAATTATTAATTGTTTGGTTATTGGACGAAAAGTTACACAAATACAGAAAGTACTACTGCCGACTCTGTCGGTTAGTCGTCGCTATAACTGGAGTTTGACATAACTCACTCTCATGTCGTAGAATTGTCAATGAAACTGTCTCGCAAAATATGAATTGTGTGAGGCGGACTTAACTTTGGTCGAAGATCATTTTTTACGTTGCGCTGCGATGGAGTCGGAACCGGTTCTTTGCTTTAAAAATGTGCTCTGGAAATCTTAGGACACAACTGGTCCCTCCGACTTGAAGATGGGCGATGCACGATCGATCGATAATCGATTCTTTCGTCTCGTTGAAGGATCGATTGTGCTCTCGATGTTTTCAAATTCTATTAATTTATACGTCTTTCGCCAAGCTCTGATTAATCTGACCGACAATTAATTGGCAAAATAACTAATTGAAATGGGTTGCTTGAAGCGACAAGAGGAAGATTACATGGCGCCAACGTATGGAGAATACGAAGGCCTGAATGTTTACCTTTCTCTGTTGAATGTAATTTAAATAAAGCGTAGTGTCAGGTACTATCTTGATTCTTGAGTTTCTAAATCTTTTTTTTATTACTCCATATCTGTTGCTATTTATTTTGACCCACAGCTTCATATTTTAGCCGCGATAAGCGGCTAAGAGAGCGTTAGCGCTCAGCGAGATTTTTCTGATATTTTAAATCCTGTAAATTTGACAGTCTTTAATAGCATCTTATCTTATCTTATCGGTGATTTAATTTTTTTCTGGACAAACTAACGGGTTTTTTGTGCTATCGTTAGATGGCGTTAGGTAGGCTGTTGACAAACTGCATAGTGGTACATAACCTAGAAATACAAACACGACCGTTCGCAAAATGGTAAGTGGATACGCTAAATTTTATTATTATGTATTTTTTAAATATATACGATTAAGTGATATATTTGACGTCATCTGATAAAATTTATTTTTCTTCAGGCACGAAATGCGGAGAAGGCTATGTGAGTATATGCAGTTTTTCACTTGCATTTTCAAATTTTTTACACGACCTATAAACTGTTAAACCGTTTTATGATTTTTAATTACTAATATCGCTGATACTTTTAGGACAACGCTTGCTCGTTGGAGAGCAGCGCAAAGTAACGAAGGAGCAAGGAAAGAGCAGGAACGGAGACCATACCTAGCCTCAGAATGCAGAGATCTGCGCAAGGCAGAAAAATGGAGAATGCAAATAATTAGAGAAATCGCAAAGAAAGTTGCTCAAATTCAAAACGCCGGACTCGGAGAATTTCGTATTCGTGATTTGAACGATGAAATAAATAAGTTGCTTAGAGAAAAGCGACATTGGGAAGCACAGATCAAAGAACTCGGTGGGCCTGATTATTCCAGAGTTGGCCCTCGCATGTTGGATCATGAAGGACGTGAGGTAAGTGATTGTAATTTGTATAATCTTTACAACATGCTTTTCGTGACTCAGTAATGAGTGAAAAACTTTTTTAACAAACTTTGATCTACCAACAGGTGCCTGGCAATAGGGGTTACAAGTATTTCGGAGCTGCCAAGGAACTACCTGGTGTCAGAGAATTATTCGAGCAAGAACCGCCGCCACCTCCTCGGAAAACTCGCGCGGAATTGATGAAGGACATCGACGCGGACTACTATGGTTACATGGACGATGATGACGGTATTTTGATACCACTGGAACAAAAAGCGGAGCAAGAAGCAAGAGAAAAGTGCATCAACGAGTGGGTATCTCACGAAAAGGATCCGGAATCCACGGACATTGAGATCACGGCGCAGAAACCCATTCCTACGCAGCAGGATATTCAGGAAGCTTTATTAGCTAGGAAGAAAAAAGAGCTGCTGGACAAGTATGGCTTGGACTGAGGCCTGAGTGCTGAAAGCAGTCCGCGCGATCGTGTACATAACAGTAATTATCTTTTATATAATTGAACAATAATAAATATATATTCGTAAATTTATTGGTTTAATTATATATTAGAATACATTTTTATAAAACGCGATGGGGGGGATATGATAATTATTGTTAATTTATAAATACGTAATAACATTGATTAAGGTAATTAGTTTGTGCAGTAGACATTCAAACTTGAATTGATGCTTATCGAGAGAAAAAACGGGTGCTGTAGATAAAATATAGATCGAAATCCAACGGTAGTCTGTTTATAATCTTCGCGACCTGGTGTCCCCTTACTTAATCTCGTCTTCTCTTCTCGTACCTCCTCGTGACAGGAAAATGGGTGAAATACCGTAATAAAATAGAACGACCGGGGCAGAGTGTACGCGGTACGTGTAACGTCGTAACTCCGTAATGAAATCTAGAAATCGTCGCACACACTTATTTCTCCCGTAAATGTATCCTCGTTATGTGTTGCAAGATAATCAACGTGTTGGAATGCTCGACTTTGTCACTTGTCGTCTCGATACTGCAAGCATCTACCGACAGACGAGTCCTACCTAATTCTGCAGCATGTCCACTATACGAAGCTAAGGTGACCAGATACCCGAGGAAAGGAAAAATAATGTCTTACCGCTTATTGTGTCTGATGTTTCTTACACGTACACGCACACGCACGACTACTACGCACACTCATACGTCATTTCTAAAACTTCGATACAATAACGGAAATTGTACTAGCCGCAAATAGAAGGACAAGTCAATCGTTTAATTTCAAAGCTTGAACGGAATCTTACTTCGATGCTTGAATGCTAGGTGCAAGAAAATCCTCGCACTTTTTCCCGAGAATGTCTAGAAGGATTCATTAAATCTCCTAAAAAAGGACGGGGAGCTCCACGGGACCCCGGTGTGGTGACTGAAGGTAAAAAAACTAGGACGTCTGGTCACCCTATACGAAGCCAGCGGCGTCGACTTTTTATCACGCGAAGTGTGAAAAAACGCTGTTACGGTAAGATTAACATTATCACGATTATGTTACATCAGATTCGAAGAGTAAAAGGCCTAAAAATTACCCTGAAAAACTATCCGCTAATGAATTACTTCATGCCGACTGGAACTCTTTGAGAATCCCACTAAATTCCAGCTCGCGTTATACAAAACGAATGATCAGTTATCTCGAGAGATCAGCTACCTCTTTTAATTCATTTAGATAAACGTAATTCTCGTGATCTCTTCAGCATCGTGTCGTTTATAAACAGACTGTACATTATACGATGATACATCGCTAGGTCTCAAAAGTGCTCTCTCTTCCACTCTCCAATAATACCAGCTATGTAAATCATACTAATGCTGTAAGGACCGGAAGGAAGTTGTTCCAACTTCTTGGTAAATTAACTGATAGTTATAAAATCATATATCTGTCTTTGTTTTTCCTTCAACTTAGACGGCCCTGAGTGTGTCGTAATTTATATCTCGTATTTAGCACCAAACGAAAGCTTTTGCATTCACAGCTCAAGGTACGTCCCATTCTCGCACAAGACAAGTAAAATTCGCGATTGCTACCACTTGTGACACTCGACTCTCGAAAAAGAATGGGACGAAAATTAACGAGCATCTTCGAAACTCCTTCCTTTTCCATCGAGAAAACGATTCAATTTCAAGTTCCTCTCTGAAACGCTGAATGCAGATGCGGAAGGAACTCGCGCTAGAAGAGCATGATGAGAAAACCTGCCGTCGAGGAAGCACTTGGGAGACCTCGCGGTCGCGGTTTTACCCCTAAGACGTAAATGACAGAATAGTTCGAGCATGGATTAATAATCACGATGAAAATTTATCACTAGAGGCTTGAAAAAGTCAAGCGTTAAATAATTCACAGCATCTGTTTGTCCGTTAATCAGTCACCGGTTTCGTCCGTTGATCCGGGGGTCCCCTTAATATTATCCCTCTTTCTCTTTTTTTTTTTTTATTTTCTTTTTTCTTCTTTTGGTCTAAGCCTACCCCTCACGTTGCATCACCACTGTCATCTCCTTTGTATCCGCCATGACACGGCGGTAACTATTCGATTCGGTTAATACGAATGTTCATACGGATGTTGCAAGGACTCGCGTGGCTGGAGATCTCCAGACGCCTCCTTTGAACATATCTGAAAAGCAACTCGAGTGTGTACTCATAACTACTCTTTTTTCAGACACTCGTATCGACCGAGGAGAAGCGCGCGGATAATCAAGAGTCTATGATCTCCGTTGTCGAGAGTAACAGCTAGGCACCTGATACTGACAGGCGCGAGTTTCTCGTACAAAATGCCCGAACAGCGAAAATGTTACTTATGGCGCGACATATCGAAATCGCGACGCCTTAACGGTACAGTGTGCAATAAACGCGGCGGGAACCCCCGTTTGCTCGTCGAAAAACTTTCTCTAATATTAACGTTACTGATTATAACATCTCTATCTAACGTACTCATGTACTCGTATATGTTTCTAATTCGAGTTACAGTTATATCGACTCTACAATCACAATCTGCGTTTACGGAGTGCGTTTTGCGAGTCATTGTGCGTCATTGAATTGTGTGAATCCGCCCCGCTCGTACAAGTCATCCCGATCACCCCCGATCGAGGTATCTTGGCCTGAAATCACCATCATCGTCATCGTTGTCAACATCGTCATCATCGTCGTCGTCGTCGTCGTCGTCGTCATCGTCGTCATCGTCGTCGTCGTCGTCGTCATCGTCGTCGTCATCGTCGTCGTCATCGTCGTCGACGCCATGGCGCCAATTGCCGCCCGCGCATGTATCAATCCATTCTCGAACCATCTCAAGACACCAACACCCGTGTTCTTAATCTCACAGCTTAACGCCACTTACTCGCCGCTTCTAAGCCCGTTCCGATTCCGAACTCCTTCAGACATATCTGAACGAAGCGTAAGATGCCGGATTTGCATTAGGATGAAAGGTCTCGCGGCTAAGTGAACCGAACTAATCTAAAGGTTAATGAAGACCGTCGCGTTATGTATAAAAATGAACATAAACGCACAAGCATAGCGTCTTGGCGAACGGGACGGCCAGCATGATCGTTGCCAGTCGCAACAGGGACTAATAGCGAGAGCCTTCTCGGTATTGGTCAGGTGGCGATTCAGGGCATATATTATGGATACTTGTCCAGATGCGATTTCGATCGGAAAATAATTCCGTTTTCCCTAGAAAACACGATAGAAATCTAGAGGATAACTTAACTTAATTCCGAGCGAGTCCGTAATACGTGCCCTGTAGTGCGATTCTTTAACTTGTTATTGGAGGAGTTAACGACAGTTTCGTTATCGTTGCGCAGCTTTTCTACGGTATACAAAAGCTGCGCAACGATAACGAAAGTGTCGTAAACTCCAATAACGAGTTACAGAATCGCACCATTGCTGTGTTATTCTTCAGCCGACAAGACGAATTGCCGTGTATTATTTCGCCGAGTTCGACGTTTTCATCGACGGCAAGTGGCGGTCGACCTCCTTCTCTCGGGATTGACTGTCGAGGCACTTGCGCTCCGTTCCGGTAAAATGTCTGATCTCCGGCTAACGATACACCGCGAGTATAATGTCATGAATACACCGAGATACACCGGACAGTGGAAATCGGATAGCTGTGTACGTTTGTACGTTAAATGCATGGCGAGAACACGGGCCCAACGTTTGCAATATCGATTCGTGCGAGCAAACACAAGCAAATCGAATATCCGTCGAATGTACTATAAGATGGGTCAATATTGACAAAACGACACAGTAATAGCGATGATTCATAATTTGAAGAACAACAACGCCGTTGCCGAGATATTCGGACGGTGTGTCCACACAATGCGACTATGCGTCTCGTGAAGTAGAAGAGATTTTACGGAGAAGGAAAAAAGACAAAAAAGAGACTTATAAGAAAAGTAAAGCGAGAACACGTTCTTCGGCGAGGCAGAGACTCATTAACTTCTCTCCCGATGAAATTTCGCACTTAAAGCTTAGAGCTTAAGGTAGCCGAGGTTACTTAGCGATGCAAATCAACAAAGCTGCAAGTGCACGAAAAGCACTGAAAAAGAGATAACGTTGAAATATCGAAAATGCTTATATTATCGATATGGCGTTAACTCGCGCGTTTGCTCAGCAGTTCGCGCATTCGAGTTGCGCGATTGAGAGAGAAGAACGGCAGACCGAGGTGTCTCAACAATTTCGTTATTGTTCTGCAAAGCGTCAGACACGATCGCACGATGACAATTCACTGTGCCGGCTGTCTTGTCTTGTCTCAAGGGTGGACGCACGAATCACCTCCAACATTGTTCTCCGCGCGAGCGAATGCAAAGTCTCCGATGATTCAACTGACCGTCGCACGAGTCGAAAGTTCCGTGCAATTTTACCCCCGGGTTTTTACCTTTCTACCAATACGCACAACAATTTCCCAGTTTCGTCGACTCGAAAAACACCGGCGTGGCCACCCTTGCGGTATCTTACAGTACGGTGAAGTCGAGAGATGCAGATCGCCCGTCTCGGGACGAGACGGCCGTTCGAATCCTGGCCGCTTGAACTCCGCCTCACGTTCCACGACAATTCTCCGTTTAGCGTGGCGCGTGGCCTAAAAAGGGTGAAAGGCACAAAGTAAAAAATAAACGGTTCAGATTGGCTCAGGCACATATCGAGCCGGTGCGCGTCGGTCGACAACACCGCGCGATCACGTCGGGGCCCTTCGACATCGAAGACAACCCACCCGCTCTGCTCCCACCAGCGTATCAAAAAGGGAATGTACTTGGTACATTTAAACGCGAGAGTTTGCAACTCAGAGATTTACAATTATCTCAAACAGCATCCCGAACAACAGAAACAAAAGCCCGAGGAACCTCTAAGAGGGCGTCTAAGAGTTTTCTCCCGCGCGGTCGCAGGGGACATCGTCGGAACATTCCCCTCTGTGGACGCCCTTGAACGGGGGGGGGACACCACTTGAGGAGGGAACAAAGAAACAGAACACTTGCGTTTGTCCAACAGACGCCCGAGAGAACGTTGCTGAGTCGTCTGAATTCGCGACGCCATTCGATACCGGCCGACGACTTCGTCGAACGGACATCTGAGAGATCTAGAGGACGTTTCCCGGACGTCTCCGCGATGTTAACAGACACACTCGTTCCCGTCCGACAGACGTGTGCGAGAAGTTAGCGCAACTTTTTCTAGGACATCATCGTGCGTGCACACTGTTAGACTCGTGTTTGACAAACACGTCCGAGAGATCTCGGGACGTTTCTCGTGGATGGTCCTTACGAGATACTGTTATACGCTCGTGTTGATGGTCTAATTAACAGACATCCAAGAGGTCAACGGGATGTATCTTTATGAGACGTCGTGATTGGACATTTGCGTTGTTCGGGATCCGACTTGCGATTGACAGATCGACTGGAGTATTGACTTCCGTTGTTCTTTGACCGGGCAGTATCTCCGCGAGATAAGGAGAAAGTAGTCGAGATCCCTCTCGAGACAAGTCCGCCCCGCGCGAGAGCGGCTGTTCCTTCCCCCCGGAAATGCGCGTCCGTTTTCTCTCTCTCTCTCTCTCTCTCTCTCTCTCTCTCTCTCTCTCTCTCTCTCTATCTATCTATCTCTCCCTTTCTCCTTTACCCTTCGGCGAATTGCCAAAGTATCAAATCCGGTCCGTCCGCGCTCGAACTGCTGTTTCGAGAATCATCAATCCGTGGCAGGCGCGTGCTCAGGGCTGCTTCAAGGGCGCAACAGCGAGTGCCAACGTTGCACCTGCGTCGGCTGGCGCGCCGTCCGCATGTCATTCCAATGCTGCAACTCCTCGGACCCGGAGCTGTTGAGACCGAGGCAGAGCCAGCCGATCATCTCCCGTCCCTTTCTGCCCATTCCACCTCGCCGGCGATTATACACGGACAAGAAGAGCGTCACATCCCCCAGTTGGAACAAAGCAACCTGCAGCAGAAATTCAGCGTACAGCAAGAGCGCAAGATCCTCTTTGACCTTTTAAACGGTCGTCGCAAACGAGGGATCTAATAGACTTATAATAGATTAGACTTTAAGAGTCATGAAGATATGAATTGAGAAATAATATTTAACTTTATCTTTTCAGAATTATCTTGAACTCATCAAAACTCGGGTTTTTGTCAACGAGCGAGAGTTGGATTCTCATAAAGTTACCTGAAATATGAAAGTTTCCTTGTAGAGAGGATTTGGCTGGGCACGCTTCAGCCCTGTCTTCGACCGGCCCATCTCGTGACCGTTGCTGTCGACCAGGGCCAGCTTCACGTAAGTGTCAGGTGGTTTTGTGTCGTTTCCGCCGCCGCCGCGGAAATGGGAACCCTTGATTATCTCCACTGACAAGCGGCCTGTCGTACCGTTGTATGCCAAACCGATTAGAATCTCCGCGACACTGCCGCCCTTCATGCTGCTGCCGTAAGGTGGTACGGCAGGTGAGGCGTACGACTGGACCGACTGCTGAGATCCCGTGGAGTCGCTGCGAGTAAGACTGCTGGTGGTCCCCCAATCCTGTGCCTAGAAACATGATGCAATTATAATACCATGTGCACGATTTATCAATTATGTCAATCGAGATACGGTAGAACACTGCAAAAAGATTATAGCTATAAGTGAATATATAACTCTATTATATATTTTAACCTTTTTAATATAATTTAATTTCTTACGTGTAGCTGACTCAGTTTTTTTTTATCGTTTCAATTTGGATATTATTATAAAAGTATATTTCATATAATTATAATATACAAAAGAATATCGCACATTCATATTGAAGAAATACATTACAGATCATCAGTCACGAGGAAGACTGGCGAACTTCTTACCGAGGAGGAAAGCGGCGGCTGAAGAGTCAACCAGAGGGTAGTTTCTAGTTGGAGATTGATCTGGTCGAAAGACACCCTGGCTTCGCCCAACAATCTCTCCCGACGCATCATCCTGCCGCCCCAAAGATATACTCTGAGCCGCACTCCCATCGCATTCACGTCCTCCGGATTCACACGAGGAAGCAAGAAGCTCTCCATGTACTGCGGGGACGTCCCTTGGCGGACTCGAGTTTTGCGTCTCTGTTTCTTCGACGGTAAAAGGACCAGCCGTACCTGGCTGCCGCCGATGCCGGGTGGATAGTTTCGACCTTGCAGCACGTGAACCTGAGGGAGACAATGGATCAGTCGAGAGGATAGTAATTGGCACGGGAGAGTCGTGCGAATTAGAACTGGAACTAGATTTAATGTCATGAAGCAAGTATACGAACTGTCATCTCGCGCATCGGGGCGTCGTATAAGAAAGCGACTTCCAGACCGCCGATTTCCTCTGTAGTCGTTGTGCCCATCGTCCTGATGACGTCATTAGTCGTCGGCTCATTTTGCTCGACTTCTATTTCCTGCTCCCTACTGTCGAGTATAATGCTAGAAGCTCCGACTTCCACTACGCACTACAAGACAAAACGAGAGACATGATGAATTCAATTTTCTTTCCTGCTACGCTGCCACGAACGTCTTCTTCAAATCAACGTCACTTCAAATGCAACTTGTGTGCTCTCAACTGTATTAGACCGTTTTGCCATATTCATTTAAAAAGAGTATATAGAACACATTGCCACACATTTTAAAATTATATACTTGAAATTATATTGGCTAGTTGGCACGAGCTATTTAGATTAGAGATGATTGTAAAATTCTTCAAATTATCTTCCTGATTCCTCAAACGATATTCGAGGATATTCTTTTCAAACGGATTCGAGAGATCACCTGTTGTTGATCTGCCGGAGGGTGTTCCTCAGTGCAGCTGCTGGAAGTCGTCCCAGCATCTAGAAACAATAAACACATTGGCAAACCGGAGGGAAACTATAGTTGCTAGTTATTCCTAGAATACTAATTGAAATTCAGTCATCTTCGCTCGGTAGTATCTTTGCTTTTAGAATAGAGTCGCATCAATGTTACTCATTATTGCCTATTCTTAATATTCCAAGATTAAGTTAGATTGTGTCGCGTTGTTACTGACCCACGATGGTGGTCGGTCCATCTTCCGCTTGGATAGTCAGCGTATCCGGCGGAGGATGCGAGCGCGAATTCAATCGTCGTAGGGCGTCTTCCTCTGAATCGGAGCTTGTTTCAGGATCCGAGTAGGAGAATGCCTTCCCTGTCGGACGAATGTGCTGATTACTGCGAACTGTTCGCGCCTCGAGGAGACAGATATCCGAAAATCCCCAGGAATTTGGCAAGCAGTAATTCACCGTGATCAATTATACAATTTCTTCGGACTGTTTGCAACGTGACAGTTTGTCGGATAAATTTGGAATTGACTGTCGCGGAAGCTCGAGGAGACAAGATTGAGATTATTCCCCGCTCAAGAGTTCCAAGTGGACCAAATCATCAAAAATTAATTGTGCGCGCCGAGGGGAAAAGTTTCATCTACTTTCGGATATCGTCGAGACAAAAGCGAGCAGGCAGTTTACGAGATCGCCGCGGAGATAAGGACGGAGGGCGGAATAAACCACTGGATCATGTACCTATGTTTTTCGAGATTTGAGATGTGGAGCTGTTGGTGGACTCACAGAGAGGCACACAGACTCCGCCGAAGAGCGCGGTGGACGAGGGCGGCGTGAAGCACCACTTCCGGGATAAGTAGAGAAAGAGAGCCAGTAGTAGGACTATGAAACCAGCAACGGCACCCAGAACTGCAGTCGCTTCCACAGGTACTGAAATAGCCCCGAGCGAGGATCGGCTTTAATACGATTTGCATAACGGACAAGAAGCGCGCCGTCGGATCCTTTTTTCCTCCCCGAGTGTGCCGATCAATCTCCACGCTCGGACAGAGAGAGAGAGAGAGAGAGAGAGAGAGAGAGAGAGAGAGAGAGAGAGAGAGTTTATGTGAGAAAAGTGAGTATCAGTTGCAGGTTTCAACTGCGGACTACGCGGAGCTGGAGAGACGTTTCGGTTTGGTCGAGCCGGAAAAATATCGAGATTTTTAAAATGATTCAATTTCCCGAAAACCCAACTTCGTAACATCGAACTCCGAATATTCAGACAATTTTACCGAAAGTACAATTTCATCGAAACAATCATTGTTTAGTGACGCGTATACGACAACGAGAGGGCAGAAATAAAATGCAGGTGTTTTGATATCTACATGAAGTGTGCTCAAACGGGGATATTAATACACTTGTATATATTATTTTTGAAGTAGTAGTCTTCAGAACAATTGTACACTTCGAGAAAATTGTACTTTGAGATATTGTCTCGAGAAGATCGATCGAATTAAAACGACGAACATATTTTCTCGTGGAGATTTCTGTTTCCCCGAGCTGAATTTGCTTCATAAGGATGAGGAATCCTGGTTCCTTTCAGCAAAATGCGTTTGTTTCCCTCGTCGTTCAATTCATTCATCATCGAACTCTTTCCTCCGTGCGACTTATCGGGAAATCGTTCCGCTTTTCGAACTTGGGAATTTTGATTTTTCAGGACAACCGTACGTTCGCCAGATACTACGTCGATTGATCGTTAATCCTGCGCCCCCCCCCGTGTTCGGATCACCCACGATTGACCGAGCGGCGAGGGACTACGGAAATAGCGTTCTATTTCGAAAAACGCAACGAAAGAGAAAAAGCGACAATCAAGCGAGGATTATCCAACAATCGTCGTCGAGCTGAAGCGACATTTTGCAAACTCGAGACGTGACTCGACACGATCTCCTCTCCCGATAGCCGCCACTCTCTATCTAATTTCTCAAGAGACACCTTTTAATTCGTGACATAAGAGAGTATTTGCTCCGGGGTGATACATATTTTCTTACGACGTCGGATGCGCCGTCACGTGCTAATGAAACAGAAACTTCCGATAGCCCATTAGCGCGATCAAGTTTATATTGATCCTGCTACGCCTGTAGTACGTCCTTCCGACATCATCGATTTTTTTCTTTTTTCTCGCGAAGGAGGACGCGCGTCTCGAATATTCGAGTGCATAAAACGCTCCGAGCAGCCGCCGCAGAATCTCCTGTTTCCCCTTCACTTCTCCTTCGTCTTTCCACGTGCCGCGTTCAAGCGACTTCGCTCGACATCGGCGGAAAGCGGATTAATTAACGCACGCTCCGCGGGCTATCGCGCGTGTGCCCGATAAGCGGTTATCGTGAAAGTTGCCGCGCACTTTAACGATTCATTACTTCCGCGCAAGATCCCCGGATGAATATTTTGACCGAGCGCCGGGAGAAACTGCACAGCGGCGGCCGTCGACAGTTTAGCCGGCTGATCGATTCAGCGATTGTAATCTTTTCTTAAGTAATCGATATGTAATCCTCCGCCGCTTCATAATTCAGCGACTCGTATGAATAATTTAAGTACGCACACACTGTCATATAATATACAACATTAGAACTCCCTCGGCGTATTTCACAAATTTCTCAACGTCGAAGCGTCGCTCGGACGGAAGTTCCTCGGCCGCTTCATAGGCTTTTATCAGGTTCGTTCGCGAGATGTTAGAGTCTTGGCGCACAGAAAAATGTGAGCGACTTCACCAGCCGTACTTGATTACTCTCTCTCTCTCTCTCTCTCTCTCTCTCTCTCTCTCTCTCTCTCTCTCTCTCTCTCTCTCTGACCAACGAATACTCGACTACGACTAGCTAATTTGCTTACTGTTTACAGATTTCTGCGCAACGTGAGCCTTACCCGGTGACATCGGCAACAGAAGAACCGTACGTCTGTGCGAGCGGTAGACGATAACAAACACTACGCTACGCGAATCGGCTCGCGAACACATATCTACCGGGTGTCTCACGAGTTCTTTCTTCTCTTTGCCGCGAATCAGTGCGGCAAGGTTCAAATCCTCGCGATCGAGCGAATTTCGTGGCCGAGCGGGGAAAGAAATGCGGGGAGAATCGTCCTGTTACAATCGAGAAACCGATTTTGCGAGTCCCCGAGGTCGCCGACGTGTCGAATCCTCCCGTCTTGCTTCGGACTTGGGATTTTGGCCAACTATACACGCATATCCGACGTATATATGTTGTATCGAGCGCGTTAACGCGGCGACGACATATTACGCCGTAATGACCTGGAATAATTTATTATCGCTCCAGTTGTGACACAAACTACCCGCGGAGTACGATATTGCGCAGCGCCGGCACGCACGTTCCCCGTCAACGTGCGACGAAAGGGAGTAAAAAAAAAAGGGAAAAGAAAAGAAAAGGACGGTAGGAATTATTCACTGTCGCCAGCCGCGGCCTGTTCGATTTACGACGCGCGCGATCGCTTCGCCTCGACGACGCTTGTCGCCGTTGTCCGTCGGCGTCTCGGTGCGCCGCGTTCTTTCCGTTGTGTTGTTTCACCTCCACCAGCGTATTGCACTTTCTCCAAATTTGAGAATCCGCTTGCGCAATGCGGATCGCTGAGACTCTCGATCGTCCGGAGCCGTCGAAGGCTCCGCAAAAATCAATGTCGAATTATCCGACCGACCGATAGGGCATTCGGAAGTGGCGTTGCCGACTCCTGACAGCCAGGACGCGACCGTCGACGCGTCCCAGCGATGCGGCGACGGTCGCGAGCGAGGTCGAAGCCGATGGCTCTCTGAGGGACGGGCTCAATTTCTGAATCAAGGCTCACGATTTGCACTGTCATTAACGCTACGTGCTGATCGTTCCCGTTCACAGTATCCCTTCGTTCGCAATAGGACAGCCGGTATGCCTAAGCACGGTCTCTGGGATCGTCGTCGAGGTGACATAGACCCGGCTGAATAGTGGACTTACCCGCTAAGAAGTGGTCTGATCCAGCCAGAATCATGCTCGTCCGCGGTGTCACGTTAAAGTTTCCTTACGTGGCGCGGTAGCGCGGCCCGTGGTTGCCCCTCGTAAAATAACGAATGCATCATCCGCCCTGGCTGTCCCTAAGCCAGGCGGTTCCCCGTCCGCTCGCGAGATCGGAGGAAGCGTGGCTGGCTGGCTGGCTGACTTCGGGCTGACCGCACAAAATAATACGTGGGCGGGGGTGTATACACAGCACTCTGTTGCTCGAACCGCGACGCTACGCGACGACGGGGTGCGTGCGCCTGCTGCACCGAGACCCGATATACACGCCTGCGCACACCGCTCCTGGCCATAACGGCTACGTGTGTCGCGTTGCCCGCCCTCAGGCGCAAAGACCGCAGCACAGGGGCGCGATTAAAAAGTTGTGCGATGGAGAGCGGTGACTTCTACTAACCCTAAGAAACTCGGAGTCGCGTGATCGAACCGTTCGAAATGTTCAAGCCGGTGCCGAAGTACCGAGTTTTCCGAACGTTTCAAGCCGCTTGATCGATGACGAACGATCAGATCGATTGGCATACAGCAATCGACAGCGAGCTTTCGCCGTGTCGGACGACGTTCCAGTATTCATTACGAGATTAATATTCATCGTGTACATGACAAATGAGCAGTCTTTGCTTATCCTTTATTCGCGATACATATCCTGATTTTGCTGTTGTATTACATGAATTCCCGCTCCTATCTGCTCGCGCTTCAGCACGCAAATATCGATACCTCGGAATCTCCTTACTTCGCACGCGCGCTACGGCACGTTCGTGTGTTCATTCATGTTTCGAAGCAGTGGCGACAGTGATGTCCGGCGTGAGACGACAAGAACAGATGATGACTGCCTCATGCGTGCGCGCATAACTTTCCAACCAAATACATATTCCACTGAAATAGATATCAAGAGAGGAAATTTAGCGTATTCATTGAACTTTTGAAAGAGAGAATAGCAAGAGATATGAAATAAAGTATAGCGTAACTATGAGGAAGAAAATATCACATCTCATTAATGTAAATAATAATAATTATTAATATATTGCGACTGCAGTTCAATTACAATACAAACACCAATATTTCTTATAAGACGTGAGAGGAAAACTTTAAGAAAATTTTATCAGAACTCACAGAAATTGTTACATTATACAAATTATAAAACGTGAAATATATAATTATAATAAAAATAAAATCTTGGTTCTTCTTGGGACTTTCCTGGAATTTGATTCTAAGCTTCTATAATAAGCTAAGCAATACATTAAAATCTTAAGTCAGATGCAAGCCGTTAATTGCCCCAATTTTTTATTACACCGTCTTTTTCTATCAATTAATTTGAACAACTTTTGTCTAAAACATTTTTTTATTTGCCTAATATTTTTTGAGATTATTTAAGGAAAACTTGATAACTTTTTCAATATTTAATTTACGATATCTCGCTAACTATTTGTCGAAAGAAAAAGTGGTACTAGACCTTTTTACTCTATTTAGTCTCAAGAATATATTGTTACAACAACGCCCTGATTTTTGTTAACTTACTGACCTTTGGAAATTTCAAAATCATCAAACTGATGATTTTAAATCGACCGATGAAATTGACCATTAAAATAACACCAAACACGTCATAAATCGCATAATTTTTAAATAGATATGCAATATTTGTATTATATATTTATAAATTATTTATAAGTTGTCCGATTTGTGTCGTGTTTGGTGTCATTTTAATGGTAAAATATCTCATTAAGCCATTGTAACCATTTTCAAATTTCGATAACACGCAAAACACAAAAGTTATAATTTTTATGTCATGAGATATTTAAATTCGTGAATTCAGTGCTGCAGAGAGATTCCCAACGTGGCGAAAGCGATAGCGAAAACAAGAGCAAACGAGATGTCACTATGAAAACCGATACGTAAACAGATCGTCGCGAGACTTCGGCACTCTTTGATAATATGTCATCTCGCTTGCTCTTTATTCGTAGCATGTTACGGTCGTGCGGGATAAGGAATTATGTGGCAATGGCGCACGTGTTAGAAGTCGAGATGCAGCTCACACGCATACAATCAAAACATTTTCGTTTTTGATTGTGTACGTGTGCCGCGTCTCGAATCGGGAAGGAGTCGGCCGATATTCTCTTGTTTGGAAACAGTCTCCGTGTCAGAAGAAAAGAAGACTGTGTCAGCCTTGGTCTTTTCGGTGCCTTGGTGAAGAAAAGAATGAAGATCAGTGTTACATATAAAGTGCTTGCTTGTAGTAAGAATACCAAGATGTAAGTTCACCTCCATTATTATATTTTTATTTATTTATTATATATGTGTATACGTTATAACATAAATTAATAACATTTTTAAATTTCAGCAAAAAGGCAAAGGCTCTATATATAAGAGAAAAATGTCAGCGCCGGAGGCGCCGGTACCGCCATTGGTTTACCCGGCAGAGACCGCGGCAAATAATGCGCACATGCAGAAAAAGGTGAATTTCTGTAAATATACTTGCGTGCGTGCGTGCGTGCGTGCGTGCAATATTATGAATTTAAATATAATTAAAGATAATATATTTTTATTTGCAGTTATATCATAAGGAGCGGCGGGCGCGGCAGCGGCGCAAGAAAATGTCACGCCTACCAAGGCCTATACCCCCGCCCGTTAGATACGTTATCCTTCCAGCATCGGCTGGATACATTCCCGCATCAGCAGGGTACGTTCCCCCACCAGCAGTGTACGTCGCCGTGTCAGCAGGATAAGTTCCCGCACCGATCAAAAGATATTTTTGAGAAAAACAACTAATACATATTAAAACTATATATATATATATAATAGAAAAATAAAACTATATATTGTAAATTTACTCGTCCAATCCTTTCCCCCTCCATCATCTCTCTTTCCCATATCTCTTCATCATGCGCTTATCAGGCCCATTGTATGTCGTACGTACCAATCAGAACCTCATAACCGACACAAAAATCAAGATTGTGCGCATGTGTACGACACACGACACGTCTTCTGACTGATTATAGATATTATAGATATGGCCTTAGGCTCATATCACGCTATTGGTTCACTTCGGCTCCAGGATCCCTTTAACATTATCTTTCAATTAAATTTTTACATTGAAATATTACGTCTATTGAAAATATGATAATTGCATTTTAAAGAAAAAAAAAATTAACTTGAAGTTTTCTATTCGTTTCTTAACAAACTTTATATATAGATTCGTTTGTTTACTGTAGCTGTCACTTTTGTTTCAATCTTAGTTCAACAAAATAAGCGCTACAATTGTACGCGTTGCTTATATGCAAATTAAACTGAAATATTTATTCTTTTAAATAATATAAGTATTACTTATGCGTATTTTTGTTTATGCCGCATAATTCGATCAATTTGGATAAAAATTTTTGTATTTAATAAATTTCAAGTTACAATCATATAACACTTAAAAAAATATCTATTCAACTTTATATATATTTATGTAGATTAAAAACTTCAAGTTAACATGCTTTCCAACTTATCTTGTTATTAGCATTTATTATAATAATTTATTACGGATCGTTAATTTTTAAGAAAATATCACTTGTCAGAAAATTCATATAACTTTGGCTAAATAACATTTAGACATTAGTATTTTATTAAATAAAAACAGCAATCTAAAGGATAAATATTTTTAATTTAATTTATATTTTTACCATAAAGAGATATGTGCTAAAAATTATATGCAATGATTCTAAACTTTTATATATATATAAACATGTTAAACGTATATATATGTATGTATGTATTCTTTTTTTACTTTTATTTATATAGCAATTTGTGTAATATCCTAAAACGTAAACTCTTATTATCGACTTAATCTAATACCAATAAAATTTGTCTGATACAACAGAAATTCTCCAGATTATAATCCATTATCTTCCTAGACAGTAGAAAACCTCCAAAGGATGTTTCGGGAGATGTCCTAGAGACGTTTTTAGGACATCCTTTAGAGATCTGTGCTTACTGGGTTAATATTTTATAACACATAAGGAATTTATATTAATCATTTTAATTAATAATTTATTTTATTATATGAGATGAAATTTATTGATAACTCTCCAATTTCACATATATGTGCTATATTAAGAAATCTTACATATAAGACCACCAAGACAAAGACAAGAATTGATTAAAATCTATCCAAGTTATATAATTAAACTTGAAGATATCTTAACAAGTGAGGATTCTTTACTGATTCTAAGAAAATTATTTTACAAAATACACTGTTCAAATATAACATAATAGTTATAAGATAACTTTATGCAATATTATTATACAACATATAATAAATTTATTCTGATTTGTATAAACAATATTAATATATTAAATCTCTCTGCAATTGTAATATTAATAAAAGATTCGATTATAATTTAATACAGCTAGGATTCAGCATAGACAAAGAAATTTAAAACATAATTAAATAGAAATTAAAATTATATAAGCATATTTTTTGTCGAATTGTTCCCTTTCTTGCTGAATTATATACATAATTATAAGTTTATAGATCTTTAAAAGTCATCGAGTGTGTGCATACTAATTGGCTAACATGCATGCCAGTAACACTTCAGGTGTAAAATAAGAATCACTGAGATTATAATTGCATTTATAGAGTTTCTCGTAATAATTACAGTCTATATTATAATTATCTGTGTAATTATACTTACAAATACTAGGCTTTTATTTCGCTCATTACAAATCATCGAGTATTTAGAATGACTGGTACCCCAATGGAACCCACAGTACCAAAATTTTGTATGCAATGCTGAAGGGAAGTTACACGCACTGTACTGTTAATTTTACAAGTTATTTTTAAGTGATTTTTAAAACCAATTTACGAAGGAAATTAATTTAAGAATAAGAAAGCTAAGAGAGCAAAGACTCTTTCGCCTTTAATTACTATGGTCTAATTACTAAAATTTATAATTTTATCTATTATTTATAAGTTTATAAGTTCCGTATTGTGTGTACTCAGTCATTCGTCATGCAATTTATAACTTATACATGGAATAAATAACAGAACAAACGCACAGCACATACATATTCTCCTTGAGAGAACATTGTGTGAAACTTTGATAAATATTTGAATGTACTTTGGGTGTACATATAAATGTGATACATGTAATAATTGCAGCTTATGCCAGATATATGTACTCGTTACACCCGAAAACAATTACATGTGTGTGAATATAATATAATATACATCTATCTACAACAGACTCTTATTTATTTAGTTACAAGTTTTGTCTATCAGGCTTGCATCTCTTGTAGTCTTCTACACGAAGGTGTTTCGAGACTTTTAGCTTTCAAAAATAGATCTTGGTCTCCAAAATTACGGGCTTTCCACATCATAGTTTCCCCTATGTCAACGTTATAAAAAGATTAATTCAGGAAAGTATTATAAAACATTCTCTCTCTCTCTCTCTCTATCGAAAAAGCTACTATATCAGTTACCATATTAGAAATATATCTAACATTGGAGAAAACAAGAAAATAATATGTATACATACTATAATTCTTCTCCCTGACACAAGTTTGTCTCAAACTATTCATGAATTCCTCTTCAATTGAAATTTCTAATCTACGCAGACTGCCTTGATATTCACTATGAAAGTTTTCCTTAACATAATAGGGTATTTTTAAACCTTGAGTTGTTCTGGATACAGAATATTTCCTGTGAATGAGAAAAACATCAATATGAATGATCAAAATCATCAATATGTGAATGAGGAAAACATCAATATGAATGATCAAAATTATCAATATATGAATGAGGAAAACATCGATATGAATGATCAAAATTATCAATATATGAATGAGGAAAACATCAATATATCCTAATTATGTATCTTATGAGAATAAGATTTTATAACCACACTCAAGTATTATTAACTATACTTACGAATTCGAATGTAGACTATAAACTGGATCAGATATGAAAAAACTACTCATCATGGTTAACAATATTAATAATAAAACCGGTAACATCTGAAGAAATGTTGTATATCCATTAGCTTGCTAAAAAATAATTTATTTGTAAATATTTTTCATTGAAATCGTTGAAAATCCAATTATTGTTTCACTTTACCTGGGAATGAGCATGTTGTGCCTGTGCATCTTGCTGTCTCATCCATCTCCCACCTGGTCGACGCATATAAAATTCTTGCTGTGGGAAACCGACACCAAAGAACATGTTGAATAATTCTTCAGCTGTAATATCAGCTAAAATGGAAAAATATTTTTATGTACAGACTAAAGAAAAAATTTATTTAACGACATAAATTTTCCTTTTCTTTTTAAATACCTTCAAATCCTCGAGTATAATTATAATGTGTATGGCCTTGACGTTGGGTTTGTACATTTTGCATTCGTTCTTCCTCAGGGCCATACATATCATATTGTTTCCGTTTTTCAGGATCAGTAAGAATGGCAACTGCATTTCCGATTGCTGTAAAAGAACAGATATTATTTCACAATTTTTGTTATAAATATAGTAATTCTAAATTTTACTTTTCATAAATAGATTGACTTACCCTTAAAGGCTTCAGCAGCACCTGGTGCTTTATTTTTATCAGGATGTAATTGAAGCGCTAATTTTTTATATGCCTTTTTAATATCACTGTCAGTAGCTTCTTTGGTGACTCCTAAGATTTCATAATAATCCTTGCATTTCTTTATCCTGCAATAAGCAATATTCTTGTTTTAAATAAACATTAAAAATATTGATGGTAAAAACTATAAAAGCAATATAACAGAAATATATATATCTATTCCTTAGATGCTATGAACTATGAACTATGCTATGAACTATGCTATGAACTATGCTATGAACTATTCAAACTACTGAAATAATCTTATTAAAACAGCTACCTTTCCACATGTTCCATCTGATCTTTCGTGTATTCACTTGCAGTTTGAGGATGCGCTCCATCTTTAGTTACATTCTGACGCTTTCTAACAGTAGGTTCAGCAGACTCAGGCTTTTGGTTTTGCTTCAAAAGTATTGATACTTCTGCTAACAAGTCTACAAACACAATTAATTAATATTGACAATGACCCTCCTGTTATAATATAAGAAAATATTTATATAGAAGCTGTCTTTATCCTAATGAATAATTAAGTTTATTAGCACAGTAGAAATATGTATGAATATAGTATAAAACACTGGCATTAACCACTGATAGTTCTGCTGTCCTAGAAATCTGATATCTACGTACCATCGGCCTTTTTCATCGGATAAAGTTTCTGAGCTTTCCGAGCGAACTTTTCGGCCTCCTCGTATTTTTTTTCTCGCATATAGCGTCCCGCGAACTCCATGCACCGCTCTGCCTCATCTTTATTGCTATCCATCTTGTCTGTCGGGCCGAGCAGTGAGTTTCACGTTATATTTAATCGCAGTGACAGAGCAAAATGGTAAATAAATCGCTAAATGAGAAATCAACTAACACATCACTATGGTATAACTTAATTACGTCATGAACATCGTCACGAGAGTCGAGCGGTGGTTGGAATGCAGACGAGCACACGAAGAAAGCAGTCAAGTGCCATTAAGCGCGATATGGACGAAACAATAATCAGAAATGGAGCAAAACGTAATATTTCACGAGCTCGGCCGTCGTACTTGTTAAACAAATCCGTTTAACACCGACGACAAATCTCCGTAACACTGTAAAATTTCTAATTTTCGACACTCAATCTTGACTCGTTTGGCTTCCGGAGTTACAGAAGTTCTGTCAGACATCAGCCTGAGAATGACATTCCAAACGTAGTAGTACTTGTTGAATACGGATTGGTTATCGCATAGGAATTTTCTAGGAATTACACTTTGCAGCTCGTACGTCTGTTCTTTTTCAAAGAACTTGTAAACTATAGCGCAATAAGTTAGAGTGAAACAGATATGTCTTCTCTCACTCTAACTTATTGCACTAGTTTGGAAGTTTTTCGAAAAAGAACAGACTCTGCATCGAAGATGTGAATTTTTGATGAAGAACTTGACTAATCAGGATAGAGTCAGCAGAAAAATCAATTTTCAATTCACACTTTTCAATCTTCAATAAGTAACCTAAAGCCCGTATCAGACTATGGATTGGGATTGAGATTGGATTGAAATTTGACCAATTGGAAAAAAGAAAATAATCTCAAATATAATAAACTTAGCCCTAATTGGTTAAATTCCAATCCAATATTCAATCCCAATCCGTAGTCTGATACGGACTTAAGCCCGTGTCACACTACGGATTGAAGGATTGCGGATTGAAGATTGAAATTTGACCAATCGGAATAAAGCAAATCAAAAGCGAAGTTTGTTGATTCGTCGAAATCTAATCTTCAATCCGTAATATGACACGGGCTTTAATCGTGGTTGGATTTAAGTCCCGTCTACAATCGAGGATCTGTTCTTTATAGCTGTACTGCTGAACTAATGCAATAAGTTAGAGTGAGAAAAAATATAGTTGTCATGTCTCATTTTAACTTATTGCACCAGTTCAGCAATGCAGCTATAAAAGCCAGATCCCGAATGTGAGGCAAATGATCGACTATGATTGGTCAATTTCTGCGCCCTGCGAGCCATATAAACGAGCCTTTAAACTGTGTGCGTTCAGCGAAACGTCGAGTGCTTTTCTATAGAAATAGTTATACTAGGCTCTTCAATAATACGTCCGCGTCTCTCGCTGGTCTTTCAAGAAACGCGAAACTCACGACAAACACGATGGTGAGTTCGATGTTAGTTATCTGTTTATTTCATAGTCATCTTGTTATTTCGCATATAAATATACTTACAAAATATATCTACAAGTTTTCATTTGGTTTCGTTTGTGTTTCAGTCGGCGCACAAGACGTTTATCATCAAGCGAAAGCTTGCTAAAAAGTTGAAGCAAAACAGACCGATCCCGCAATGGGTTAGAATGCGTACTGGCAATACTATCCGGTAAGTCTGCCTTCAATTTTAATTGATAGATTTGTTTTATTTTAAAATTTTACGTAGATGTTGGATCTTTCCGAATACAGATTTAATATTTTAATCATGCATACTCATTGCGAACATATATCTTAAATGTTGTATCTCAAATATGTATCTATATGAATGTCCCAATTTTGTGTAAAAAAAAATAATATAAAATTAAAATAACTTTTCTATAATATCGATATCATAGTTGATCTTTTAAATACTATGGATATTTATGCAAGTAGAATGTTCATAGGATTATTAACGGTGATTTTTCATTGTTTCCATTGTTTCCAGGTACAATGCAAAGAGACGACATTGGAGAAGAACCAAGTTGAAGTTGTAATAGGTTTCATCTATTCCTTAGTGGAAATTAAATTAAAATGTTAAAATAAAAAAAGAACTTTATGTTCATATGTAACTGTGTTTATTATTTCCTATATACCAGTAATTACAAAGTATTTGGTATTTTACGCTTCTTCATGTTTTCTAACCAATTGTTCAACAATTCCTCACCACTTTTAGGATATGGCAAATAATAATATTTAGGAGGTGGCCCTTCTTCCAAGCGTACAAAATAATGGGTATATCTGTAATGAATTACTCCTGCACGTACTTTAGCGTGTCGCCGTAAACCTTTGATCACCACACCTTTAGTAGCAAATGATTCAGCTGCAAAATCAGATTTGTGTTGTCTTGGTATCAAATTATTACAACTTTGTTCCGGAGTATCACGCATAATAAAATTAAACTTTCTTTACTCACCAACCCACAAATTACTTTTATATTCCACATTATGTTCTTCTACAGCTAAGCGTTGAGCTTCTAAGATAACTTCTTTTGCAATTGCAGCACCTTTTTTATGTATAAAACTCAACTGTTTCACAGCTTCATCCACTGACATGCCTCTCACAAAGCATGCAATATACCACATATTCTTTAAACTATATTTAATATTAGCTTTCATATGGCATACATACTAAAAAATAAACACATGTACATAATTGGTTATTACAGATAAATTATTTAATATTATACATAATATGACATACAGCAAGCCTTCTTTCTTCATCAAGTTTTTGTGGTGGAAAAATTTTCTTATTATATTCACAAAATCCTGTCGGAGACTTATAGTTTGCCAAGTTTTTGCATACCAAAGGAGAAAGATGTAAATTACATATTGGTATAAAATTTGTTGCCCTTGTTACACTTGATAGGACATTTGTCTTATTTATGACAGCTTTACTACATGATGTTAGAAACTGTACACACTGGCGAATACTCAGCATTTTCTATAAAGATAAACTTGTTATATTAATTTACATATGTACAAAATAAAAACTATATATAAACTCAGTATATTAAATTTATGATACAAGTATGAATAATTATTAGCGAAAACAGAAAATATAACTGTTTAAATATTTTTTTAACAAATGAATATCATATAAATAAATTTTGTAATATATTTTTTTAACAAAGGAAAATGTAAGTAGATTTTATAATGTTCTTTCAAAACTTAAGAAAATTTAACCTGTAATAATCGGTTTATTTACAAAATATAATCAAATGACTAATTTCCTAAGGCAAATATAATACCTTTGTGGAAAAATTATCAATTTTACAATTATATTCACATGGGTATGTCGTTTTATTTTTTATAATATGAATTTCTATCAAACTTTATCACAAGTCCGAACGAAATTTTCATACCGCTTACATACACACGGAGTACCAACTAACCTCAATATAAGTTGATCAGATCAAAATAGAACCAAGGCGGCAGTAGTAAAAGAATTAAAAATTCTATATATTGACTTAAAAGAGGATATAAAAAAGAAATCAAAGCAAAAACGATGAAACAAAAGAAAAGAAAAAGCAATTGGAAGAAGAAGAAATATTTCGTTAATTTTTTTTCAGTGAAAAAAACTGTACACCCTTAGTATAGAAAAAAAGAAATAACAGAGAATGTGTAGTACAATAATGTATAGTACAAGAAAAAGCAATTGGAAGAAGAAATATTTTGTTAATTTTTTTTCAGTGAAAAAACTATACACCCTTAGTATAGAAAAAAAGAAATGACAGAGAATGTATAGTATAATAATAAATAAGATGAAAGCAAATTACTATAACTTAAATGAATTACTGGGATGAAAAAGCTTTATTGACACAATGAAGCATGAGGCAGAGATAAACAATATTAACTATATATATGATATTCAGGTGAAATAAAAAATGTGGAGAGAAAGAAGTAAAATGGATAAGTTAAATAAAACTATAATACTTGAATTTGAGAGGATCACACACGGAATAAAGATTGAGAAGTGCTGTATGTAATTTATAATTATCTGAAGAAAATTGGCAAAATAATACAGAGAATCAATAAAAGTAGACAAAAGAAATTAGTTTTTAAACATAATATACTGTTCTAATCTGTAACAAGTACATTAAAAAATTTTAATTGCACAATTATAAATGGATATAAAAAGACAAGGGAAATTTTTGATAAAATTGTTATAAAATTTTTAATTACACATATCCTTATTGTATCCTAATAAAATATAGTATAACAAAATCAATCATATAAGAATATACATCTGTTTATCTGGGTAATATATAATCTACAGTTTTTCTGTTAGCTCAGGTACAGCTTTAAATAAATCTGCGACCAGTCCGTAATCTGCTACGTGGAAAATCGGGGCCTCTGGATCCTTATTAATAGCCACAATTGTCTTGGAATCTTTCATACCAGCAAGATGTTGAATTGCTCCAGAAATTCCAACAGCTATATATAAATCCTAAACCCATTGTGAGATTATTGTATATGTATAATAGCAAAATTCTATGTAATTAACCTTTTAAATTATATATAATTAATTTTACTCACAGGAGCAACAATTTTGCCAGTCTGTCCTACTTGAAGATCGTTTGGCACATATCCAGCATCCACAGCAGCACGAGATGCTCCTACTGCTGCATTAAGCTTATCTGCTAGTGTATACAACAACTGAAAGTTTTCTCCAGACTTCATTCCACGTCCACCAGAAATTACAACTTTTGCAGATGTCAATTCTGGCCTATCAGACTTACTAAGCTCTTGTTTAATATACTGTACTTGATTTGCGGTATAACCATCAGTAGCTACATTTTCACACTTAGCATCACCTCCTTCTAAAGGTGCTGATGTAAAAGAAGTACCTCTTACAGTTGCTACTTTCACACTGTCTTTGGATTTAATGGTCTGAATAGCATTGCCAGCATATACGGTACGTATAAATGTATCGGATGTTTTTATGTCAATTATATCACTTACTGGAGATACATCTAATTTAGCTGCAATCTTTAATTAAGATACAAATTATATATTAATGTAAACTAACAAATTTAATACATATAAATAGTATTTTGTTATAAAATAAAATAATATATTATATATACTAACTCTAGGGAGCAAAGCTTTACCAAATGCACTTGCACCTGCTAATACATGTGTGAACTTATGTTCGTTACATAATGTAATTATAAGTGGTGTCAATGATTCTGGAGTGAATCCCTTAAATGCATCACTATCTGCAAGGAGGACTTTAGATACACCTTGGGCCTTACATGCACTTTGTGCCACTGCTTGACATTTAGAGCCAGCAATTAATAAAGTTATATCACCGCCAACTTTTTTAGCAGCTGTCAGTGCATTACTAGTGATAGGTAATAGATTCTCATTATTGTGTTCTGCAATAACCAAAGTGGACTCATAACGTGCTACTGGGACAAACTAAAAAGAAACATTAAGATGATTAGCTATTAGATTCTCACTATTTGAATTAGGCTGTTATCTAACCATGTATTTTTTAAATGCCTTTAGTAAGAATTTAAGGGGCTTCAGCTGACAAGAGTACTTATCAAACTGAAAGTTAACTGCAAAATTTACATTTTATGTTTTATTTTTAATTAATACAATAAATAAAACTAATTAATTTCCTTATAGCGCTTGTTTAATTAGTGAAATATAGCTAATACAAAGGTTTCAAATTTATCTTCGAAGTTATAATGATTAATAAACGCAAGATATAGATCATACGAGTACTAAATAGTGAAACAATTGAAAAACGAATTTGTGAAAACATGTTCACCTTGCTAGTAGCCCGCAATGCTCTAAGGTAAGTGGAAAACATTGTTACAAAAATTTAAGTGTCTCTCTTTTAGTCCTTGAATGCACGTAATATTAAACTATAAGAAGCAGTCACATCAATGTGGCGATTTAAGACAGTAAGTTCAAAGTCCTACATGAAGTCCTACATGTTATAAGATCGAGCAAGTGCATCAGTCAAGCGTCGTCTACAATGGCAGTAAAGCCAACGGTACACGGTGCTTGTTTTCGTGTTGGATTGCTTGCTGGATGAAAATACTGCGTTCTGATTGGTGCATTTCCATCCATCTTCGGAAATGTACCAATCAGAACGCAGTATTTTCATCCAGCAAGCAATCCAGCACGAAAACAAGTACCGTGTGCCGCTGGCTTTACTGTTCACGCTTACTTCTTACTGCTTACTGCCATTGTAGACGACGTTTTAGGCCTGGTCTACAATACGTGTCGTAAGTTGTAAGCCGTAAGAATTGGCGAATCACAGTCGATTATTACAAAAATAATCGGCTATAATTGGTCAATTCTTACGGCTTACGACTTACGACACGTATTGTAGAATGAACTTTAGAAACAGTTGTGATTGCCGGTTAGATACCCCATAGCCAATGAAATGATTTGTACAACATCTAAAGATAAACTTAAGACAATCTTAAATATAAAGCCAGCGGCACACGGTGCTTGTTTTCGTGCTGGATTGCTTGCTGGATGAAAATACTGCGTTCTAATTGGTACTTTTCCGAAGATGGATGGAAATGCACCAATCAGAACACAGTATTTTCATCCAGCAAGAAAACAAGCACCGTGTGCCGCTGGCTTAATTCTAGTCTTAAGCCCCTTGCACAATGTCAGGCAACAGGCAATAAGAATAAAAATAGATCAATCACAATAGATTATTCTTGTAATAGTCGATTGTGATTGGTCTATTTTTATTCTTATTGCTTGTTGCCTGGCATTGTGCAAGGGGCCTTAGCTGTTATGCGTGACATCATCTTGCATACGGTATGTCTGCGCTTGTTTAGACGGAGAAAGTTATTTCACCGACCGCCATTTTAATCGTCTGAAGCGTGTTCGGCGGCTCTAGCGTCCAGTTAGATTTGTGACTCCCAAGTTATTTTCTGCATGTATGTCGTATTTTCGGCTATAAAGAGTTGTACATAAATTTCATCATGAGTACTGACAGTATCGAGAAATTATACAAAAATTTCGGCATCCTAGCAGATGCTAAAGACAAATTGGCACAGGTAAGTATCTTATATTGGTTATGTCGTATGTCCACACTTTGTCGAACACATGAATTGAAGAAATATTATTCTGGATTTTTTATTTATTTCTTTACTTGTAGTCGATATTGTTTTACTATTAAATATTATACAATTTATATCGTGTTTGAGATGTGTCTCAGGTGTGATTCGAGAGAAAAGAATATATGAGTGTCTCTTATGTACATCCGAGCATTTTTTATGCCACGCTATAAATTTCGTAAATGATCACGCAATAAATCAGCGCTAGTAAAGCATTGCGAAATAACGGGACGATTATTTGATTTTATTCAGTATAACTATTTAAAAAATGTGATATTTATATTTATTTCGAATTTACAGCATGAAAAGGAATATTTGGAAATACTTACGGCAGTTAAAGGTTCACCTAAGGAGAAACGATTGGCATCGCAATTTATTGCAAGATTTTTCAAACATTTTCCGAAATTAGCAGATCAAGCTATAGATGCTCACTTGGACTTATGTGAAGATGAAGATTTAGCTGTAAGTTTTATATATATGATGTCCTATTTAATCTATTTCTTGTTTTTAATTCTTTTGGTTAAAAAATTTTGATTAAGAAAATTAGATTTTTTATTGTTAAAAAAATTGCTTGAGACAAAAGTTGTTTGGTTTGGAGAAAGACATGTGATTTTTTCAATGTAAATCATGTTGTAAATGTCATTTTTAAGAAATTTCAAAAACAACTAATTCCTTAAATAGAGCATGATTTTTGTCTTCAAATAAAAATTGTAAATCCTCGAAATAATTTCAAAATAGCACCAAAATTGTCTTTTGCATAAGCTGCTCCAGAGATATGAAACTTTATAATTTACTTAGGAGTTACTTAAGGACAGAACTATTAGTCTTGCATATTGGAAGTTATCTGAGAAACTTAATGTGTACATCCTTTCTGTTGCTTTTAATATTATTTTTATCGTGTTAACTATTTTGGCTGGGCTGAAATAATCTCCCATAATTACCAATCTAATGAATAACTGAGGTAATAAGCTATGAAACTTCAACAAAAATACTTGTGAATGTGATATGAATTTATAGAATGTTCCTAAGTAAATCTTCTGAAAATAAAAATAGAAAAACTCAACAATTGGTAAAATTCTCACAGAATTTTAAATTTATATGTCAATATTAAAGCATTAGATATATACATATAGAAAGCATTAATATTTTATTCTTAATTAATTAATTAAACAAGTTTGACAAGTGATTAATTAATTAAACGAGTTTGATAAACAATCATTAAAGCCTTTTGCATGAATTTGCATATGGAGTCGATAATATGTAAATTTTGAAACTCTATCTTTCTGGAACAAATTATGCAAAAGAAAATTTTAAGGAGTGTTTTGAAAACTTCTCAACAAAATCTATAACTTTTATCTGAAGAAAATATTAAGTTCCATTTAAGAAATTAATTGTAATTTCTTGAAATTCTCTCTCTCTCTCTCTCTCTCTCTCTCTCTCTCTCTCTCTCTCTCTCTCTCTCTCTCTCTCTCTCTCTCTCTCTCTCTCTCTCTCTCTGTCACTCTTTTTTTCTTTTTACGACTTATATTAGGATCATGTTCTTCAAACTAAACAACTTTTGTCTGAAAAATTTTGTCTAGAGTCAAAAATAAAAGTTTTTGGAGGGGCGCCTAAGTAAAATAGAATGTCTTGTACACTTCAAATTAATTTATATATAATTTTTTAATATGATTTAAATCACCTTTCATTTTGGTTTCCTTTTTAACTAAAAATATTTCATTAAATTAATAATGTAAGAATAGTAAAATATAACATTTTTATATTTTGTTGCAGATTCGTAAACAAGCTATTAAGGATCTACCTGCACTTTGTAAAGATAATAAAGAACATACAGCAAGAATTGCGGACATCTTAGCACAATTATTGCAAGCTCAAGATCCTACGGAATTAGCTGTTGTACATAACAGTATTATGTCACTTATAAAGAGTGATCCAAAAGGTAAAAATTTTAATACATTATGATTGATAGGGTTGACATGTATCTTTCAAGATATCTTATTTGGATTCAAAAGACTTTAATTTCAAAAATGAAATTACTATGATTTATGTAACATTTATGTACTATAAATATAACTTTATATTTTTAGGTACAATAAGTGGATTTTTCAGTCAAATTATTAATGGTGATGATGGAACAAGAGAACGTTGTATTAAATTCTTAGCTACTAAACTTAAAGCAATAGGACATGATGTTATAACAAAGGAACCGGAAGATTTATTAATTTCCGAATGTAAAAAAGTATTACAGGTAATATATATAATCAATAATAACAATTAATTATATATAATTAATAGTAACAATAATAATAATTATAACATGAATAAAGGATTCCGCAGAATTCTCATGGGAAATTGCTTTCGGCTATAATTTTTGAAGATTTGCTATATGATAATTCTTGATAATCTTGTATAAATCAAAAGTGTCAGTGAGCCCAGTCAGGTAACAGTTTCCGAGCTACAATAATTTAAAGTTTTGATTTTTATACATTATGCAGCATAGTGAGAAAACACGAATATACTCGGATGTGTGTGTTGGCATATACGCGCGTACACGCACATATAGATATATGTACATGTATACATATTCTTATAGACTTGATGAATTCTTATAAAATTCTATGTTGGAAATTCTGTTTGTAAATATATTCATATCAGAGTATATGTGTATGTATAGATGTATTCACGCATAGTATGTCCCACTTTAACTTTCATATTATAATAACTGAAAAACATGGCATTTTGGTAAAAAATGTTTCAAATAAGAGTTGTAGCGTTCAAAAGGGGAAATTTAATGTAATTTAGGGTAATTCATCATTTTATAAGTACAAGAATTCACTTGAATTTGACAATGTTTGAATTTTGAGATTAATGGAGAACAATTAAATATTTAAAGCTAAGATCACAGATTTACTGTTAAGTAAAGAATAATATTCTCACGTGTCTACTAAACATTTCTTTATTTTTCGAATTCACTTAAGAAAAATTAATTGATAAATTGATTTAAAAATAGGAAAATTCTATATGGTAATTTTAATAGATGATCAAATAAAACACAAAGTTTTTATATATGACCTGTACTAATAAATACAACATGGTTTATAATAATGAAAAGAACATTTGCAATCAGTAATAAGTGTTATGAACGAAAACAAAATTATCTTTCAAAAATAGCTCAATGATTAGAAGAGCCAAAAAAAGTAACAAATAAATATAAGGTTTCCACCTAATTATAAGTACACAAAATATTCTAAGCATAAGTGGATAATAAAAATGCAGGACTCATTGGATTTTGACCAGCAAAAGCTTTGGAAGTCAAAAACTTTTAAGGTCAAATATCTCGAAAGTATTGATACTTTTGAGCTACACATCAAAAACTATCATATAACAAATTTTCAAAAAAATTTAGCCGCAATTTCCTATATATATATATATATCCTATAAGGATTCTGCAAAGTTATTAATTGCTTTTTAATACTCTTTAATTACTTTTTAATTGTTGATTTATCCTTTTATATCATAATATAATATACACAATATATACACATTCTTAATTATCACTTACATATTCTTTTCTTTTATACAGGATGTAACTGCTGACGAATTTCACAGCATTATGGAGATTCTTGCATGGACTAGATTAGGATCTACTGTTACTGGACAACAAGAATTAGTTTATATCACAATAGATCAAGCTGAGTTGGGTATACCTTTTAAACACACTAATATCGAACAATGGAACAGACTAGTCCAATGTATTAAACATGCTCTTCCATTCTTCAGTGTATGTATATATATATATTTTTTTTTTGTTTTGAACATTAAATAATTTTGATTAATATGGCTTTATATGGCTTTATATTATAAACAATGTTTCATACTAATGCTCAAATATTTATATTCCTTTTAGTCGCAAATCGATTCATCAAAGTTCGTCTCTTACATTTGCGTACAAGTTCTACCACATCTCTCTCTGATGACTTCTCCCGATGGTAGAGATATTCAGTTGGAACTATTAAAGTTGCTTGCCGAGTTAACCGTGTTTTGCGGTATGATCGACAAACCAGAGGATAAAGTACAACAACTTTATAATACTCTCATCGTAAGTAACTTGTTACAAGAATAATACGATAGGATTATTATGCAGCAAAATGTCTAGTATTTATACCTTGTTATTTATCATTACTTGTTATTTTCTCTATGTTAGACCTATATGCCACTTCCTCCGGCAGCAGAAATTACTGATGTACCAAAGCTACAGTTTAGTCATGTAGAATGTTTGATGTACGCTTTTCATAAACTATGCAAACAAACTCCCGAATTTCTGATAAAAGATGCAGAGCAGCTAAAAGAATTCCGATTAAGATTACAATATTTTGCAAGAGGTATACAAGGTTACATAAAAAAATTGCGAGAAGCTATCGGTGGAAAAACCGAGGAGGAATTGAAATCAGATGAAAATCAACTGAAAGTTGTTGCATTGAAGACAACCAATAACATCAATACCTTAATCAAAGATCTGTTTCATTCACCTCCTAGCTTTAAAAGTGTTATACATCTCTCATGGAAAACACATTGCAATGACAAGAAGGTAATTAATTTTTTTCAGTCAATCATAAGTGTGAAATGTTTTGTAAATGAGTATAATTATGAACAAAATTTACTTTAGTCTTTAATATATATTAATTTTACTATATTTCAGAACGAAAAGAATTCTACCCAGAAAAGGCATACACCAATTACATTTGGAAATGACAGTAGTACGAATAAACGTATTAAAGAAGATAAAAACAACAAAAGAGAAATATATACGCCTCCTAGTGGAAAATATAGTTCAAATATATCATCAAATTATGGTAATTAGGCACTAATAAAGCTTGATAAATGCATTCTAATTTATTATTCTACATTCTTTTATATTACATATAATAATCTATATTCTAATTTATTAGAATTCATAGATCGATTATAAAATTATGAATATAATTTCATTGATTTTGTTTTATTTTTAGGACGAGTTAGATTTAGGGGTAATAGATCCGGAGGAAGAGGTGGATATAGGTCGAGAGGCCGTGGTACATGGCGGAAGAACTTTTATTAACTACAGCACCAATTTTCAATTAATTACTGAAAACAATTGGAACTGGGCTAACGATATAAGCGTTTGTTTTGTATGCAGAAACAAAGTGCTTTCAAGCAAACACTTAAAATTCATGATTGTAAGTGTAAAAGATGGAATTTGTAGTGGCCCATGTCTTTTTAATAAGTTCAAGATGTGTAGCAAGAAACAAAGTCCAATTTACAATCATTTATTGATATGGCATTATATGAAGAACTTGATTGCAAGAGGCGATTACTACGCTGGTATTTTTATTGTTTCATTATTCTAACATGAAATGCAATCCAAAATCAAAAATATATATTGGACTTATATACAACTATGAATTAGATTTGTGCAAAGGAGAATATGAATGCACAATTATAAAAAAAAATAGTGCTACAGACATACTATAACTACCCGATTTTGTGTGAAGAATTAATAATAACGATTTTGATGGAGCTATTCATGAGAAGAATGAAGACATTTCAAAGTGTGAAATTTACCAAACTGATATTTGAAGAAATAGAAGTAAACCGATAATGACATCCATAAGCAAAGATACCATAATGATGCCAAATTCAAATTTGAAACCATGCAACTGTTTGGAGACAACCATCATTGATACAATATTGTGGTTGCAGAAGCTTATGGAAAAAATGGACAACTCTTTCCGCGTTGAGAAATTGAGCAGACAGAATGCACAATAATATAACCTTATATCCATCTCCTAAATTGACCTTTCTTCCTATATCCAAACTTTTATATTCGTTAATAATTGTCTGTTAACAGGACCTGACTATCAGTAGGAAGGATCTACTGTCAGCTGTGCATAAAAACAATTTAATCGAAGAAACGTCAGATAAATTTCTCATACTTTCTTCTACTCATACTTTCTCTAATTTCTTATATTGATGCAATATAAGTAGAATTTCCTTTTGCCATTTCTGCAAAAGTTGTGATAGTGATTTTATACTCTATATTTATATATATAAATAGATATACAATGTCTTTCAAATGAGCTTTAACAAATCAGAAACCATATATTAAATTTTTTCAACTGGGAAAAATAATAAGTCTATGTTTCTTCGATAAATAAAATGGAGCAGCTCTTATTATCCTTTTTTTTTGCAGAAAATATACTAACAAGAGATTTGGGAATCAAGGAGCCAACACTATTATTTGTAAATTCATGTCACTTTTAATTACAGAGAGCTTCCATGGATGAATTTGGGCCTACGGACAACTTGGATAAATTAATAACTATTTATTACAGATGCTGATGAGGCATGTTGCACATTATGTTTCTTTTTTGACATGTAATATGTGTATTTCTCTGGTGATTGCTGTTTTGCGAGGTGAGTTGAAAAAAAGTGTTCTGCCTTCCTTCCCTTATCCATCATTATCATGTAAAAAGATTGATGTTAAATGCAATTCGTGAATTTGTTTCTAGTTTCAATAAATAACATTATTTAACATTATATGGTGTTTTTTTACCCAATTAAATACTATGATATAATGTTAAAGAAAAAAAGAAAATGACTTAACAGTCGATCCTAAGAGCAAGCAGGTAAATCTGTATGCATGTTTGTCTACATGTATATCTAATCTATCATATATTGTATAATTGTGTTAAATTTAGATGTCCTATAATATATATGTAATATCAATCGTACTAAATTTATAATACGTTATATAATTTGTCAAACGTATGTATCATTAATATACAAATAATAAAATGTTAATTTCGAAAAAATCATTCTATTTGAAGAATACCGATTATATGAGTGATGTTTGTATTCTAATAGAGTTAAATCTTCACCGAAAAATATCTTAATTTTCAAATTATTTGAATATCAATTATCTATTAAAGCCAGGGATATATTTATCACATTTTGCTATTATATATATGTACAATCTCTATAGTATGTTTATCCATTCATAGACCAGTGAATGCTTTGCAGCTAGGGTTGCCAGATGCAAAATGACTACTTCCGCGACATTTTTTAGATTGAAAAATAGGTTGTTGGAGAAGTTTAGTTAAATTCGATAGATAGAGGGGTAAGACGGTTAAGAAATGCCATTGCTTACTTCCAACAAATAAATGTGTGAATTAGGTACCAGCAGAGAGAAGTTTAGACATCAATCATACAGTTGACCTTTTTTATTTTTTTATTACACGAATGGTTTCTCAGGTCAAGTTTTTCGTCCTTATAAATCCCAATGATTGCTCTTACATTTCTCTCTAGTGCCGATTAAAACCATAAATATTACGATTCTAATTTTGTCAAGATTTTGATTTTCCGGAACGAAAGACTCAGATTCCGGAACAATCCCAGAAATCAAGGCCATCTGGCAACCTTGTTTGCAGCAAAGCAACATTTCAAAACAGTCCATTTGAAGAAATAATATCATCTATCACTTTACACATAATACGATCGCTCGGACTACATGGGTCTACAGTTTGTTGCTCAAAACCCAAGTTATCTATAGACTCCATAGCATCTGTGTTTATTGCAAGTTTGGAATCCAGCTCTGTGTCTGGAAGCATCTGTAAGGCATGCTGTAATATTTCTTGAACCTGTAATATCACACATGCGCAATGATAACAATAACCATGAGTAATTAATATTTGTGTACATTGTATTGTGTTATATTTGTATTAATCAAAATACCTTTTCAAGATGTTTTTGGAAACGCATTGCAGTTTCAAGCCGTTGTCTACGCTGTAGTTCCATCATTACACGTAATGTTTCTCTGGCTTGATGTGGTCTAAACTCATTCAATAGGTGATGAATGTGAATAAATAGCAAACTCAAGTCTTCAACCTACAAACATACCAATTATTATTATGTGCAAATAATTTAATACACCTTGAAACTAGTATCTATTAAAATCAACATTTCAATAAATCAACACTGAAAAGTAGAGCAGATTTGAATGATATTTGTTATTGTTTACAACTAATCTATATATATTAATTTTCTACTTGAAATCTTTTCGTTTTGATTTTCAAATTACACGTACGAATACATACTTTTTCTGCACGTCTTGGACTGTCGGGGCATTGAACGAGTAAATCTATCAAATCCAAGAAATTTACAAGCAGAGAGTGGTTGAGCTTCTTTAGTTCGCGCCTACGATCAAAGTGTTGCGGATACAGTCTCTTGATTCCCTGAGCCTCTAGTGGTCTGATGATCGTGTCGTCCGCATTAAACATATTGCCGAACATGGTATAACTATCGTGGATCGGTGGTGGTGGTCGTGGAGCCCGACCACGACGTACATTCTCATCCGTGTACAAATTTATGTATTGAACGGGCGGTAACGGTAAGGAACTGACTTGTATTGCTTCGGGCGCTGCCATATCTTGTTAATATCCGATGTTAATGCAAGCGAGTAACGACGAGCAACAGTTCGATTCGCCGACGATAAATTTGTGGTTACTAAACGTATCAGATAAACAGGTTAGATCGCTTTTCGTTAACAATTATCCCTTCAGTTCGCTCACAAACCATTAATTAAACCGGTCGCAATGCGGTTTATTCTCGTCCCTTTCAAACGTCTGCTCAAAAATTTCTCAAAAGTTCCTCTATGTAACACAAATATTTTAAACGTATGCTCACATGGATAACCATCTTGCAAGCAAGCCAGAGAACAAAACAAAACAACACACGCGACAGCAACGCTCCCTAGTCCGCCATTTTGTTATGTTACAAGTCACACGAGTCAACGAATGTTTTGGATGAACAGTCGCTGGTATCACGTACGCTCCACGGAGCGAAATCTTCGGCAAAATTTCTTTGCAGTATTTATGCGAGGCGTCGACATGTCGAAATGTCGTCTCGTCGTGTCCCACTGTTCGCACACATTTCTTTACTTATGGTGAACCGACTGTCATGTTGACTGACGTAGTGTGGCATTTCCTGATATCTCGTGTATTTCCAACGTCGCCGCGAGACGTCTTCTCGTTTGACAGATTGTCGGTGTGTGTATGCGTCCGTTCCACGTGAATTCTTTGTTGGGCGCCGGTCATGTTTTTGACAAGTATCGGAATCGCGAGGTAGTAGCCGTATATCTGTTGCATGGTAAGTGCTTAGATCCCGCCCAAGTGCCGCCAGCATGACCGATAAACCCGTGTAGGTGGATCGAGTGTTGAATTCGAATTATCAAACGTTGGAATAACCGCGTACAGTGTCCCTCGCGGTGTTGCTCGCACTTTAGCGTACTGACACCTTCGAGATTTCGGCGACATCCGCTCGCGTTTTTTCAACTTCGTTCCGCGTCGTTATGCAAAAGTGCAGCCATCGTTGGCTGTAACAACGAGAATAATAATTGCTCGTTAATTGACACGTGAGATGAATTGCATGACAGGAAGCGGGTGATAAAACAGGAAAAAGTAATTCCGGTATGCTAAATTTAGAAGTGGTTTTGCATCCTTTGTGTTTTTGGATAAACCGGATACACAGTGTACGCCATCTTATAAAGAATTTGAATATATATTTGTATTCCTTATAGATTTTTACAACTATCACAGGGCTTTGTATTTTTTTCAAAAGTTTATCAGATTGGTACATTGTGTCAACAAAGTGTTGGTTGTAATTCTGTGTACTCAGGTTGTACATTGAGATGTTTGGTTCTCAATGAAGCCCCATTATTATGCATAAAACTTTTACTTTTGCTGTTGCTAGGGTGGCCCCCCATCTGTAATGGCTGGGAAAGATGGGAAACTGGAGTCAAAAGATGGGGATGTTATTCGGCAAGGATTCATGATAAAACGGTCCCAAAACAAGAAGCGCTTTACACCAGTCAATTACAAGCAACGGTGGTTTGTGCTAACCAAACGTTACCTTGTTTACTATGATGGAGATGGTGAGGTGAGTTATTTTAAAATTTAAAGCATCGCGATATTGGTGTTGATAAAATTAAGCAAAGTATAGTGTACATACATCCAATTAATTTATCTTTCACTTACACACTGTGCTAACTATATGGCAGTAATGGATATTCATACTAGCTTTCTCCATTCTTTTAATAAGATCTTTTTGCTTCTATAAAATTCATTTTTACAAAATTGCTGTTGAGGAAAGCATAATAACTGAATATTGGAAATGTTACTATATTTATACAGAATATTCCATACTTTGTGATTATATAGATATCTTCCACCGAGGAAAACAATTATAAATTTATTATAGAATTTATTATGAGAATTGAGGCTGCAAATTATGGATTATTTTATAAATTATCTTAAATATATAACAAGAGTAATAATGATTGTGTACATAGTGCACAATTTCTCTTCATATGCATTATTATATGAATTTTGAAATATTTAACTTGAGATTGATATAACAAATTCACAGATTTTCATTGATATAATGAATTAGATTCACAGATTGTTGCCTTAGTTTCTCACCTTAAAAAAAAAATAATGTTTAATTCAATCATAAACGTTACCTAATCAATTGCAAAAATCTTAAGATCTTGGGAGGATCTGCAAACTTTTCAGAATCTAAAACTTTCCTCGGCTCTGTTTTAAATTTTACTACATCAATATAAAATATTAGTCTGTTAGTGTTCTCTCCGGGTATGGAGTTAATTAATCGTCGGTTAATTACACAATAACAACGACCCATTTTGGCATTTCGTTGCAATAATAATCGGTAAACGCGGTCTCCGTGTGTCGCGATTTTCGTCGAGGAACAACGTGCGGAGATTAATCCCGTCTACGTCGCGCAACAACATTGTCCCTTCAATCACGCGTCGGAGGAGGACGGTAGGTAGCCAGTAACTGTCGGCTTGGTAACTACGTGGTGGTCGTGGCTAATATCAATAGCTATCTCCGTAGCTAAGCGAGCCGTTAGGTGGACCGGGCTGCTTTCGGTAGGAAGGGGTGGATAATGTGCACCCGCGTGATACCGTGTGTAAAATTGGTGGCGCAGGCGCCCGGAGTTGTCCGTCCTACCCTCCTTCTCCTCCTCTTCCTCCTCCTCTTCGTCCTTTCTTCCCGCTCCTCCGTCGTCGGGTTCCTGATGCTGCCTGCTCAGTCAGTGGCCGTCGTTCGGGGATCGGTCTCGACGAAGCGCGAACTTACGTCGTCGAATAACTGCTTCCGCTCTGTCTCTCTCTCTCTTTTTCTCTCTCACTCACTCGCTCACTCACTCATTCTCTCTCTTTCTCTTATAAGCTCCTGCTGCGAACCGGGACGATCCTTTGGACGATCCTTCGGACGAGTCTATGACGCTTTAATCCCTCGTCGAGTTCGCGAAGGCGAAGGCACCAAGAACAGGCGCGCGCGTTGATGTTCGATGCACTAGGTGCATCGCTTCCTGGCGGATCCTGATCCGATACTTTTTGGTCCAGGTTCCGTCTGATCCGCGGTATCTAGCGACGAAGAATCGAGCTATATTGTACACTCATCGACTCGCCGAGCGATAGAGCGCATATAGAATATCCGGAGGGGCAGTTGTAATTTCGACTCTTCTTTATTTCTCGCGTCACTCGCCGTTACGAGTTCCGATCTCCCCGATTGGAGCGTCGAAGGGGACGCTCGTATCCGTTGTATCGGATCGTAGCGATCTCAAGCCGAGACTCGTCCAGGCTGGTCCACGTGCGGATCATCCGGGTGACAGACTCCGATCTCGTCGAGAGTTCATCGTGTCGTTCGTAGCGTCGCGAGATCTAACTTGCAACGTGGAGGTAAAGAAAAGTTCAAGTCGCATGCACTCTCGCAGCCCTGGCTCCGCTTTTCCCCGCTTTTCCCCGCTTCCTCTCGCGGCGCATTAGACGCGATCGTCTCGGCCGGATGGATGGAAAATCCATGTTGCGCGCGTACCCACATCACGAATTCCGGTAGAAATGTCCGCGGGGAGGGTCGCTCGATGCCACTCGCGCTCGTAAATTACTTTTCGCCACTGGAACGCGACTATATCGCACTGATATCGGCAAGATTGATCCGTTGCCGTAGCGCAGTAGAAATTTCCTTATTGTCATTCGTCGGGGCCGGCGATGCATCTTCTCGCGGAAGCTCCTCAAAGCTCGCTCTCTCGCGAGCGATCTAAAATTCACGATAGAATTCGGGGCTGATTTCTGCCTGTAATTTTATACGCCACGCTCACGCGAATAGTCGACTTTATATTCCCCGAACGCCCGCTCTCTTTCTCTCTCTCCCTCTCTCTCCTCTCTCTCTCTCTCTCTCTCTCCCTCTCTCTCCCTCTCTCTCCCTCTCTCTCCTCTCTCTCCTCTCTCTCTCTCTCTCTCTCTCTCTCTCTCTCTCTCTCTCTCTCTCTCTCTCTCTCTCTCTCTCGCACAAATAGAATTCTTCTTCTCGCGAGTCATGGATCTGAAACAGACCCAAGGCGCACAAGACCACCGCGAGTTTGAACGACACGAAATCTTCATCATGTGAAACAAACACGAGGGATCTGACACACATATACATACAATAGCGTAATTCTCTAGCCAGGTGTAATCACGCGGCGACGGCGAGCTTCCGCTCCTCCAGAGAGGTGGTCGCAGTTAGCGAGCGGCCGCGAGTGCTTTAATGAACTTATAAACATTAATTGCTGTTCGTTACAGCGCCGTAAGGAACGCGGCAGGATCGCCGTGGAGAGCGTCCACGTGGTGGAAACGGCGAGCCTCGGGAATAATAGCGCCGGTGGCGGAGGTGGCATCGGCGGCGACGTGGCGGCCGGCGATGCGGGCGGCGGAGGCGGCGGGATACCATCCGGGCTGCCGTTCCAAGTAGGATACCGGGAAGCTGGTCAAGAGTACACGCTCTATCTTCTCGCCGCGCGCGAGCAGGATCGCGCCGAATGGATACGCGCCATACGTGCGGGTAAGTCGCCCGTCTCGCTCCGCCTCCCTCTCGGACGCGTTTCTCGTTTACGCTATTCAACCGCGACCTGGTTCGCTTCCCGAGCGTTGAGCGCGTTGACACGAGCGTTAAGCGCTTCGTCCCTCGCAACGCGCTGTTAATCGCGCTTTGATAAGCGCGATTGCTGCATCTGCTTTGATATCTCGTTCGCGACGACCGTGCCGCAAAGGCCTGCCGAATAGCCGCAGTTGACTCTCGGATGCAAAATTCCGTGAGAATTCACAGGGCGGTAAAGTGATGTCGATTACCGTTCAAAATTCTTCGAGAAATCATTCAACCGGAGAAAATGAATCGCGCGATCAGCGCGAGCTCCCTTGAGATTCAATGTTGAAATCTTGTAAGATGAATCCTACACATTCTCGGCCGCACGCGCGTTTTACATCTTTCCTATTCACGTCGACGTAAATCGGCAAGATCGACCGTCTTTCTCGCGCGATTCGTTATTTGTTTCAGTGAGGCGCAGCGTTATTAGCGTTATTCCGCATGATTCCGCTGTTCCGCACGACGACATCGTTGCTGACAAATAGTGCTGTTGACGTTACCGTTTGTTTGCAGTGTGCAGTGAAAATCCGGGCTTGAGCGGACGCTACCACGCGGGCCTGTGGAGCGGCAAACGCTGGTCCTGCTGCCGATTATCGACACGTTCCGCCGAGGGCTGCGACACCTGCAGCTCCTGGTCGTCGAAGCCGCCGGCGAACGCTACGAATCCGTCCTCAACGTCCTCCACCTCGGCGACATCGACCTCCGTGTTCGGCAGTACCAACAACAGCGTCTCGACCACCACTGTCGCGTCCGACCGCGTGCAACCGACGAACGCCGAGGCGAACAACAATCCGATAGTCCAGCCCCAGACACGCTCAACGATCGGTTCGTAATTCACCTTTACTTCGCTGTACTTTTTCTCACTCCCGTCTCGCGCGCAGCTGTAATTGGCCGATCAGCGGACGCGACGTGCGTTTTTCACCTCATATCGTTAAGGTCGGAGTTCCGGGATTATCCAGTTGGGATCGTTCTCTCGCGTCGTTATATCTGCAATCTAGCGATCTTGCGTTTCCCATAATAACAAGGTTACATCAGGAGCTTTTTGTATCCTGTATTTTAATGTTCATTCTTACAACACGATGCAAGCACGATATATTCCTCTCTCTCTCTCTCTCTCTCTCTCTCTCTCTTTCTCTCTTTCTCTCTCTATTTATAGAA